AGCAGGTCACTTATGGGGGTGGGGCTGGGGTGTTGGCTCTTCTTGTTTCCCATCCCACATGGGAAGGGGCTGGAATCTGGCTGTCCCCCTGGAGGCCCAGACATGGCACAGGTTCACAGGGAGGGCTTGCGTCCTGGTGACTTCTTGTTCTCTTCCCCCACAGTGTACTTGTGATTCTCTGAATAGACTAACCCTTCTTTCTTTCTACCTTCCCCTGAAAGTCACTAAGTTATCCTTCTGGCCAGTTCCTGTATTTCCTTCCACCCTCACAGGTATCACCTCCTGAAAGCTTTCCTTCACTTCCCCTAAAGATCTGACCAGGTTCTTTTCTTATCTTCAAGACTATGGGTAGTTTTTAGTTAGACAGTTTGTGTGTGGTCTGATTAACTTCCATCCTCTTGGGACAGGTGAGATGTTCAGTGTATTATTCTCACAGTTCTGCCCTAACAAACTGCCATAACCAGGGTGGCTGTACACAACAGAAAAGTATCTACTCACAGTTCTGGAGACAGGAAGTTTAAGAGGCAGGCTTCCCAGGCTCCTTGCAAAAGCTCTATGGGAGGATCTTTCCTTACCCCTTCCAGCTTTTGGTGACTCCAAGAGTTCCCTGCCTGGGGCAGCAGGACTCACCTCTATGTGACTTCTGTGGATCCTCACACTGCTCTTCCTGCCAGGATTCCTCCCCTTCTCTTCTCTGAGAAGAGCATCTGTCACTGGACTCTGGATGTACTGTAATCCAGGATGAGCTGGTTGCAAGATCCTGATCTTAATTACATTTCAGAGTCCCAAATAGTGTTAGATGCATGGGTCCAAATCTGCAGCAGCCAGTGTAAATGGATTGCACTGCATGGAACTGTCAGGTCTACCTGAGAAATTACATGGGTCCCCAGAGGGCTGTTCCAGAGGGAACACAAGGAAGAAACAAAACCAGAAAGCATGTGCAGGAGAGCCAGGTGGACTTTGGTGACTGATCAGACAGAAAGAAGGTACAAGAGCACAAGGAAACCAAAGATGGCTGCAGAGCCTTGTGCCAGGGAGAGTGGTCAGAAAGAGGAGCTGGGCTACCCAGGGCCACAGGCTTCATTTCTACAGAGGGTGAGGTGGCCTGCTCATCAGCCCTGTGCTGCAGGTCCCTGGGTACCTGCAGCTCTTCCATCTCTCCTGCAGTGTGGCTTTCACTGCGCAGTGAATTCATCTGCGTTGCCTCCCTGGAGGACAGTTGATTCGTCGGTTATGAGCTAATAGACCAGCAATTATAAGATGCTGAGATTTATGTCACTCTCTGGTTGGGAAGTTTGAGCAGTCCACATGAGGCAGAGCTGGTCCCCCGTGTTGGAGGCTTTGCAAAATGCAACCTTTCCACAGGGGAAACTGCAGTAGGCAGTGCGTCATCTCCTAATGCAGTGACCAACTTGAGAATGTCATGTGCCTCCCTGCAAGGTCAGATCTCTAGTTAATGCAAACTGAAGCATTGACTTATTACGATGAAAGTTCTTTACTAGCTTTGTATGATGCTTTGGGACTATTTTTATCCTTTTTTTTAAAGTCTCTGGAATCTGAACTCTAAGGAAGTATTTAAAGCAGAGAGACCTGGCAGAGAGGAAACTTGCTGATTCTCTTTTCCCTTTGTAAGCATTATAAAAACAAACACACTCTACTCACTGTGCAGCTAGATGGCTATTTCCCGGCTTTGCTAATGTTTCCCAGAAGAATCCTGCGCAGGAAGAGCTCTTCTCCATTCTCCTCTTTCTCTCTCCCAGCCCTTCCTTCACATGTTTCTCTGCTGGTTTTACACGGGGCTGGCAACAATGGGCCATCTCACACTCTAACTTTTTCTGCAGTGCCCTGGCACACCTGGACAGATGTGACCTGTAGCCCTGGGCCTGCCGCCTGGTACTCTGCTCACTGGTTCATCCTCTCTTCTCCCAGCCCTGCTTCCTCACCTGCAGCACAGCACTGAGAAGGATGACTATCTATTTACTACTTAGGCTCACCGAGAGCACCAAACAGAGAGGAAATCTCAGTTCAGTCTCGGCTTAAAATTTAAAAGGCCAAACCTGATTAGAAAGGGCAGAGAGAGCTGCTGGGTGGCTGGGTTCCTGAGGCATCCAGGAGGAAATTAAGGATGTCCCAGTGGTCCCAGCCATCTTTTTAATGTCATCGGGGCTTCCAGAACACAGAAATGATGCCCATAATCCCAAGAAAAGATGAAACTGAAGGACTCCTTCTCAGTGCAGGGACAGACTGGAACCCCACCCCCACCCCTAGTATCAGACACAAGGGATTCTGTACAATTAAATGCATGGCTCACTACTGGACGGGAACCCAGGCCGGGAGGTCATTTATTTATTTCCAATCTATCTGTACACTGTTGTGCAAACATTCCTGAGAGCATGCTGCATAAGCTGGTACATGGTGTTCTGGGAGAGAAAAAGACCTGCCATAAACCCAAGGAAACTTACTTGGGGGAACACAGACACACACAGAGGCTCACACAGGTCATGTGATGAGACTGCAGTGTGTGGCCCGCCTTCCTGTAGCCCCCAAAGCTTCCTGCTTTTTCCAGCGGCTGGTTCCTATTGCTGAGCCTGCTGACTGGGGAGGAGCAGCCAACAGCTCTGTGCCTAGTGAATGAATGAATGGATTCATGAGCAAATGAAAGCATGGTGACGCAGAAATATGCAAAAGTACTAACGGGACTCACACACGAAGCAGCGGGGAAGAACAAATAGAAAAGACATACATGAACTTGACTCTGAAGAATAGAAAGTATTTTGCAAGATCCAGAGAAAACATAAAGGATAATCTGATCAATATGACAGAATCAAAAACCCATAAATAAATAAAGTGTGCCCCCGAGGCCCTGGCAGGGGGGCTGGCACAGAGGCTGCTGAAGCAGGCATCTTGGCTAATTATTGTGGTTAAAAGCCTGGATTTTATCCTGCAGGACTGTGAAGCTAGTGAGGACTTAGGAGCAGTGTTGCTGTGCTAATTAGAAAGGCTCTAGTTGCAGAAGTTTGGTAAAGGCCAGGAAGCAGGTCAGGGCTAAGACACTGCAGAGCAAGATTCAGAGGAGCTTCTTGAGAAAAGGAGATATGGTGGAGCGGGGAGCCAGCTGGGGTCTTAGCACTGAAAGCCCATAACAGATTAGCAAGATGGCAATGATACAGGGAAAGGAAGAGGAGGGAAGAGGAAGGAGAAGGGAAACGGAGCAGAGGGGATAGGAAGGGCCATGAGAAGAGAATGGAGTGGGGCGGGGGCAGGAAGGGAGAGGCGGGGGCTGGAGGGGCCACCTCTGGAGACTGCATGGTGAGTCCTGGAACTGCTCCTCAGGTAATTCTGACTTGCTGGAGGGCAGCGATAGGAAAACACCTGGAAAACAGTTGGCACTTTATGTACAGAACTTAGAGGAAGAGTCAAGGTGCCAGTATAGATTTATGAATCAAGCTTGACTCAGGTAGAAAAAGGACAATGAATACACATAGAAAATAATATAATCATAAAATCATTTTGAAAGGAATAATGAAAATGGAATAAATAACAATGTCCTCATTAAATGATGCCATCATTTTCTGAAAGATCAGTTTAGCTGGGTGATGATGATCCACTGGGATTTTTATCACATTGTATGCTATAGGCCACACACCATGACGCTTGTCCTGGAGTCTTGGAGTCCTGTGTTCACTCCAGTGTCTCCACGGAGGCCCACTGTAGCCTGGGCATGGACTCGGGTCCCAGAAAGGCAGATGTGCAAATCTGTGCTCTCCAGGAGCTGCAAGTTCAAAGGTCTCATCAGATGTGCAACTGAGCTACAAGTCAGAGCGGAAGTAACATAAATACTCAGTCAAGGGCTGCGGAGATGCAGGGGAGTCTCCCTGGGGAAGCAGCATTGGAGCCCAGGCAGGCGGCATGAGTTACAGCTGGCCAGGAAAGGGGGAGGAGAGGGGGCACCTCAGCGGAAGGAGCCCCGTGGGAGGAGGTGGAGGGTGTACAAGGACTGAGAAGGGCAAGAACAGCCCAGTGGGCAGGACTGGAGAGGCACCACAGAAACAGCATCCTGACCTGCTCCTGAGCTGGTTGTCCCACGGTATTCACAGGGGGAACACGCACCCCTGTGCATCTGAAAAACTGTCCAAACACCTGAGAAGAGAACTGGGTGTCAAACTGGGGTAACGGCCAGGGATTTCACTCAGCAGCATAAGCCCCTGCCTGACCAGTATGAGGTCAGGAGTTGAGATCCTCAGTATAAATAGATAGATAGATAGATAGATAGATAGATAGATAGATAGATAGATAAATAACTGGGCTAATTAAATGAGCCAGGGATGTGTAACAATGATGGCTTATGGTAGCGAATGTGCTTAATGATTTTAACAAATTAACTCACTTTAAAATAGTTTCATTTCTTCATGGAGGGTGACTTAGCAAAGCACATCAACTCTACAGGAACTCAGTCCATATTACCTAGATCAGAGCTGCTCTTGCTAAGAGCATGCCCTCCTCTGAGCAAGGGCATCCTCTGGGGTTTTGTCAAATTCAGCTGACAGAGGAAAGCATCTAGAATCATGCCTGCCTCTCAGTCGCTGTCCCCTCAGTGTCTTAGCAGCCTCCAGTCACCAGTGGGGAAGAATGAGATGTGCTTCATTTGACAGGGGACATTTGGGGACTCTTGGAGCTTGTGGAAGGCACCAAGGCCACTCCGATGAGGGAGAAGGTGCAGCCAAGCCTCCCCTTGACTGGGCTGTTAACTTCACCCCACACTGCTGCCCCTGTAAAAGATAGCTCTTACATTTTAAAAAGTGTTCATCAATTTCATTACTTTAAATGTAAATATTTTTTTTTGCATGCAATGGAAATTCAAGGAGAGATTCAGGATTATGTGTGAGGCATTAATTACTTAAGTCTGACTGGGTGGTTGTTTCTATGAATGGATGCACCCAATTAATTTCCCCCCAGCTCCTTGCTATTTCCCAGCTATAATCTATTTTCTTTCCTCCCAGGGGCAATAAAAGGACCACCAAAGAAGGATCCGGTGATTTGAAATTCCAGAACTTCGCTCTGCCAAAAATTAGGTCAGAATATTTACTTGTTTCTTAATAGAGGAGTGAAAAATTTAATTTTGTGGCAGATAAGCTGACCATCACACACACATGCACACACACACATCCACTCACACACACACAAACACAGCATTTATATAAATTACACAGCTGGTCATGATGTTCGAGGTGACACAGAGACCAAGGTGCGGGACAAATTCACACAGGTTGGACAGCCACCAGGTACACGATACAGACCACAGCTGAGACGCTCCCACAGCTCTGCAGGCTGGGCCAGTTTGTGTCACCCACCCACCTCTCTAAACAGCTGGAGAGCCACTGAGGGAAGGTTCTTGTCTCCTGCCATGGGATGATAAGGAAAACAGGATCAGAGACCAGGTCACGAGTCCACCTCGGGGCTTCCCAGCCTGCAGACAGGAGAGCGCTGACTGGGCCTGCTGTTACTCTCTCTTTCTCCATTAAGAAAATAACTCACGGAGCAGCCAGGCCATTGAGTCTTGCATAGCACACTGAATATTTGAGAAAGAAGAGGTCATACTGCTCAGAGGCTCAGAGACAAGCTGGGAGGCCCAGTACTGTGGGCTAACTTGATGAAATTACCCACAAAGAACTAAGCCCAAAGTCAAATCCTGCTCTCCATTGGCCAATAACCCTACACCAGGCAGCAGGACTCCCGCAGCGCTGCTCGAGGTGCTCTCCTTACCCAATGGGCTAGAGGGGCTCTTGCCCTATTCCCAACCCTCACACCCCAGTTCAGTTGAGCACAAATAAACCTACTGAGCACCCTCAGGACCAACTATGTCCAGGCGCTGTGAACAGTCGTGGGCCCCTCAGTCACGCTGGAGTGAATATTTTCCTAAGCCAGATAAAGACCGAGTACTCACATTATGTTTCAAAACCACTTTAAGCGAAGGAAAATGTGTGTCTGTTCTCAGACTTCTTTAATGTTTACATTAAATACATTTGAATAATGCATTGTAAGCCCATTTTTCTTACTTCTTGGCAAAAGCAAAAGATGGAAAATGGAAAGGTTAGAAGCCTTCCTTTGAAAGAAGAGGGTTGGGGCAGTTAAACCTATCCAAGTAATATTTATGGTTACATTTGGGAGAAGAGAAGACACAGAGAGAAGAGCAATGTTTTCTCCCCAAAGCAAATTATCTCAGGATGTGTCATAGCATGCTCGAGATATATTAAAGTGAGCAACAGACAATGTTTCTGCAACCTGTTCCAAGCCATTTATAAACCCAAAATTTTTTTTAATTTGAATGTACATACAAATCTCTGTACCACTACATATTTTATAAGCAAAATATTATACGAATATAAGTTAGCATTTGAGATCTATAAATCAAACCAAAATGTCTGAAAACTACAAAGTTGGGCTCTTTTACCTTAACAACATTACACTAATAATATCACTCCCCATAGAAATAATAATTACCAGCACCGGGAGTGGCAGTGGGGGTGGGCAGTGTGGGGATGGACAGTGTAGGGTGACGTCTAGAGCCTGGAATGAAATCTCAGCTGTCCTGCTTGTTAGCCATGCAGCTGGCTCGTACACAGCACCTGCGGGCTTTAGAAATGGCATTGGAAAAGTAGGGTCTTGGGTGTCAGGGAATCCCTGAGGCCCAGCCGTGCCGGTGTTTGGGGTGCTCGGAACAATGTAGGTTCCCAATAAATAACGCAGGCCAACAGTGACCAAGCGCGTACCAGGCCCTAGGTGCTACCCTTAAGGCTGAATTGGTAGCTCTCACTGCTGGTGTCTCACATCCGTAAGAGGAGGAGGAGAAGCAACGCGGGGAGGGTGAAGCAGGCTCCCCAGAACTCCTCTTTGGTCTCCCTGCTGTGAACTTTAAGCACAGTTTTTAACTCAAACCCGAGAAACGCTGCCAGCGCTCCTCCCACCACTACCCTCCTGACAGGCGTCACATCTGTCCGGCTCAGGTGTGTGTGACACGGCCTCAGCTGACACACAGAGCAAAGTGCAAGCGGAGTGCTAGGTCAGCTTGAAAGAGACAGCCGGGGGATGGGGGATGGGGGTTGGGGCTTTCCAGGAATGACCCGGACCATTTCCACATCCGGAACCCGGGTCGGACACAAAGGGACACAAAGCATGTGCAACCCTTTCCCTGTCACTGCGGGGTGGCAGCCTTGCGCCCAGTGTTAGTATCCAGGAGGCTCTGCTGCTGATTTGCACACACACACCTGCTTCTCAGAGGGAGTGGACTGGCAGGTTTGAACCGTGGAACGGGCACAGTGGGCCGATGCGGAGGGAATCCGTCCATGTCTGAACTGAGTTTTCCAAGGAAAGAATTGTACAGAGCAGCCGCTCCCGCAGAGGCAGCGCCTGCAGGTGGCTGTGGGCGCTGAGGTCCCCTCCCCCACCAGGGCCAGGCTTACCCCTGAGAGTTCACTTCTATTCCTGCACGAGGGCGCCCTCTGCCGGGCCCTGCATCCAGGCACACCCTGCAGCCGGACTCTGCTCAGGCTGGCTCAGGCTTTGCCTGGCTGGCCTGCGGCAGCGACTTTCTAACTGAGACATCCCACAGAGCAACGCCTGGCGCTGGCCCGCTTCACTGAGCAGAAGGCAGGGTGTTCCGCTGCAAGATTCCACCAGCTGAGCGCTCTAAAAGGAAGCAGGAACTCAGGAGGGTGTCAGCCAGCTGTCCTCTGGTTGTCCCCTAAGGGTTCCTACATAGTAGATGCCTGGTCACACTTCCTGAAGGGAAGAGAGGAACGGACAAGGATCCTGAGGGTTGCATGGGGACGATGCTGGATCCCAGTGGCAAGCTCCATATGCTGAGCTTCATGCAGGCCCCAGCACATGCCAGCTTCTTAGGCAGATCAGTTTACGGGAGGGAAGAGGAGACAGAGGCCCCAGACCCAGAAGGAAGATCAGCAAAGAGGGGATTTGGGACACAGGCCTGACTGGTGCCCTGGAGGAATTTCCAAGGCAAGGCAAATCACCCTGTTCACTCAGCTGTCTGATCTAGAACCTGCCAAAATGCCCAACCTTTTCACTTTTTAAGATTTGTCAAGGATATTGATAGCATGTCTGAAAAAGACACTAGCTCACAAAGACATGCAGTCCGTCTTCAAAGAAAGAGAGGATATGTCTACTGGTATGGGATCAATTATAAATGAGTAGTCACATGGAGCCACCCAGTTTGACCAAGCGCATCACAGGAGCAAGATGCCTCTGGGGAGCTCAGGGAGAAAGGCCGGCAGGGCAGTTCCAGACAGGAGCAGGATTGGGCTGGGCCTCGTGCAGGCCAGAAGGTATCAGCATGTAAGCTATGACAACTCTCCATGGCCCTAGAACTTTTAGTGCTACCCCTTGCCCTGAAGATGTTTGTGTGCCCTAAATCATTTTCATAAAAATCCCACCTGGAAAACAGCGCCAGGCACAGGCCACTGCTGAAGTAGAGACAGCCAGACCCAAGTCTCTCCGAGAGTCAGCGCCCCTTGCGGACTGCAGAGGGAGAGAACCAGGCCTCACTAGGAAGCGATCCCCGCCCGGAAATCTATCGCTTTCATTTTTCCCTTATTTATTACATATGAACCTCGGCCCTATTCTACCTTGGGGTAAAATTCACCTGCCTCAGGGCAACATGGGTCAAATCTCCAACCAATAAGGAAACCTCAGAGTCTCTTCTGGGGAGCTCAGGGTTACATATGTGCACATGCTACCTGCTGGCTGCTCTTTGGGCCTTGCCAGGTTAGGACCAGACTTGGTCTAAGTGACTCCAGGCCACCTCACTCACGGGAGCCCCATACAGGCTTCCTGGCCCCGGTGCACATGGCCCATGCCCTCTGTGAGTGTGAGTTCCCCTCTCACTTTTAGGAGCTGAGAATCCAGTGTGGAACACTCCAATTCAATGGCACTCTGTCCTAGTGGCACAGCAGTGGACAGGTCAGAAAGAAGCCAGACAGGCCAAGAGAGAAAGGGGAAGCAAAGAAAATGCTCCTCCACGCCCTGACACTATGCCCTCTCCCTGTTACACACACCTGCTCCTCCCTCTCCAATCAATCCTAGGGGTCACCACAGTGCCCCTCTGGATGCAGCTCCAAGCTTCCTTTGCTCACATGCTTTGCAAAGCATCACACTGACCCCAGGACACCACTGGCTTAACTTAACCCTCTGGGCGCCCTGAGGTGTCCTGGCTCTGGGGACACTGTGCTTGTCCACTCCTTACCCCCAGCTCCAGGATGCACATGTGCCTCTCGAGGGATGGAGAGTGAGAGAGTCAGCAGACAGGCTGGCTGTGACGGGCCCCGTGGGCCATACAGAGGACCCACTAACAGGAGGGGGTTAGTGCACATCATTCCGTGTGCTTTTCAGCACTAGAATTCTGTGACAGCCCCAACATGGAGGTAGAGCTGCTGTCCACAAGGAACTGTCCTCAGGTTTGTTCTCGGTTCCCAATGAAACAACAGACCTCTGAGGCGTGAGAAAAGAGGGATGAACTGAGAAATCTTGCATCTAAAGGAAGCAAATAACTCCCTGAAAAATATCAACTGTCTTTCCCAAAGCAGGAAATCTTTTTCTCTGATAGCCTTTTAATTTCAGAGGCAGAGCTTCGAAGGAGCTGTGGAGCTCAGCCAGTTAATCTTGGAGGTTTGGAAAAGGGGAGGTTGGTGGTGTGAAATCATCCCGATTATTTCCCAAGGGTTTGCCACTGAATTCTGGACTTGTCATCAGCGCCTGGGGAAGCCCAGAGGGGACCGCACATACTGTGCTCATGGGCATGGCTGGTTATTAGCCTCCACACTAGCAATGTGGCCCTGGAGACAGTCCAGGCCCATCTCTATAGGACTGGAATAACACACCAGCCCGACTTCACTCCTATGAATAAGCGGGACGCAAGCACACAAACTGCCTGCATCATCAGAACCAGCTTGCCCAGGAGCAGTGGGCATCGGGGAGAGGGAGAGGGGGTGAGTTTGCTTTAGTATCCTTTAAAAACTAAAAATCATTAAGTGTATTAAATAATTTTAGCAGTATTAAAAAATTTAAAATAATTCAGAATTAAAAATCTGTATGTGTCACGAGCCTTAAATATTGAAAGCTACAGACCCTGTAGGATCGGCCTAGCTCACTGCACACTCCATGTACTTGACACCCATCTGTCCACACCGGAGTGCAAAGGGAAGAGGGGTGGCTTCCCTGCAGCCCAAATGCAGAGGGGAAGGAGCATGCTAACCTCTAGAATACCACCCACTGTGGCCCAGCACCGTTCATCCACCACCCAGAGCTGTCAGGCTAAAAAGCACATTAACACGGAAGCTTCCCAGACAGCCTATCAGAGGCTGGTGTCAAGGTGATGTCCACGCTCTGGACAGACAAAAGCCAGTGGTGCCCAGGCCCAGCGGCCGGGCCTGGCCTCCCTCTCCTCTCTCCCTCTTGGTTTCTCTGGCTTTCTGGCTCACAGCAGCAGGCTCAGCTGGAATAACAACTTGCTCCCTGTTTTGCTGACGCTTCTTCTGCTAATTCACTTGGCTTGCATTGACGCACGGAGAGCCCCGGGGTGCACGGTCCCAGAGGATCTGACATGCCAATGAGTACCATCACTCTGGGCCCCACTGAGAGGCGGAACACATCACGTAAGCCACTTTCAGACAGCTTGGGCACCTGGGAGAAAGCTCCTGAACACAGACAACTCTGCGGTTGCTGTGATCGGCTTATAAATCACAAGGGACTTCGAGGCAGGCAAAACCCTCGCCGCCAGTTGTTCATGGTGCCACCATGGGCGAATGGCAACTCTTCAAAGTTTTCATTGTATCTGCAAAGTAGCATTCAAGACCACAAGCCTAGGCATCCTCTCCAAGACCCTCTTCTTCTCTCCCACCTATTTATGTTGCGATACGAACATTTGACATAAGCTCTGTCCTTTTAGCAAAATTTGAATCACAACACAATATTTCCAACTTAAGGCATTGCTGCCCCGTGGATCGCCAAGATCTATTTGAACCCTTTGAAGCCTTCTTTCCTCCTCCCCTCGGCCCTCGGCCTTCCTGTCCTTCTACGTTAGATATTGCTCATTAGTATTGGTCCATACCTGGGTATATACACATCTATAAATTTGTCAAATTGTATATATTAAATATGTACAAGGTTTTATAAGTTAAATTTTTTTAAACATTATTGAACTAGGGAGAAGAAAAATTGTGACAGTAAACATAGGAGGGTCAAACTGGCCAACTAAAACAAAACACCAGATACAGTGGAGCCTCGGTCACTGTGGGGACAGGTGCTGGAAAATGTGGATGCTTCTCCTCTTCCTTTGGTTCCACTCGATGTTGAAGGCCCTCAACTCTGCCTCCAGGATTCTGAGAAGTGAGGTACCCTCCAGCAGGGCCCCGGTTCTCCCTTCTGCAAGAGGAACATGTTCCACCACCTGACTACCAGTGTGCTTTTGATTTTGGAATCCCTGAGGCCAGCATCTGATGGTCAGCATCCACGCCAGAGTTCCTTCTCAGCTGTCCGGAAGACTTTGCCTTGAATTTGGAATCTGTGGGCTCAGCCTCTCGGCAGCCCATGTAGGAATCGCCACCTGTCGTCACCGGCATGGCCCTCACGCAGGCAGTGAGCTCACCTCGGTCCCAGACACATTCCATTTCCATCTCACATGTCATCAGTTGAGGCCTTAATCAAAGACAGGGATGTCAGGGAAGAGGCCATCTGCTTAAGGTGTCAAGAGAGCAGCCCCAGACAAATGATTTGCTCCTTGCTGAGTGATTTACTGTTAATTTCTTCAGAATCGCGGGCCGCCTGAAAGGGCACCAACTGCTGACCACAAGGGCACTGAGGCTGCCGCTGCACAGTTCCTGCAGAGCACAGCTGGCCACATCCTGTAGGCATAAGCGGGTGGATGGGGGCTACAGCAAGGCTGGGAGGAGCAGACGGGCTAGAGCCCAGGCCCCGCTCCTCTAGGTCACCAGGTCAAGCAAGGTGTTGAGTTCGGAGTGCCACTTCCTGTTCTGTAAACTCCAGACAGTCCCAGCCACCCCACAGGGACACTTGGAACATTAAGTGGGTCCAGAAACACCAGCAAGGTGGGCTGGAAGTTAAACTCAGAGACCACAGTGGGCCTGGTTGAGAACACCTCAGTGCTTAACTAAGGCATGTCAGTGTCTGCACCAAGAAGTAGACCTCGTAAATATTTACCCCTGCCGTGCGTTGCGATGTTCAGTTAATTGCCCCTGTGACGCACTTGGAGAGCCTTGGAGGGAAGGTGAGCCTCGAAGGCCAGGGACGATTAAAGGCACAAACAAGCCAGCTGGGGAAGCAGTGTCCTGGGGAGCTTTCCACCTCCCTGGGGCTTTCAACTCAGCGCCTGAGACCCAGGGAAAAGCAGCTCCCAGGAGCACACTACTGTGGAGGAAGCCGTGGCTACGCTGTGTTGCGGTTGGAAAAACGGGTCGAGGTAGTAGTAATAATAAGGCCATCTCACCAATCTTCAGGAAAGGCCAAGGGTAAGAATCAGGAATGGAGCACTCAGGAGGCAGAGCGGTGTCGACCTGCAGGTTTACTAGTGGTGACCTCAGTGGTATGGATGAGACTATGAATCAGATGTATTGACACAACCCACCCAGGAAGCAGCTAAGAAACACGGCATGAGGGGCCCAGAATCTCCACACCATCTGAACCTTCTTGCACTAAAGCATACTCATGCAAACACTGAGATAAGATTGAAACTGCAAACTGTAGACCACTTCAGTATTGTGACTATTATATAGTCAAAGCTAGCAAGAACCCACACCCCCATCCAACCAACAGGCTTCATGCTTTTTAATAAGCATGTTCGAATCAGGGGATGAATCATTCTTCTAGCATGTTTTATATAAATATTGCGTGTTTCTTCATGCAGATGTGTGTGTCTAAGAAACATTAAGACACGGTGGCAAGGGGCTGGGGGTTTAGCTCAGCACCTACCTGGTATGCTTGCGGTCATGAATCTGATCCCTGGTACCCAAAAAGAGAAAACGCACTGACAAGTTTTCCTCCTACATGACTTTTTTTCTATGTTTTAATAAACTTATTTCTGGTCTATAGTAATACCCACATAAGCCGATGGTGGCACAAGCTGACTCCTCAGTGGCCTCTGATGACTGCCCAGCCCTGTGCAGGAGGCTGGTGACCTTGACGCCTGACACTGACTTTGTTCCCTTTTCTTTTCTAGGTCGTGGCCAGGCGTCAATAGTGCCATTGGTGAGTGTGGGCCTCCCGTCCGCCACACCATGGGAGTGTGGGCAGGGGTCTGTCCAGTGTCTGCCCATTCTTTCTCATTGTCCTTTCTTTTGCATGTGGGTGGCAGACAAATTAACGACTGATCAAGCTGCAGGTCCTTCAGCTCAGGACTTTGGTGGCTGCCAGCAAAGATAGAGGCTGTGGTGACAGACTGACTTCTGGACCTCAGTTTGTTGTGCACATTAGTTAGCAGGGTCTCCTCCTTCAGTGGGGTGGCGGGGAGTGGGGTACTCACAGTCATAAGGCCAGGCCTGTGGACTCAGACCAGGCTCATCACAAAACGGGGACCAGGGGGCACAGGGAGCATCGGAGAAGGAGAAGCCAGGAAGCCAGCGTCCTGGGAGATGGAGGGGGAAGGAGGCTGCAGGCTGGGGTCTCACCACCCACTTCTTCGCTCTGTTCCATTGATTACCATAGAGGTGTGAGCAGCAGCCTGACTCAGGCAGAGGGTGATGGGATGCTGCCTCTCCATAGCTGTCTTTCCTTTGGTAAAACCACTAGCCCAGTCAACAGCATGCTGATACCCACAGTGTCTCCCCCCAGCTGCTCCCAGAGTCCACTGGCCCATGACTCACATGTGCAGGAAGCTGGAAGCCATGAGCACTCAGCTTTCCACTTTCCCGTGACACAGCCTTGCTGGACCTCCAAGCTCCACTCCTGTGTCTGAGCCTCAAGTCGTTCATCTGTGCAGTGGGTGTCTGTGGATGCAGTGCCAGGATGATGACTACTTTTTAAACTCATAGGCTTCCCAAAAGTTAGAGTCCAAGAGAATGATTCAGAAAACACATTTTATGTTCCTCTGGTTTCTTTTTGTGGAGCCAGTTTCCTGGCCCTCGGCATTTAATAGGAAATGGTTAAAGTGAAGGTAGGTACTGTTGTTTTGGAACTTGAGTTAATTATTTCAGGGAAAATGCCATAGACCTTACTAGAAAGCTGGCGGCCAGCTGTGATGACCAGAATGAGTCACAGGCAGAGAGGCAGCCAGAAGAGTCAGAATCACAGGCAGGGCTTTCTATCCTTGCTTAGCAGAGCACTCAGCACGTGTTGGGGGAGAATCGGGGGCAAAAGCCAAGTCGCCAGGTAGGAACTGAAACGGGGACAGTCACCCAGCTCTAATCCCTTCCCAGAAAACATTCCTGTTAAACTTCGAGGTCAGGGCCAACAAAATGTGCTCTCTCAAGTCGGATGTTATCCTACCTCCTTCCCCTCTCTTTCCCACAATCCCCTGAGTCCTGAAGGGCACTGTGGGAAACCCCGAGGGCCGTGGTCCCCAGAACAAAGCTGCTCATCTAAAGCTTTGGCCAGTGACCTAGAACCCAGATGGGTGGAGCAGAGCCACCCACTGTACCCCTGCACTCTCCCCTTCACCTCGATCCTGTCCTGGGTTGAGGCAGAGAGAGACCCACAGGTGGGCCCTGCATTCCATTAACAACATTCTAGCAACAGCACCAAGGCAGAAAAATCATATCAAAGCACCCCCAGTGTTAAATGAGATAGAGCTGTCCAGGCCTGCCCAGGCACACATGCATCTATTTCCTGCCAGAAAATACTTAGCAAATCACAACCCTCCTGCCAGAGCCTGCTCACAGACCACTGCAAACATCTCTGGACACATAACAGACCACACATAACTCAGGGTGTGTATTTGGACTGAAAGAGTGTCCATCACAGGGGCATCGACACATTCCTAGATATTGTAAGCTGCTCACAGTTTTCAGGAGATTGGCTATAAATACAATGGGATATCCATGTGAGAAAATGCCTTGCAGTCATTAAAATTTCGAAGCCCATTCCTTGGCATGGTAAGATTTTTACTTTCTTCTTTCTTGCCTATCTTTGTCTTATAATTCTTCAACAGCAACATGTGTGTTTGTATACTGGAAGCAATCCATCAGAAAATAAGTTCTTAAAACATGTACGCGAGGCCTGGAAAAGACAGATGCACACTCAGACCCCCACAATCTGTCTCGATGCCAATACCTTCTCATGGCTCATAGCAGAAAACAATGCTATATTTTTTCCATAAACGGAACTCAGGAGGTTTTCTCTTTCCATTAAAGAAAGGATGAAATTAAAGAAGCTGACCTGCTTTAGAATGTGGGCCCGTCTGTCTGAAGTCACCATATGCTATAAAAACCTTGATAAAGAAAGATACTGGCTGATTCGATTTAAGAGACAAGAAATTTCATTTTGTCCTCGAATATTTTTTCTAGTTTTCTAAAGAAAAGAGTCTAAATGTTCTCTCTGCCATCCTTCCACTTTTAAAAGAAAAATTAATAAGGATTTTAGTGTTGGAGGGAGGAAAGGCAGGGAAAAAAATACGTGAGTGTTCTCTGCCCCCTGCTGGACATTTCTAGAAGTTGCAAGGCTGTCCCCAGGATTCTGGGAATAGGAAGACAGGAACCTCAAACCGCTGGGGTAAGATGTTCTTGAGTTCTCATATGCACAGGTCAAGGTTTTCCACCTTCCCAGGACCCACAAACCTGAGGATCACAGGTCGTCTTCAAAACTCAGGTGTACAGTAGAATCCCAAAAGTAATCATGCTTGCCCTCATCCACTCCAGGGTTTATGCTTTGGAAGGTATATTGTGAGCACAAGGAGCCTAATTTTTAACCCGATGGATGGAGTCAAGTGATTCTAGAATGTTCTCCTGGCTGTCAAGACCAGGAAGCTGTGTCAATTTCAGAACAGCAGGGCTCCAGGCATCTCCCTCGAGCCTTGAGGAACAGCTAGCAAGTGGTGGGGGCGCCCCACCAGCCCTCACCATCCGCTCCCTTCAAACACCCAGCCGATTCTCAGCTGGGCCCTGAAGTGGCTGATGCAACAGCCAGCTTTGGCCACATATTTTTTTAAAAAAGAAAAATGAAAATGAGAGACCTCAAGGACTCAGCAAGTTCGAGATTTACAGGACTATGTTTTACAGAAGAAGAAATTAGGATCCAGAGAGGAGCAGGAGCTGCCAAGGACCAAGGGGTGACAGCGTGGAGTTTCTGCCAACGGCACAGCAGACCCGTCTCCTCCACAGCTGTTTGGGATTTACAATTATCCACTGACAAGCTCCGGTCAGGGGACTTCAGTTCAGCAAACAACTGAAATTCTCAGAAAGTACCATCCATCTATTTATCCACCTATCTACCCACCCATGAAATTAACATACACTGAGTCTCCAGCAGGTGCCAGGCAGGTTATCTCTTTGTCTAATTCAGTTGTGAAGTCCTGACTTTATTATGATAACTGTAGAGATAAGGTAATCTGAACCCCTGAGGAGTTAAACAGGTTGGAGTAAAGTCAGTAAAGTAGAACCTGAATCCATTTTCATGCACCTGTGGGGTTGTGTGCCAAGCGACTTGGGCCTGTCTCCCATTTTTTGTATTTTTCTTTTGATACCAGGGATTGAAGCCAGGAACTCCACACTGAGCTATATGACTTGACCATTTACATTTTTTGTTTGTTTGTTTTTTGAGAGAATCTTGCTAAGTTTCCCAGGCTGGGTTCAAACATGCTATCCTCCTGCCTCAGCCTCAGGGCACTGGGATTAAGTCTTTCACAAACAGCTGGAGGGGACACAGTTGGAGGAGCCCTTGTGAACCAGCAGAATGGTGTCCACAGAACTGAACGCTGCAAAAGCCACACATGTTGTTGAATCCTGAGAGCTATGATAGTGAAGAAGTTCTTATTCCAGAGCAGAAAGCAGTGCTGAGGAGCTGGGTTGAGTGAGAAGGATCTGGTCATTAAGTCGAACTTGAAAAAACAAACAGAGCCAAGCATCTTGTTGGTGGGTGCCTGGCCGGGGAGACACTCCTGAAAGTGTGAACTGATTTTTCCACCTGGAGGGCATTGAGCAGAACTTTGCAACTGCTATTTGGGACTGATGTCCTCAAATCAATTCTGCTAACCAAGGCTTACACATGTTGAGATTTGTGAGGTCAGGATTTGAACCCAGAGCTTTGCATTTGGCCGCTATGCATTTGGCCTCCATGTTTTCTTGCCTCTGTACCCCCTTGCACATTGCTGGGTTGAGCACTGACCCCAGGCCTCCTGGATCCTGCCAAGGGGCCCTTCCCTGAGCACACCCTCAGCTCTGTGGTAATTGTTGTGCTTCAGCGCTGCAGTGCTAAGGGCAAAGCCAATGTCGCCCCCATGTGGTCTGAGCCAGCTAAGGCAACCCCAAAGCAAGACATCCAAGGTCCATGGGCCATTCTGCTCCTGTCTCCGTGCTTCTTTCCTTGGATTGGCCTTAACTCCAACAGCCTCAGACAGAGGCATGGGTGCTCCAGGATGGAAGCAGGATGAAAGGAGGAAAAGGAGACAACTTCATAACCCTTGCAGGAAGTTTCCTGGAAACCATGAGTGGGTTTCCTACCCAGATCCCCTTGCACAAAGCATGGACCTATGGTTCCACTGTGAGGCCAACCTGACCCAGGTGATATCAAGCAGTGAGGAGAATGGATTCCAGGGGGATTCAGCTTTCTGCAGAGGCACATGAGAGTCACCAGCCCCTCAATTTCAGCATGTGTTAAAGAGGGACTCTGGCTGGCAGCCTGGAGCTGGGGTCAACCTCAGTGTTCTCCAGGATTCTTCTTCGCCAGTGCCCAACTCTTCTTCTCTCATTGCAGTGTGAAAGGAGGCTGGTGTTGCTTCAGAAGCCTGTCTGCCTGGAGAAATCTGGCCACTGGCTCCATATTCTATTATCATCAGGGCTTGCAAGGGAAACTGTATAATACAAAACACATAATTTATAGGATGATTTTTATAATACTCATCCAAAGAGTCAAATACAAAAGAGTACAGGAAATCTATCCATGCACTAAAGACAAAAACCCAGCTGAGGGCCTGAATCCCATAGCAATGTCCTGCATGAGTTCAGCTGAAGACCTAGAGCCAATGGCAATGCCTCCTACAAATCCAACTGGAGGCCTAGAGCCCACGACAATGTCTCATGTAGGTCTATATCAAGGATCGGCACTGGGAAGGCCCATAGTGGAAGCTAGGAAGCCTGTGCTAGCAGGATGAAGAATCTATGCCAGAAGGCCGAGGATTCTGCACTGGAGCCAGGAAGTGACGCTCAAAGTAAGGACCAAGGCTCCCTCGAGAAGAACCACAGCCATTCTCAGTGACAACGAGGTCTCAAGCTCCTCCAACAGTGAGGACAGTTGAGTTCATATCAGAAAAGCCAGTGAGATAAGCTTCTCCCGATTGAACAGCACACCATCTTCACCTCAGAAGCCAGGAAGCGATGCTCAAAATAAAGACCAGAGCTCCCCCAAAGTGAGCCACAGCCATTCTTGGCAAGACTGGAGAACATCTGAGTTCTTATCAGGAAAGCCAGCTCCAGGAGAACCAACAGTACCACCTCTTCCTCTCCAGTTCTCCTTTTTATGCTGTTGGCAACAACCCTCAGGTGGGCCTTCCACACCCAGAACCACCCTGACCCAGTTCAGCTGGGTGTTACAAGTTGACCGCCAGTTGTCAATCCACACCTATGAAAAGAGAGTTCTAAACTCTGCAGACTTCTGGCTAATGCTTCTCTTCTCTCTGGATAATCACATTCTCAACATAGGGCCCTGCAGGGAATCCCACCAGCCTGTGACTTCCTCAGGAGTGAATATCCCAGGGAAACTGTACCTGGAGGCTGAACCAGCTGTGGTGCCTGTGTCAAGGTGCCAAGTGAAGGTGTGGACAATGTCACATCTTGCAACTCCCAAGAGTCAAGCTCACAGAAGTGTTTACAAATGAGCAGAGTCTGAGAATCTCCAGGTCTTACTTAGCCCATCTGCCACTGGCAGAGGGCAGCAGCCTCTAGGTCTCTGGTTCTCAAAGTTCAGGATAAATGAATATCTCCATGGACTTGTGTGCAATGGAGATACAATTCTACACATTTACACCAGGGCCCAAGTTGTATTTTCTTTCCTTTTGTTTTATTTTTTAATTAACTCAGATGAATCTGGTGGCCATAGTCAGGGAATCCCAGCTTGCTGAGCATTGGCCATGTGCCTTTGTCTGCCTTGGCTCTGCCCTTCTGGGCATAAGAACAGGTATCCAAGTTGATGCCCACAGGGTGGGTGTTTGCCTTCTGCCATCTGCATGCCCCCCAGAAGTTACAGCACATGTACTCACCTTTGATTGTCTCTAATCTGGCAAGGGCCTGCTCCCCTTGCTGGAGGACGTTTCCTCAAGGGGCACACAGAGCCATTGTTCTGTGGCGTTATTTAATACCTATGGGACAGAAAGATTCCCCACAGTCCCACAACACAGAGCCAGAACTCATCCAAGAAGTGATGGGAAGAGCTACTGAACAAGTTCTTTTCAGTCTCTTTGTCAGAAACAAACCATGTTAGTCAGCTTTCCAGTACTATGACAAAATACTTGAGATAATCTTAGAAGAAAGAAAAGTTTCTTTTAGCTTATGGTTCAAAAGTTTCAGTCCATGGTTTGCTGCATTGCTTTTGGGCTCTGTGAGAGGCAGAGTCGTCATGGAGGGACAAGCATGGTAGATCAAAGATTCTCACCTCATGGAAGCCAGGAAGCAGGAAGAGAAACCAAAAGGGTCCAGGGTCTCAATAGCCCCTTCGGGGTATACCCCCAGTGACCCAACTTCTTTCCACTAGGTCACACCTCCTAAAGGTTCCTCCACCTTCTAGTATACCATAGGATGGGACCAAGCCTTTCACATATGCACCTTTGGGTAACATTCATGATCCAAACAATAAATAGCACCAACTTCGGTTCCAGGAAGAGGCAAAGATCAGGACAGGTTTGGGTGGGCCATTATGTGCTGATCTAGGGCCAGCAAGAGGAGAGATCAACCAAGGTCAAGCTCACTCAGTGTTAGAGGAGAACAGGGTCTATTTTAAATTCTGCTGCTGGTTCCCATTTCTAGAATTTTTCTATTGTATTATATGCTATCACTGACAGCTAACTTCATTTATTATGCACTTACCATGTGCTTTTCTCTGTTCTACTTTGGGTTACAGAACTGATCGCAAACATAAACTGTTACCATGGGCTTAGAGAGGCAGATGCCAGAGGCTGTATCTATGTAATGCATTGATTCTTTGTGAGGAGGCATATATTAATTAGGCAAGCATATAATTTGGAAAGTATATATTAATTAGGCAGGACCAACATCTACCTATAATGAAAAAATGTTAGGGGTGGAATAAAATGAAAATTTATTTCTTGCTCCCACCATAATCCAGCATGACTGAGTTAAACATATGTTTCCAAATATCCACTTTTCCCCAAAGAGGACCCTGAAGTCCTCTATGTCTGACCAGGCCCTGACTAAGCCAAAATACAAACATTCAGGGTCTGGCAGGCCAGCAGGGATGGGGCTCCCACGCTAGCTGAGTCCCAGTGGGCACAGTGCATGCCATCCCCACCCACTTCAAGGGAGCTGAGATGTGTCTTCTGGTCAAGCACCTGCAGGAAACAAGGTAGAGTGTGATGAGCACAGAGAGTATAGTATCCAGGTGCTTATGGTGTGAGAAACAGGATGGAAAGGTGCTGTTTTATTAACTCCTAAGGTTGATATCAGGGAAGACTCTGATCTTCCCAGGGGGGTGACATTCCAGGTGTGATATGAGGGTCAGGAGAAGTCCCAGTTTAGCTAAGGAGGGAGCATTCTGGCCAGAGGCACAGCATATGCCAAGTCTTTGAGGCAGAGTGTGTGGTGTGCTGCAGAGACTTAAAAAGAAGCAGAGCTCAGAGGGGAGAAAATGTTGAAGAAAACATTTTTGGATATTGCTACAGAGAAAGGCTGACTATTAAGACCATCGAGATAGGTACAGAGACCACTCCAACAAGCATTTGCCGTAGAGCAGAGAGACGAAGCTCAACTCTGAATAAAACAAAATAAAGTGGGAAAGAAAAGTAGCAAAGGTACAGTGTCAGAGGATTGGAAATTCCCAAGAGGAACCATGGGAGATAAAGGGTGATTCTGGTGGTCAGATAAGAAGTGCCCTTCCCATGAGGCAGCAGCAGCCAAGGGCTGGGAGGAGAAACAGGGAGCTAATTCACCCTTCCTGTGAGCCAGCCAATGTGAAACTGGGAGACAGGAGCCGCCCACCCCTAACTTCCATAAGCAACCAGCTGATTCAGAGAAACACAGACTGAGTTGATAGCAACTGAGGTTCAAAAGCAACTTAAAGCTGTATTGTTTGATTGACTTAGCAGGACTAAAGCCAGTAGTTTAGGCAGCTATTTAGAAGATAACAATAAGCAATATAGCAACTATATGGGATTTTTTTTCTGTCTTGTTTTTGAAGTCTGATATTGTTCTCACTATTTTGTTTTGCTTCATTTTATTGTTTGGTTTTATTCTACCTTTGTTTTGATTGGCTTTATTCTGTTTTGTTTTGTTTGATTTTATTTGTTTATTATTAATGGTTTGGGCAGCAATTTTGAAGATAACAAGAGGCATTATGCTAGCAATTGTTGATTTCCTATTGTCCTGTACAAGTCACTCCCCTGAAAAGCTGGAAAACTTGTGCTTCCTCTGTTAGAGAGCTCACTGGTGCTGCATTGGGAAGCTGTTGTTTGTGCCCCAGGGTAATGTTGGTGACTGGTACTATCACCAGGATGGGGCAGGAGGGGTTCAGGTGCAGAGGGATTGTGCCTCTCTGGGTTCATTATTTCAACGTAGTGGGCTATTTAACACTTCCCCATACACTAGTGCTAGGTAAATATCATAGAAATGTGTTTCCAGTGAGCCATATTCCCATTAATGACCCCTAGAAAAACATAGGATGCTGACAAAACACCTCTATTCTGGAGCTGGTCAGGGAATTCAGAGTGAAAAGACAGATTTCCTAATGAAACGAGAGCAAAATGTAGGAGAGGACCATATGGTGGTCCTCAGCAATGCCCAGGCAAATTCCAGAAATCTATCCTGAAATTCTTAGCACTCAAAGAAGGAAAGGATCATCTATTACAGAAACATCGTCATCTGTAGGTGCTAATAAAGAGGAAGTGATATGAGCGTTTGCTCCATTTAGTGGTCCTCAGTGCAGACGAATAGCACAAAAGCACAAGGAAAATTAGATAAATTAGTTCTACAAGAAATCAAAAGGGATGCAGCCACTCGGGCAGTTCTGGGGTGGCTTTGTATAACCTGAAATAAAGTACTGAATATCAAGAGGGCTGCATGAGCTCAGGCAATCATTCATGAAATAAGTTTGAATGAGGCTGCTGTGAGTCGAGAAGCGAGACTGTAACTGGAAAACATTCACTCAGTGGAAAACAGACATGGCAGCTTCTCAGGGCTGGGAGTTGTGCCTGGCCCTGGGATGAATGAGTAGGTAGGAAGCCTGTGCTCAGCATACTTACCTGAGGGGCAGGATAGGGTTTGTATGCACAACGCTGAGGCGTGACTGTGGGAGCAAAGTCCCCTCCACCAGGCCTCTCTTCCAGGGAGAATTCACCCTGCTGTGTGAGTCCCAGCCTATTTGTTCCCCTGGTCACCATCCAGATGAGTTTGATTTCCTTGCCTCCTTTTCCAGTCTGTAGGTTTGCCAAGCAACCAGTGCAATGGGCACTGGGGAAATGTGCACTTCAGTTCTGAAAAATTACAGTCAGAGAAGCTCCTGGAAAGGAGCACAGGGCTTCTGGGTGGAATCTGGGGCCCCTTCTCTCCCTGTGTCCAGCTGCCGAGCTGAGTGGGGACCGCAGTAACCTTTGCTGTGTTTCTTCCCACAGGCCCCTACCACACCGTCACGGCTCCTCGGCCCAACTGCGTGAGTCCTGGCTCCCCTTAGCTGCTCGTCAGTTTTCAAAACTTAAAAGAGAGACTTGTTTCAAGTCTCTTGATGAATTGTTTTTAAAAAGTCCCGAAAGGCATACTTTGCTGGTGAGGAAAACTGCACTGTAATTCTTAAGTAAAACACTGTATTCCGGTCCCAATGCACAAGGTCGGTGGAAAGGATGAAAGGGGAAAACATTAACACCCAGAGCTGGCATGTGCATCATGAGAAAACACTTCAGGACACCACAGTGAAATTTTAGATTGAGGCAAACATTGGAAAACAATCTCACAATATTAACCACACAACATAAAAATATTTTTGGTCCAGAAATTGTATGGTCAAAAAATTTAAAATAAAGAACCAATCTAAATTTTGGACTAAGATTTAAAAGAATTTGTTGACATTTTGCAACACTTTGGAACCATGCTAAATACTCAACAATATAGAAATAGTTAAATAGGGCAGGATATACCATTTTATAGTCATTTGAAATAGTCACAAAGAATTTTAACAAGTAATGACAAAGATTACATTTTCTGACCTTAATTCAAACACCTAATATAAGTTATTATATTAAATTATAATGTATATAATTTAAATGAACTTATCTATAGGTGATAGGTCAGTAGATAGATTATAGATAGATAAGCTTCCTATAAAGTCATTGGCTTGTTACTCTCTAAAATAAATCTTCCAAAATCTAATTAAAGCTAGGGACCCTCACACAGGAACACACGTAAATACACAATATTTTTTAAGTAGGAGGCTTATAGGTTGTGAATACTGAACCTATAATAAAGAATCCCTCAGGCTGGGAGAAAATAGTAATGGATAGCTATATAGACAGATAGACAACAGATTGATACATAGATGATAGAATTCATTATATTTTTAAATTATCTCTTCCTCGGCCCTTCCTCCCTCTCTCTCTCTGTCTCTCTCTCTCCCATAAAATAGAACAAAATATTTACATTCACTTCTGAGAAGCAGCAGCCTCTGAAGGCTACTGCATATTCTTATCACCCGGGTGACAGGTGTGGTCTTTCTCCCTTTCTGTCACCCACCACCCCCACGAAGTCCAGCCACAGGACCAATGACAATGGCATGTAGTCTTACCTCCTCGGCTCTGGGGTGTCCCCAATTTTCTAGAGAAGCCTCTTCCCTGGAGGGCACTGGCTGCTGCCATGACCGTACACATATGGTTCCTTGTGGCAAACGCCCCTGCCTCTCCTGTAGCTCAGAACTCACTTCCGGCCCCATCCTCCCTTTCTGTGCCAGTCATGACACCACCTAGAGTTCCTCCAGCAGCTTTGCTGAGCCCTAGTCCAAGTGTATCACCGACCTAAGCTCAGAATATGGAAGACGGGGAGCCATCACACATGCTGGGCTGGCACTGTGATCAAAGGCCAAGCACAACCATACTGTGCCTCATCGGTGGCTTTCTGACAATGACCAAACGTAGTACACTCGGTCATCCCAACTGAAAGATAGACAGTGGAACAGGAAGGTTTGTGGCCTCTGCACGGTCAGAAAACTAACCAAACCACAATGTCAATCAAGGACAAAGTGACTGCAAAGCCCTGCTGTCACCAAGCCAGCCTCACAGAGTTTCCCAGCCAAGAACTTCCCAGCACCAGCCTCGCCTGACTCCTAACACCCTTGGCGGGTTCATGGGATTCACAGCAGCAGTGCTGCTCTCTGAGGGCCCCGCATCAAAGCCACCACGCGTGGGTTTCCAGTCTGCCTCTGTGCCCAGTGACTTAACCTTCTCCCCTTTCAGTGACCAGGCTTTTCTCTGCTCCCACCTTTCTGCTCCCGGGTCACTGCATGGCCCCTCGCATGTGATCACCTCATGTTTGTCAAACTTGCCCTTGATGCCTCACCCATGGGTGACTTCACTTAGCACCCCAGGCTTGCCTTCCAGTGGAGCACAGGGGGGAAGCAAGGGCGAGCACACTGAATGCCAAAGCTGCAATCTCTGGGCCCCTCGCCCCTGCCTTTGTGCTGTGCCTCAGACAGCAGCGGCTTACTCAGCGAAGGTCTGATATGCACCACGCTCCTGCCCCTTGCATCTAAAGATTCTGGTTCTCTCTGCCTACTGGAGCCCCGAGCCTGCCTTCCCCACTGATGCTCACTGCATTCCCTCTGTATGGCTGCTTCCTAGAAGTTGGAGTCCCCCCAGCTCCTCTTTACCTTACCACGCTGCTGCAGCTGGGGTAACAGGGACAAGCCACACAACACACCCTCTGAGGCCTGCGCTGGGAAGCAAGGTGCCCAGCTAACTAGAAAACTGAAATGGGGCAAAGCTAGAACCTGAGTCTGACTCCTGGCCGGTCTCTCCACTGTGATAAAATCGCCTCTTTGCTTTTCCCGTTCAAACAGTAGAATCCAGCACATGAAGCCCCTAAGCCTGTTAGGTCCTGGACCAGTGTTAGAGGCTGGAAGAGGCTGCTGCTTCCCGCAGTCTCTGACTGTCTCCACCTGCACTGCTCTGAGAAGCAGCAGAGGATCTTCACTGAGGGTTCCACCGGGTTCCGTGCCCGGGTTACTGCATGCCTGTGTCACCGAAGACATTCTGGGGAGCAGGTGTGACTACTGACGTGTGCAGGTGGCCATCTAATCCAAAAATAAGCTCACGGTGGACCCCAATAAAGACACGTCTCTAACTAGACAATTACAACATGAATCAAAATTTGAAAGTAAGCATGCAGGAATCCTTATACCCTTAAACTTAAGATTTATCATTTTATGCACTTATGAAGCATATATTAAGAATTTATTAGGCGCTGAAAGAAAAAAAGTTCAAATATAGCTCAGGGTAGAAAGTAACACCTTTGATTTTATGTGGTCAGCTCTTAATTGTCAAAATAACCTAAAGTGAGAGTTCAAGGCAGGGTTCAGGGGCTGCCCATACCCATCTAGCATGGGTACGAGTGGGGTGGGAGAAAGGAAATTATCTGGGGCTCCTCATCATGTGACCCACCCAAGGAGGGCCCCGAGTTGTCTGCCCTTCATTTTTGGGGTGCAGAACAGTTTTAAATTTCTGATGCTGGGTTCCCGTTTGGATTTGTTGTAAAGATCTCCTTTTGCTCACCCGTGGCACGTGCGACCTGTGTGCTTTGGGAAATCACCAATACCAGTTTCTAAATTTATAAAAGGAAGATAAAAGCTCCCCATTGGAAAAAACCCAAGTTGGGGAATGTCCATGAAAAGTGAGGTCTCTGTCTCATTTTCATTCTTGGCATCTCCTGTCACCCCTTAGCTCTTTCCCATCTCAGCACTTGGATTTCTCTCTCAAGCTCACATCAAGAATAAGAGCAGGGAAAGTTGAACTTTCTGAGACCTAGAGGCAATGAAAGATCTCTCTCTGCCCTGAAGCATGGCTGAAGGAAGGCGAGACTGAGTCAAGTCTCTGCTTACACAGGGAACAGTGCCAGCTCCAGGCCCTGCACAGTGCCACACACCAGAATCGCTCTGGTGACAGCTACACACGAGGACATTTTCTCTGGACTGACACCCACCGCAGAGCCTCTGAGAAGCACCTATGTCAATCAGTTGGCACTGCCAGAACATTAATACCACAGCTTGGACAGCGTGGGCGTTTATTTTCTTACACGCCTGGAATCTGAAGTCCCAAGTCAAGGGACAGCGAGGACCCTCCCTTCAGGGTGCAGGTGGTTTCCTTATTGCTGTCTGCACAAATGGTCTTGTTCAGTGCATGAATGGGTAGGAGACAGGAAGTTCATTCTGAAGGAACTTTGGATTAGCTTGTCTATTTCTGCAAAAGAAGAAGAGGGGGAGGGGATGAAAATAAAAGTCCATGAAATTTTGGCACGGATTGTGTTGAATCTGTGTCTTGCTTTGCAAAGTATGCCTAGCTTAACAGTTTTCAGTCCCCAATCCATAAAAATTGAGTGTCTTTACATTTGTTAAAGTCTTCATAAATTACTTCCCATCATGTGTTTGCAGTTTCTCCCATGCAAGTTTTGCACATCTTTTGTTAAGTATACTCTAAAGTACTTTATTTTTGAAGCCCTCCTAATATCATCATTTACTTAATTTTTATTTTCAAATTATTACTGGTTTATAGAACTACAAATTGTTGTTACCAATATGCACAAGTGAATTCAGTGTGAGATTGATACTATATTTTCATCCCTTGCTGAATCTTTTTTAATAAGTTCTATTTCAATAACCTTCTAGTGGCTCCTTTGGGATTTCCCATGTATAAGATCATCTCATCAGCAACTAGGTCCCCTCTCTGCTTTTAAGTGCCTGTGTAACTATATTGGGCTCACAAAATAATACAGGACTATCCTCTTCTTTTAAAATCAACTGATTATCAACCTTAATTACATCCTCACTCTCCCTTCTTATTGGAAAGTAAGTAGGTATTTGATTGAATAATCAGAAGGGAAAAAATTCTCACTCTCCCAAGAATTGAACTTCTAATTAAGACCCCCAGACTCTTGAGTCTTTAAATTTCAGTTAAAGCCTCTGTGTCACTTTCCCCGGGCCAACACTGTGGCCTGCAATCTTGTTCCTCCCTGTGACTTACCAAGATGTACCCACCTACTTAGGAGAGGAACACAACTGCAGCCCTGGACAGAGCAAAATTCCCTGCAGACACCAACTATGAAGACCCCGAGCTTCAGATGGTCGATGTGTGGCCATCGGTGAAGATTTTACCAGCCCGACCCATAAAGGAATCAGAATACGCAGGTAACGGGCAGGGCTGTGCGTGACACTGTGCCACAGAGCACAGTAATTCAGGATGCCAATTCTGAACTGAACTACCCCAGGGTGAAATCCTCCTTTGCGCCTTCTTAGTATCCCGATGGCCTGTGCATGTCTCCAGAACTCACCATCTCCATCTGAAGATGGCGCTTATAATAATAGGCCTCCCCAAGAGTCTTTATAGAGATGACATCAGTCATTCACATGGGATCTCTGCCAGAGGCCTGTGCAGGGCCAGCACTCTGGACCTGTGGCTGTCGCTATGATGATAGTGGTGCTCTTCTGGGTCATAGGCAGCTCGCCAGCCCTAGGAGCACGGCAGAGTGTGAGTGGCCAGGAAATGGGCCCATCGCAAGTGTTCAGCTGGAGTCTGAATGGTGGCAGAGCGGGAGGGAACTCAGCACACATGATTCATTCTGCAGATAGTCAGACCACGCGTGATTCCGGGTACAGCCACAAAGCCACGCTCGCTGGGAGTAGGGAAGAACGAGCTTTGCACTCACTCTCATGTTTTGCTACTTGGAATGCGTAAGGCAACTCCGGCAGGTCTGTGAACCTCAGACGCAGTGCTCTACCATAAAAGCAAGGGGGAAGCAAGGCCCGGCCCACAGAAACCACGGCATTGCGGTTCCCACATCTCAAAGAGAATCATCTGGTAAATGAAGAAATGTTCTCCTGTTCAGTGGTGAAGGGCACATCTAGACGGTGCCAGTTACCAGTTTAGAGCTCATCAGGGGCGAAGGGGAGCGGAAAGGTAACCCACACTGCCAGGAAGGTCTCAAGCTGGTGACATACACAGATCGACAGGGAAAGGTGGCACAGAGCCAAGCTGGTGTCCGGGGTCCTAGCTGGGCAGGGCCTGGCGTGTTGTCTTAGGGATGTCTGACAGGTCTCTGGAGGACAGGTAGAGATAGCCCTCGGACAACAACCTAAAGTGTGGGAGGTCGTGTCCGGATTGTGCGTGCATTACTGACTTCCCAGAGGTGTGACTACAATCCTTTTCCCTTGGCACAGATACCCGCTGTTTCCGGGACGCCTCCTCTCTGCAGTACGCCACGCCTGTAACACCCCCTCCAAGACGAATGCCGAATCCGAGACTGCAGCCAGAGGAGGTGAGTACTGCGGGGCCCTGTGACCCAACTTGTGGGTTCCCTTAGGTCGCGCAGGCCAGGTTCAGGGAACCTGAGCCACAGGAGGCTAGGGTGACCCTGGTGCTGCAGAAGGACCCAGAAGAAAGGAGAACTGATATTTGCAGTCCACACACCTGGAGCCAGGCACCAGGCACAGACTCCGGCATGCTTGTCATCTAATGCTGCATGCCTTCAGCAGAACTAGGACTTGAGCTCACACTTTTGCAAAAATATCTCATCTCTTTATCCTGACCCTCAGCCCAGCGTTGCCAGCTGCTAACTGGGTGGTGATAAGTAAGTCACACAGCCTCCCAGGGCCTCAGTGACCTTGCCCACTAAATGGAAATGAAAATCGCTATCAATGTGACTTTCAAGGACTACTTCAGCTGAGTGTGGCGGTGCACACCTGTAATCCCAGTACTCTGGTATGCTGAGGCAGGATTGAGCTCGGCCTGGGCACCTTAGTCAGACTGTCTCCAAAAAACATAAAATTAAGTGCTGGGATATAGCTCAATGCAAAACACAAACGCCCTAGGTCAAATCCCCTAATACTGCCAAAACAAGGAAACAAACAAACAAAAACCATAGCAAAAACACAGGAAGGTTACCACAGTTAATATGATGAAAACATCTCGTCAATGAAAATGCCCTAAATGCATACAATGTTTATATTTTTAATGAAATGCTCAGTAATATTTAACTCCCTTAATGAAAAATTGCCTGATTTTTCCTAATAGAGAGAGGATTTTACTGTCAGTTCCCTTTTCACTCTGCACCCAGAGCCTGCGAACATGCCTCCGAGTGTGCACACAGTCCTGGTGTGCTCTGTGCTCTAACTGTTCTCTTAACTTGAGGCCCGGCAGCCACACTGACAATGTCTTTGCTCTGTGCTGCTACCAGGGAATATCTGACACTGGGTTTATGACAGACAGAAGTTACTGCTCAGTCCTGGGAAACACAAGATCAAATGCCCGTAGCAACTGGGGAAGGCTTTCTGGAAATAGAGTGGAGAAAGAAAGAGACAGGAAAGGAGCCAGAGCTCCCCTTCAGAGCACACCCACTCCAAGGTACAGGCACTGATCCTTCGGCTCCTGTGGGCAGAGCCTGTAGACAATGACAATTAGATTCTAACACGAATCTTCTGGGAGGGGAGGGGAGGGGAGGGATATTCAAACCACAGCACATAAGGAAAGGAAAGTACAGTGTTACCACTGTACATCATGCCCTGTACACAGAATCCATCTGACAGGGCTCCGGAGTACGGGAGGGTAAAGGACACTCCACCCCTCCTCGCCAGCACTGAGCCAGACCTTCCAATTAATCACTCAGCAAGTTCCTTCAGAGCTCCACTCCACATCCCCTGGGATCTGACACCTTTAGGGACGCCAGTGTCAAATCAGCCAGCAGCTAGTTCCCTGCTCTCATAAGACCTATGCACTCGTGCAAGGAGACCCGTAGGGAATAGGTAAATCATAGACGGACAATACAGCCAGGGAGGACACATTTGAAAAGTAACCCAGAAGGAAAGCCAAGGAGACCTTTCTTGGTCATAGACTATGGATGCATGACGTCTCATCCTTAAAATCAGCCCAGCGTTCCTTTCTAACTTCAGTGACTCCTGGCCAGTTGTCACCCTCACTGAGCTTTCACTGGCCGCCTTACAAAATCTCACAGCTGTTCTTCTAACACACCAAGAGGCCCGCGCACAGCCAGGCAGGCATGAGAGCCCCCTCTTAAGCACAGGCCTGTTCTAGCCCGGTGCAGAGCCTTATGAAGGTGGTTCTCAACAGATCCTGGTTAGATGGATGAAATGGGCAAATGCTCAGTCATTTGAACTCAATGGTGAAAATCACGCAGCTGTTTAACAGGACAGACTTGGCCTTTCCCCTGCCCGGAGTCCGTCCCCATGAAACACTCCAGCCTGGCCCATGAAATTCCCTTGCGTTGCTACCAAGAATTGCAACTGGGAGCACCAAGCAGGGGCTGCAGAGCAGCATGGAGGGCATCTCTAGGTGCCACTTCCAGAGCAAAGGGTGTGTCCCCGGGAAAACAGGAACCCCAGCGTGGCTGGCCCAAGAGCGGAAGACAGGGGTCCAGTTATAAAAAAAGAAAAATAATCACAGCTAAAATGTAAAACACACTCAGTGTCCTTGTACTGATAAGTGTTCATGGATAGAATTGTTTTTTCTGGAAAAATAAACCTGACTTGCTTTTCTAGCAACAGCTGTGGCAGAATTGCAGCCTCTATTCGGAATCCTGCATTCCTGCTTCCCATTCGGTTTGTAGCTCTCCACTGAACCCAAATTTCTCCTTGTAGCAGGCTCACTTTGCAAGTGGAGCTGCACTCTCCTCACATTTAAGCCAAGTGAAATCAAGTGAGAAACCGGTAGGAGAGGCTCAGGAAAACGCTGGCCAGTGGGAAACTGCCTCACAAGTTACCCAAGGTCCCGGCCTCAGTTCAGATAGAGTTTGCTTTTATAATCAGTGTTTGAATAAGCAAGTTTTTATGGGAAGCAGATTATCTTTTTCATTACAACCTCATTTTCAGGGATTGATTCGTATTAGTTCACTACATTTATATTTAGATTAAACTATCTGTGAAAGGGATCTCTGTGTCCTTTACAGAGGTCGGTCCTTATCTCCTGCGTTGGGTACAACTGCCTTGCTAAACTATTTCTCTAGTACTGAGCACTGACTGTGTACTATACACCTTGCTCAACAACAGGACATTAAGCTGAGCCAGGCGCATGGTCTAACGGAGAGGATGGTGATGTGCAGTGGCCATCTGAGTGTCACAGAGAGGGCTGGCGTGGGGGTGGGCACAGGAGGCACAGGTGTATCACTGAGCCCAGCAAAGGAAGCAGGCACACTTGGCTTGCACATCTCTTACACACGACATGGGAATCAGTGGTTCTCAATGAGGAGATCTGGTCCCCAGGGACCTCTGGCAAAGTAGACACATCCTTGGTGGCTACAGCCAGGGGAGAGCTGCTAATACCCAGTGTATGGACGACAGGGGGGCTGCAGACTGAGGACCCCATGCAGGCAGCATCCTTGGTGGCAAAGGGAGACCCAGTCCCACCTCTCAGCAGAGCTGAGACTGAGAGTCTGTGTGTACTACGTGGCTCCTGGGCATGTCTGAGTCCTCCTCTGGTATCCAAGGTGATTCTTCTAGTTCCCTCATGGTCCAGCATCAGAGCAGGTACAAAGTTAGCCCTGAAAAGCATCCCGATGACAGACAATGGGACACGCCTTAAGGCAGAACCCAAGAAGAAAGACGCTGGAGACACCAAAACACTCACGCAGCTGATCCACCAGACACACTAGGCGGAGCTCGGCTGCTGGGGGAAAAGAAGCAGGAGCCCGAGGAGGCCCCTTCCCAAGGCCAGGGGCACACAGGACCAGGCACGGTGGAGACCACAGGGCCCACCCTGCCCCCAGACCAGGCTAGCAGCGGGGCCAGGCAGGAAACCTCAGGGAGGCCCTTCCTACAGGACAAGCATGCAGTGACAGTGGAAGCCAAGGGTGCTGCCGAATGTTCGAAGAGCCCCACAGTGTCCCCACCCTCACAGGTGACCTAAAGGGACGGGAAGGTAACTGTGCATGGAAGGGGAGCAGAGCTGGGGTGAAATCCAGCCAGCACTGTGTCCCGCCCAGCTGGAGCAGGTCAACAGCATCTCACAAAGAACAAGAACCAGTGGAGGTGCAGTGACCCCTCAAACACACTCAGTGCCAGAGAGGAGAGGCACCTGGAGACCACGACGTGTCATGAAATAAATGAGACTCACACACACAGACACCACATGGGCTCTCTTGTGTGAGAAACCCAAGCTATAAATAAGCAGCAAATAAATGATAGCAGGAAACAAGGACACAGATCTTTTGCAAATGGGAAGGAGACCAAGAAAGGGAAGAGCGAAGGAAGGAGGAAAGAGGAAAGGTAAGTTAAAATAACTGAGAGGTCAGGCTGTGGATAGAGCCCAGAGGCACAGCGCCTGCCTCTGTTTGATTCCAGATAATCCCAAATAAAAACAAAAGACATGGTAGCCACACGAACCAACTGCATAAGGTGAGTATAATCACTATGCACTGCAAATGTGCTAATAAAAATTAAAAATTTAATAATTAATTGGATGTCAGAGGGGCATGGGGTACAAGACCCCGGTGTGGGCTGAGGCTTTGGCTCCCAGAGGCAGCTTTAGCCGTCTTCCCCCTGCCAGCTGCCAGGTCCACAGTGAGTAACAATCTGCTAAGGTCTCCGGTGACATGAAAAGTGACAGAGTTACTCAGCATGATCGGCGATGTCTCGTGCTCCAGGCATGTGGCATGCTGAGTGTATCAGTCGGGGTTTACTAGGGAAACAGATGTAACATGAGATACACAGATGTGTCAGGAATGACAAGATTGGCCTACGATGGTCAGCCCCAGAGTCGGACGAGGGAGCCTGCGGACAGTGTCACACGCTGGAGGTTGAAGGGTCTGTGACCTAATGCTGAAGAGTCCATGACAAAGGCTAAAGAATCCCAGGCAGAAGGCGAAGAGTCTGTGCCAGAAGCCAGGAGACGGCGTCCAAGATGGTGGTGAAGACCGAGCTCCTCTGAAGGACCAGGGATCAGTCCTCCCGCATTTGCTTTTACTGTGCCCAGGCTGCTCCCCTGGGGCAGGGGTAGCACTCACACGGCCTGTGTCCTCTGCACAGGCTGAGGCTGTCACAAACTAGGGACCCTGGCCCCTGTTGAGTCACTGAGTTAAAGTTCCAACCTTCTCAAATTGACCCAGTGAGAAATACCCTAGAGAGGTAAGGGCTTGTCCTCTACACCCCAGGCCGAGGAGCTGCTGGGTCACTGAATGAAGCTTCTAGAGCCACCCAGTTGACACAATGTGTAAACCATGACACTGAATCTCCAGTCTCACCAGGAAGTGACACTTGGCCAACTGTCTCACAGGTGAGGAGATCGAGGCTCAGAGGTGGAGTGGTTTGCCACCTGTTCACAGCCAGCACAGGACGAAAGCACAATCCCAGCCGCAAGGCCACACTGCCATAGCTTGACCACCACCCGAGACCTGAGGTGTGCTGATCTTCAAAGCAGCCCAGGGCATAAGCTGAATTCTCCCCATCAGGACGTGAAGCTCTTAATCCACCCCATGCCTTCTGTAAGTGCCCACCGGGAAGAGACAGGGCTGGGTGTCAAGCCCAAGGTTTTCATGCCAGATACTCCCGGGCACCTCGTCCTGCACCTCGGGAGGAACAGGTGACACTCACTCACTGACCGTCAGCCCTCCACAAACCACAGGGCCAGGCCTTTCCACATCCTTCCCTGAGGATCAGGCAGCGTGGCTGGCGTCACATGTGAGATAGTGTCATCACCACAGTTTGAGAGGTAATGGTCTTCCACTTTGTCTTCCACAGATGGACAAACCCTTTTCCAAGGAAACGAGAAGCCAGCATGTCACAGGTAAAGTCCCATCACAGCAGTCTGAACCATGGGGATGGGAATGTCCACCTTAGCCCCCAGAGGTGTGTTGTTCTTTGTGACCTCAGGCTGTCTTTCTCATGCTGGTCTAAGGGACTTAACTATCTCTTATTCCTTTTTATTGTCTTTCTTTATTGACAAAGAAATTGATTGTGAAAACTCATATTCTGTGCAGTGCGTGTGGAAAGAAAATTGTTTGGAGGTGTATGGTTTGCATGAAACATAACCACGTGATTCAATAGGCCTACATCCAGATACCCGTAAGACAGAAACCTAATTTTAAAATGTTGATTAATTAATATGAAAATAGGTCTTAAAGCTTTAGGCCAAGCGACTCAGTTTGAGGCTGGACAAACTAAAAGGGAGCCATCAGTTGCACAAGTGCACGAGGAGCCCCAGTGATGGGCATGGGAATTGAATTGAATCGGGTCCGATCCCGGCTAGCATCTCTCTTCCCCTCACCTGCAGCCTGTGGTCCCCTTATAGAGATGACAGTCGGTTGCCTTTCACCTCCCGGTAACTAGAACACAGTGAGCTCCCTGTGTGTCCTGTGCTTTACTCCATCACGTCTTGCTGAAGCCACCTTCTCTTTAATGAGCAAGTGTAACCCTTGAGGTCCTGCCCAGAGCAGGTGGCTCTCAAATGTGGGTAACATGGGAAGTGGATCCAGTCTGTGGGGTGCAGGCAGGGACGGGGTGGCAGGACAAAAGCCACACTGACAGCCAAGGCCCAAAAGGAGGACAGGATGGGTGCAAAAAACCACCAGGAGCTAAGACGCAGGAGCCATGTGCTTGGTAGAGGCTACTGACTTGGCTCAGGGACCTCCAAGCAGGTCCAGGAAGTGAGCTCCTGACCCACTGCCCTCTCTGTCTCCCTGTGACTTCCGGCAGCAGCGTCCAGCAGCGTCCCCATCGTAGCACCAACCACAGAGGAGAGGCTGGCAGTGGGGAGAGGGAAGCAGCCAGGCATCCAGGAGGGAAGAAGGGGGACTCCAGAAGCAGGTGAGAGGGTGCAGAGAGCGAGGTCAACCACTGAATGCTAGGCTCTGCCACGCCTTCTGTTAGGCAGCTGACCTGCAGGGAGCAGGCAGGGGCTGGTGACTCAGTGGGGCAAGGAGTGCTGGGTCCACAAGGGTGAGCAGGCTCCCCTTGCCATGCTCCATCCTCCGCTACAGCCTCCAGCTCACAGGCTCAGGTCCTCCTTCCCCAGGTCCCCAGCCCCACCACAACGCAGGACATGGGGCCTCATCTCTGCCTCTTTAGCCCTGCCCGCTGCATGCGGCACTTGGTTCAGAGCTAGGAGTTTCTCTCTGGTGCATTTTCAGGCTGGGAAGCAATGGGAGAATTAAGGATATGAAGCATTTCCATTCCTCTCCATTTAGACAGGGACGGGGAAAGGGTCAGTTTACACGCAAATGTTCTAATGGGGCTTTTCCTAGGAGCCGAAGAGAAGGGGTCTGGTGTCCCTGTCTTTTCCTAGGATTCTCTATGCGCATCTGCCCTCATCTCTGACTGTGGAAGCTTGGTCCTCAGCCCCTGATCCCCACAGTGTGTTTCTGTTTATCTTTTCAATAATACATTTGCCTCTACTTGGCCTCCGTTCACAAAGAGGTCACGTCACCAGGAAGCCTGGTCCTGTCAAGAGGAAACCTGCCACTCACTTCCTGAGCCCTGAGTTCTGTGGGCCCTCGGGAAAGAGTTTAATCAAACCACACAGGTGGCCTGCAGAAGCTGATTCTGTAGACCTCCTTATACAATTAGAGAGGCAGAGAGTTACGCCTTAGATAGAGCTAGCAGTCTGCGACCTGCGTCTGCACCTGTGCGAGTCTGGACACTTTTTGTTTTTGATACTGGGGATGCAACTCATGAGCTGGAGCTTGTCCGGCGGCGCTTATACCACTGAGCTAAATCTGCAGCCCCTGGACACCTTTGTACGCACACGAAAGTGACTGACTGTTGGGGTTCAGGGGGCTGCAGTCACTATGATGCCCCTCACCACTGTATCCAGAAGTTACTTAGGAGTTGCAGACTGTCTCTTGGCCTTTTGAGCTGGTCGGTGTTTTCTCGGGTGCTGGTCATGCAGGAAACTTAGGAAAGACGAGTCTTTCCCTGGCTCCAGGTCCCGGCCCAGGGCAGGAGGGTGTTAAGGACCACTGCCCGTCCTGCTGTCCTTGGGCAGTGGGAACATGGTTTGGTTTCTTGAATCGTGGAGGGCCAGGGGGCCAAGGCACGGCATGTGACCTTGGGACCGCATTACACTCTATGGGGTTGATTTAGCTCGGAGGCCTAGGAAATGCCTGTATTCTACGTGGATACCTTTGGTTTTTACCTGTACCCGCTCACACAGGATCACTAATGACCAACTACTGGACTAACATTCACAGTAGTTAGTAAGACCTTGAGCAGTAAAATTAAATGAAATGAAAATCCAAGGGAAAGTGTAGATGGATGATCTGATATGAAGATTAAGATCAAATTTAAGATTCTCAAACACACATGACCACATTCTATTAAAATTAAACCACGAGTTTGCCTCTGAGATTCCTGGCAGTCTGAGCAAAAAGGGAATCCAGATTCTTCCACAATATTAATTTCTCATAATAATAAAGAAAACCAGTTTCTCTGGAGAATTAAAGCTATGCCTCTCAGGATTTCATCTGTGCTGTCAACTAAATGAGGGATTCTGGCAACAAAAATAAAATTATTTTTAATCCAGTCCCTCCTATAATGAGAGGCCTTGAGGACACGAGAGAGAGAGAGAACACAGTTCATGGAGCTCAGGCTCGCTGGGATCCGGGGAGGTGTTGCAGCGGGCTTCTCCAGAGTTATTGTCTTTACATCTGTCTTTGCTGCACTTCCTGATTGATGGTTGGCTACCACTACCTGGGGCTCTCATATCCCACACCAGAGGGAAGCCAGGAGGACAGAGATGAATAGGAATTCTCCCATTTTTAAGATCAGGCATCTTGCTGGAAAACGCTTGGCTGATTAATGTGTTTATTACAAGATTCTATATTTTTGATGCAAACATATTCTCGGATAATTTATTCATTCTCACAAAATGTCACAGGATGAAAACATCTCGGTTGGTTCTGTAAGGGATGAATCTTATGGCAATATTTTTCATCACGTTAAGCATTATAGATTTATGGTAATGTATACTCTCTGTCATTTTTCTTACAATCATATACTGACATTATCTGGAAACTATCAGATTTCAAGAACTTATCTTCCCTGAAGCTTGATGTGGTTTTCTTTTCCATCCCTAAAAATGGTTAAAAGTTTATTTGGAGGCAAAGTATTTACAGGATAAGGGATGAGCCACTAGCAAGAACCACAAATTCAAAAAATAATCATTGCATTTTCTTTTTTTTGGTCTTTTTCCTTTTTCCTTTTTACCGGTACCGGGGATCGAACTCACGACTGCCTGCTTTCAAGGCAGGCGCTTATGCCGCTGAGCTAAACCCCCAGCCCCAATCATTGCATTTTCAAAAGAGGGCGACTATAATTTTCAAATACTACATGGCTTAGCTCGCTAGCAAAACCAAAGCCGAGGGTAAGAGGAGATGGATGCATTTCTCCCTGCCCTCAATGTGAACCAAGCACGAACCAAACCAATTTCCTTTGAAGTGACAATCATGTTATATGCGGGAATGAGTTTATCAAGAAATACAATAAGACACCCAAGAAAAGAAAAAGAGAATCATGCCTAGGTGACTGAACACATACACCCAGAAACATGAGCTCGGTTGAAAAGAAGCAAAGTAGAATTCCACACAGTGTCTTCAAAGACCTTCATACTAACTGGCTTCTTCTACGGGAATGTGGGGGCCAGAGAAATTAGAGATGGGTCTGGATTTAATCTGGTTCAACCCCTTTTTTACACCAGGAGGGTCACAGAGGGAGTGGCTGGCTCAGGATAATCCAGCAGGTGGCCAGGGCCAGGCCATGTGTACTCCGGCGCCCCAGCTCAAAGCCTGCAAACTCCTCTGACACCCACCCCACACACAGGCCAATTTTAGTTTAGTGGGTAAAATACGAATTGGTTGGTGATACTGCCCCCTCGTGGCAAAATACGACAATACAGACTACTGTACTGCAACAATGGGTTTGGCTCCAGGTATCACACATAGCAAATCTCAGGTCGGAGTTGATCAGAAATAACTTTTCAGATTGCCCCTTACCATTTGAAATTTAAGTTTCCTTAAAGCACAACCCTCAGCTCTAAAGCAATACAGGCACTGACATAATCTTTAGACCAAATTTCATGTTACAACCTTTGTGAAATCCCTCCTTCATGGGACCCTAAAGCAATATCTGTCCCAAGCTCCCTGGGGAAAGCTAGCAGCTCACAGAAAACGCAGGGCAGCTGATAACTGCTTGACATAGCAGATATATTTTCTAGTAGAGACACATGTCAGAGGCATGAAATGGGAGACTTAGAAAGAAGATTTTCAATAAAAGCAGCTCAAGAGAATCCATACCTTCCAAGTCATAACTCCCCAGTGAAGACTCAATTTCCAAATAGAATTCCAAGGTACAAAAGCTATCTTTACTCTCATTCTCATAAAGTGACTTCCAAGTCGCCTCATGCGTATGCATAATGGAAAGCGTCTTAATGACTTTGTAAAACTGGGCTGTGTTACCAGCCCCAGCCACCCAGTCTGCTCTGGACTGCGGGCTCCCTCAGAGGCAGGACTAACAGCAGGGAGGTCCCAGGCAAACCCACCCAGCCGGTCACCTCTACATGGCTCCCCGTCTGCAGGTCTTGCCTGCTAACCACAGGGTGAGAGACCGTTTTGCTCAGGACTCTATGGTGCAGCTCCATTTTGCAACTGAGCCCTGGGACTCAGCCCTGGCCACCGTCCCAGAGCAACCCCCTTCCTTCCCCTAACAGCCTGGCCGGCCGTCCCAGCTCTTTCTCCCTGCAGCTTCTTCCTTTGTCTTGTTCTGGGAAGCTGCAAATTACCTGAGACCTCAGGAGTTTCCTTAAATAAAAGGGGAGGCCTCTGGATGTATGCAATTAAACGGGCTGTGAGTTTAGCCAGTGCCAACAGATCTCCTCACTGCCCAGCTCTGCAGAGAAACGCAGGTGTCCCAGAGGGGCGTAGGGCACAAAGCACTCACGGCATCTGCGTCCAGTGACGCTGCTGCTTCCTGGGCCAGACTCCAGGCCCAGGCTCCTGAGAAGGAACTTCAGAACTCTGACGCCAGCTCAAACAGACATCCCACAGATTCACATGCTTTTTCCATCTTGAGTCCTTCCCTGGGAGTTATGCCTACTTTCCTTTTAATGATTGGTAGGTACTAATTATACACATTAATGGGGTCCAGTGTGGCATTTCAATACATGCACCCAGCACGCACTGACCAAATCCATCCTCTTCTATTCATCCTCCTGTCCTCTTCCTTCACTAACATAACCATCTCCGCTGCTACCCACTCTGCCACAAGTGATAGCATGTCATTCTTCTTCATGGCTGAATAATATTCTACTGTGTGCACACTGGTTTTCCTTCATGCCTTCTCCCATTCGAGCACCTAGGCTGTTTCCTTCTGTCGGCTGTTGCGGATAGTACCACAGCACATGTCCCCCAGCATCATCTGGGGAAATATTCCTCGGTGTACAGAATCCACATATACAGAGCCTTACAGACATAAACTGGCACACTCTTCTGCAAATCTAGTGGAGAACAGCGAGCTTGACCTCTCTCTGCCTTGCTCAGTTTTTCTAAGTCCATGTCCTACACGCCCAGATGAAGAAAAGGCTGTAGGTAAGAAACATATTTTCAAAGTTGCTTGTGCAGTCAGCCGGCCCTTGGTATCTCTGGGTTCTGCCCTAGTGGGTTCAACCCATGCAGACCAAAACTATTCAGGAAAACACCATGCCTGTATTCAGCTCCTGTTCCCAGTGACACAGCATCAGTGCTATTTCATGGCGTTCCAATTCTTTTAGGTCTCATCTATAACCTAGAAATAATCGGAAGAATATGCTGTCTGCAAATCTCATTCTGTTTTATATAAGGATTCCAGCATCCATGAATTCCAGCGTCCAGGGGCCCCGAAATCAGGGTCCCCATGCAATGGTGGGAAAAGGAATTTTTAAAGGGAGAGAAACATGGGCATAGCTGGAGGTGAAATGTGCGTGAGTTCTCCATGATTAGTGAGGCTAAGCATCTCCTACATGCTCAAGTGTCCAGTAAATACTGAGGAGCAGGGTCTCTCACGTCCCCAAACACACAAGGACTCCTTGAGGCAGAGCCCAGGTATTGACAGTGTGCAGTGGGAGGGGGCCCTTGGCCTGGACTTGCTTTCCGCCAGGTCCCACCCTGCGTGAGTCCTGTGCTAGGTGTGGATGGGCCTCAGAAGCGCCTGCTTCTCTCCAGCTGAGGGAAGGCGTGGGTCTCCCAGAAGCGACTGAAATGCGGCTGCATGGATGCTGGACTGGGGAGCAAGGAGCCCTGGGATCAAACCCCAGCTTTACTGCTTTGCAAATAGGAGACCTGCGGGGCTCAACATGACCTCTCTAAATAGAGTCTCTGCACCACAGCCCAGGTGCTAGGGACATGGTCACAGCTAGCGCCCCCTGCTGGACTCTCCCAAAGGTGCTGGGAGCAGGGCTAACCCTCCCAGGGGTCTGCCTCCTTCATCTCCACCTCCTTCCCCAGCCAGAAGCCTCTCCTGATTCCCTTTGCAGGAGGAAACCCTTGCATGCTCTTTCTACTTTACTTTTTAACCTAGAAAAGAAATATGCTTTAGTTGAAGTTATAAGAATAAACTAAAAGTCTCCATCGCAGAAATCATAGCTTATGAATTATTGTTTTCCCTGCAGAAAACACACAGCACTGTATGGGACGCACAGTGAATGCTTGGTAAATGTTTCCTGTGTTAATTCTTTGCTGGTTTTCTTGGTGTATTAGATCAGTGCTGATTCTTGCCCAGAGAGGACAGTGACAGGGAAGACCTGGGGACCTCAGTGCCATCTCCGTTCCTTGAGGGCCTAGGAAGGGACAAGTCACAAGGCCTGGTGTGCTTCCAGCACGACTTCTATCTGGATTTCTAAAGGCAGACAAGTCATTCTCTTGCACTGGGCCTTCATAGCCCTCTGCGGAAACCCCTAGAACTCAGTGATGTCCAGCTCCTTGTGAATACGTGGCCGGGATTCATACAAACGAGTCCGTGCAGCCCACCCTGGTCATCCCCTCCTTTAGCCTTAGTTCCCAAGTCGTCACCTCCCCCATTCCCAGACACACGCAGGGCAGCAGACAGCCACCTCCCCAGACTCATTTGGGAAAAACACTCCCCCTCCCACATCCCACACTAACGCCAACCCAAAAGCTGTGGGAGCATTCGGCTTTATGAGAGGGGCCACTGGAGAAGATCGGCTCCTCCTACATTCTTGGCTTTGCTTAACTTAATCCCTTCCCACTGTATCCTTCAGTAATTTATTGCTGCAATTAATTTCTGAGCATTTCAATAGACTTGGAGACATTTCTCAAACAGGCCTTGCCAAAAATACATATTAGCCCCTTGGATTGTAAGTTGGTTCTTTGGGCTCTTCCATAATTAATCATCAGGACATGAAATCCTAATGGTTCACTTTTGTATGTCATAAAACTCTTGGACACAATAAATCTTGTGATGGAGGCCAAGTTACAATGCAATTTTGTCCAAAGTCTATTTCTCTAATTACAGACCATTACGATGATGGTCTCTTTCTGAAAGTGTAGATTTGATGGATTGTATTTCATAGACAAAGGGCATTGCATAGGTTTAGCACAAATTAGATGGAATCAAAATGAAAAGTAAATATTATTTTATTTAACCTTAACAACCCAGATTTCATCATCTGCAATTTAAAGACATGGAAACTAAAATCCAAAATACTTAAACAACTCGTCCAAGATGACTCGGCATGTGACAGCTGTGGGGTAGCCCCTAACTTGAATGGTGTCAAAGATCCTACTTATGACCAGTCTGCTGTGTGACTGTCCCTTCTGTTATAGGACAAATTCTTGCTTCCTATGTATCTTCTTTTTCCAACCCTGTAAATGACACATAAGGGTGCCAAAAGCTCAGAGAGGCCAAGCAGCTGGGATCAGGTTTCCTGAGCTCATTTGGATTTGTAATAAAACTAGATCACGAGCTATGGCCTCACTGAGCAACTGGATCTCTTAAATAAAAAGGGTTCAAATGCATAGGAATGTACATTATTAAACACTTTACTGATAAAAGGACACATAGCACATCATTTTAAAGTAATCGTGAGAGATGCAATGCTCTTTCCACAGAGCCTATTGATTCTTGCTGATGCTTTGATTAATGTTTTGTCAAACTCTCAGGTCTGCAGCCAGACCGCAGCTCCAACAGAAGTAACAGCACAGACGCCTTCTTAGCTGAGCTGAGTTACAGGTTTCAGGTACAGGACTGGAGGTCTGTGTGCTCAGTTTTCTGCTTTCCACACAGTAATAGCTACCGGTACCCATGTGTTTTTAAACTGCGTCTCTTTTATTAGCATTTTTTTCTATCACTTTCTTAATTGACAACTCATAAAGCAGTAAATCGAACTCTGTCTGGTAGAGGTGGCCAGTTCCTGTGCTGTAATGACCAGCCCATGTTCCCAGCATAGCAGGCTTCAGACCACCTGTGTGAGTCTTCCCTGGGGCTGAGGGGTGCTCCAGTACCCAGCACCCCCACCACGGGGCAAAGGGGCCACGCATCCCTGATAGCACAGACCGAAGGATAGAGGTGTCTGAGCAGGCATTGCCTTTTGATATCACAAGCATATATTTACATAATTCATTTTCTAGTAATGTTTGTTTGTAATAACCAGGTAACAGACTTCCTGGGAAGCGCACAGCTAGCCCTTGCAATCTGGTGGAGGCACATTCAACACACCACACTCAGATCTCTTACAGCTTTCTCCTCCAAGAAGCCTGGAGGAATGACTGACATAGGAATGACACAGGACACCCCCCTCCTCCATGATACAGGGGAGATACTTTAACTTCTAACCTGCTAGGTGTCCGATGCTCCCAGTCTGTGCTCCCCCAAAGTGAAGAATGAATTCCGAGGAACACCAGCAGTTAAGAGCAGGGAATGTCGTGGAAGGAAGGATAGCTCCTGCCTGAAAGGGACAGGAGATGTGGGGTACCCAGGGGCCCACTTCTCAAAGGCAGTTTTATATAGCAAAATCATGAGGTGGGTATAAGGTCGGACAAAACTTTGGGCAACCAATAAGATTCCAGGTTTAGCCGCCTAGGTAGTATTGATCCAATGGGAGAGCAGGTCAGGGGTCAAATGTGCACGGGGAGAGCAAGGACCTTTCCTGGACGGTGTGTCAAGGAGGGCTTGGCGCCCCACCCAGGGGACCGGTAACCATGTAGGGTACTGATCATTGCTGTTTATCCCTCTGGAGGTACGTAGGTGTAGTAGGCTCACCTTTGTCTGGAGATCTGGCCTTCAGCGCATCACCTCCAGTCACAGCAGTAATGTGCTCTGGTCTCCCGCACTCCCCTCCTCGAGGGCCCAGCCCTGTCTGGCTGCCTGCGATAAATATTTCTGCCTAAGTCAGCAGCCTCTCAGAACTCCTAACAGTCTCTGGGCAGACGGTGCCGATTACACCGCTGGCCACCAGGGGGCGCACAGGCCAGCGCCTCCGCAGAGGAAAGGTTTACTCGTTCAAAGCAGGAAAGACTGAAGAACCCTTGTCCTGGAGCCCTTGTTGGACAGGCAGGAAACTTCCGGCAGCATCTGAGGATATCTGAATGCTTCACCGGGAGGGTACATCTCCATCCTCTCTCCCATTTTTCTGTAAGTAATAACGATAATAATTTAAGGCGCGCATCTCAAAGCTTAGCAAGGACATCAGTGCCCTCTCCCAGCTGGGGAGTCCATCAGCCCTCTGTCCCCAACCCCATTCCCTGAACTCTGGCTGAGCAACTGCGATGATCCTGCCTTTAGCAAGTAGCAGAAGCAAGACTCTGTGGCAAGAAGTTCAGCTCCAGACTGGCTTGCTGTCCATTACTAAAAATGCACACCAAAACACCTGTGTGAAGGTGGCTCCACCTGTGTGAGCCCATGTCCCACCCGGGGAAGCCCATGCCCGTGATTACCTAAGCAGCGTAAATCGCTCGGGCACCAGTGATGGCCACTGGGCATAATTAAAGTTTGAAAGCTCTAGGGACTTTTGCCGCTGGAGCAGGAAGAAAACCTTAGGACACCATGGGTGAGTTCATGGCCTTGATGGAGGTTAGGGTTTGGCCTTTATAGACTTTGTGGACTTTGTAGACTTGTCCCCACACTCTCTGAGATACACACAGTAAACACACAAAGCTCTTTTTGTGTCAATGAAACCTCAACAAAGTGGCTGAAAAGTGGGCAAAAGATGGGCCATGGTTAAAACCATGTTCTACCACGGTGCAAGCTTCTGTCTATGTGATCTGGGCTCTCCTCTGTCTCCTCTACCTCAGGGCTTTTGCACTTGCTCTTCCCTCTGTCAGGCTCTTCTTGCCCAGGTGGCCATGTGATTTGCTCTGTTTCTTTCCCCTGACTTTCCTGACATCTTCACCTAACCAGAGACCCCTTCTCAGACCTGTCTGCCAAACATCTGGAGCCCCACCTCCCCCAGCTCCCTTTCCTCATCTTTGCAACCATTGTCCCCTGGGAAAACAGAGAAGGGCAGCTTCACCGTCAGTATGTCAGTGTTACTCCATCTCACACCTACCGCCATCGCCATCCGTGCATTGCAAATGCTCCTGGGCCGGCTGTGCGCTCCGTGATAAGTCGATGAATAAAATCTAAATGGAGGTTCTGTCCCACATCCATGGCCTCTGGAGCGAATGGAACAGACCCCTCTGAGACAGCGAATGGCTGTTCCCGCTGAGCTACAGGAGACCCTTCTCCTTGAAGACCTTTTCCTGCGAATCAAAGCCATGGGTCCCGGAGAGGCAACAGTGGCTCTGGGGGAGGCCAGCATTTCACTTCACATGGCAGGGGAACCTGGAGGTGACCACCGGAAGCTCCCACGGGGATAAAATGGGTCGAAATTATTTTGTTTTTCAGCGTGGTGCCTTAAGCACCATCAGGTAGTCTAAGCTTTTGGTGACATTCTTAAAACAGACAAAGACACGGCCTCTGCCCTGTTGCTGCTGAGGTACCTCCTGGTGCTTTGTTTTTGCATTGTCAAAGACACCCTTTGTTTCTGTTTGCACTTGGTGTTTGCAATCATGTAAAGAAGTTGAGTCTCCTCTTTTAAAAGTGTTTTCGCATCAACAAGCTAAGGGAAACTACCAGTGTGAGTGACAGGGATTAGTATTTATGTTGCAATGTTTTTGAAACAACAGAATAGAGAATTTGGGGAAATATTTGAACTTCTCCCTTCTTTCTACTTCTCTGTCTTTTCTTCTGCAGCCCTGTTTTTGTTGTCATCTCTTTAGGGTTTTTGTAAGATTTTTTTTTTTTCTCTGACTAGTACTCTGAGCCACATTTGGGCCATTTTTTAAAAATTATAGCACACTGCATATTAATTATTGCGATTCTCTATTTTGTTACAAAATTTTTGTTTTTTTTCTAGAGAAGTAAAAAGAGTGATTCTTTGATATTATCTTTCTTAATACCTCTATGTATTACACTGAAATAAAAAATGTTTTCAGAATTGGAGCTATGACCGCAAGCATGGTGATTTATTCCATGAAGTGATTATGTGAAGCGAGATGGCCCACTGAGGTCCTGCAGACCGATTTGTGCTGAGTTGCATTGCTCTGCGCTGAGCTGTGTCCTTGGGTGCCAGTTAGTCCCCCCATCAGAGGCCATCTAAGGAGCTGTGTGGGAAGCAGATCAAAGCCAGGTCCGTGGCTTGGAGTGCCATGCAAGCAGAAACACAGAAACGACATCCAGGATTTGGAGGCAGATTTATTTATGTGGATGGGCACTGATCCGGATCAATCCCAAAATATCAGAACCTGATCTCTGGTGACTTAGGACTTATATGGGGTAAGCCAGCAGGAAGTACAGGGCACAATGGCTTGTCACCTGGGGATTGGTTCTCACAATACACACTGTAGGCACCAGCTACACATCACAGTGAGCAGTCATTTCTGGGAGACAGAAGCAACCGGAACTGCAACAGGAACTGTTACCTGGGCAACTAAGAAACTGAAACACATCAACCTGATGGGGGCCATCTTTGGCTACATCAACCTTTCAAGCCCCAGGTTTTTGAGGTTCCCAAGGGAAGGTCTGGAGCATAGTTTGTTAAAAAAAATTTTTTTGATATGAAAATCCATCTCAGGGCCTTGCACTTGCCAGGAAGGCACTGTGCTGCTGAGTTGCACCCCTGGCCCCAAAATGTAAATTTTTGAAAGCAGTGATCCAGTCTGACCTCACTCTATCACAGGTAAGGAAGCCCAGCTCAGCGTGGGCACTGGCCAGCCTGTGGACTAGGGATAACCTTGCCCAGGGACTGCCCCAAAGCTCAGGAAAGTGACCCTTCTGCCCTCCCATCAGCTTCCACCAGTGGCTCCTGCTCTGCTGAGGGCTAGGCACTGCCTGGTCCCCGACCTGTCCCTTTACCACCATCTGCTCTCTCCCTGAAACACTGGTGTTTTCCAGGATGTCTTCTGGGCATGTCTACCACTTAGGAGCAGACCTTTCAGTGACAGGGACACTGTTGCCCTACACTGTGTCCTGGATCCTAGAACCTCATCTAGAGTAGCACAGTTGAGCCCCTGGGAGGACACTGTCACATTTGCCTCTGTCCTCAGGGAAGCTCAAGAACTTTGGAACTGAAGCTTGGAAAGAAAACTACCTCCAAGTCAGAAAAATGTGCCTGGTCCAGCTCAGGCCTTTCCTGGGTTACTTGATATTGTCTGACATATTCTTACTTTCTCATCCCTAAACTAAGGACCTTGGTTTGGGGGACTTCAAAAGTCCTTGTCTCTTGAAAATACTGTGATGCTACTTTCCTGTGCTTAGAAATACGTCCATGGAGGTGCTGGGCAGGAACTTGAATTATTTTTGAAAATATTATTTTATTAGTGCCTATTAATTTCATAAAATACTGCACTTCGATGTGATATTTTCATGCATGCATATATTTTTCTCACCCATCCTGCCTTTTACTCCTCCTTATGCCTTCTTGCCCTTCCCCCATTCCTTGCTGTGACAATATTCTCCCTTCTGCTTTCGTGTCATTCTTTTGAAGCTCCAGGTATTAAGGAAGATATGCAATGCCTGTCTATCCGAGTCTGCCTGATCTCTCTAAAGCCGGTGATCTCCAGTTCTGTCAGTCTTCTTGCAGATGCCCGCCTGTTGTTCTTTACAGATGAGTAGTACCCATGTTGTGTGTGAGGATTCCTCAGCTGTTTGATTATGGGTACTTTTTCTTTATCCATTCGTCTGTGGATGGACACCTAGGCTGGTTTCTTACCTCAGCTATCAGGAATTGTGCTGCAGTAAACATGGCTATGAGACTCCCCCACAGGACGCTGACTGGGGACGGGATGCTGGGCCTACGGTAGCTCTGTGTTTAGTTCCTTGAGGACCCTTCATACTGATTTCCAGGGTGCCTGCACTAATTCACATGCCCAGCAGAAGTTGTACAAGACTTCTTTCCCCACACGCATCAGCTCCCACATTCATTGTGTCCTTTATTTTTGATGATAGCAATTCTGATTGGGGTGAGATGGAATCTCAGGGTATTTGCTTTTTATTTCTCTAGCAGTTAAAAATATTTTATCATCTATCATGTGAACATTTTTATCATGTATTGATTAGTCAGTTGGACTTCTTATTTTGAGAAATATTCATTGTTTACTTACCCATTGACTAACTGAGCTATTTGGGGGTTTTTGGTGTTTTTTGAATTCTTTTTATATTCTACACGTCAGTCTTCCACCGGCACAGTAGCTGTAAAGACGTCCTCTCATTCCATCACAAGTCTCCCTCCTGTTAGTGGTTCGTTTGCTGCAAGCAAGCTTTACGGTTTGAGGTGGCCCCTTCTGTGGATTTTTGCTCCTAGTTCTTGTCCTGTTCAAGTACTAGATGAGCAGACTTCACTCGTGTTATGGCTTCAAGTGTTTCCTCTATGTTTTCTTCTAGTGGTTCCAAAATTTTAGGTTTTGCACTTAGGATCTAAATATAAGGGTCCTATATTTTGAGTTGATTTTTGGAGAAGGTAAGAGACAAGGAAATAGTTTTAACCTTCTACAAACAGATCACCAGGTTTCCCAGCACCCCCTGTTAAAAGGGCTTTTTTCCAATATATTTCTTTTGCTCGTTGGTACAGAATCAAGTGTAGTCACATGAGTTCTTTGTCCTCTATGCTATTCCACTGGTGTAGATGTTCACTGGTGCCAGCACCATGCTGTTTCTGTTACTATTGCTTGGTAGTATAATTTAAAATCTGGTATTATGATGCATCCAACCTTGTTTTTTTTGGCTTAGGATTGCTTTAGTTATTCTGAGCCTTTCATTGTCCTATATGAATTTTAGGATATTTTTTCTAAGTCTGTGAAGAATGTCATTCAAACTTTGCAGGGGATTACATTGATTCTACAGCTTGCTTTTCATATTGTAGCCCTTTTAACAGTATTAACACTGCTTATCTATGAGCACAGGAAGTCTTTCAGTCTTCTAGTGCTTTCTTCAGTGGTTTTTTTTTTCATGTTCTGTAATTTTTATTACAGAAATCTTTCATGTCTTTAGGTTGCTTTCTAGATATTTTTTTCTTTGATGCTGTGGTGAACAGCACTGTTTTGCTGATATCTTTCTTAGCTGGTTCATTATTGATATACAGGAAAGCTATTGGTATTTTAATGCTGATTTTTGTACCCTGGGGCCAATATATACAAATGCATAAAATGAAATATATGTGTAATTGAATATATGTTAATATCCCCTAATTAGTGTAATTTCATTCATCATTTCTTGATAAATGTCTTCTCCCTATTTAATATCAAATATTATAATTAAGCATGTATGAATGTTAATTTTAAACAGTGGCCAGTGGTTAGGAGGTGGTCTTAGCTATTACATTACATGTGATGAAATTTTAATTCTGCCCTTTATTAGGTAGGCGACTATAAGTGAAATATTTAACTTCCCCATCCACTAATTTCTTTATTCATAGAACAAGCACGAAGTTTAGCAAAACCACAAAACTAAGTTTAGCATCATACTGGGCACCTAATAGATCTTTAAAAATATTAATCAGAATCACAAGGAGGACTCATTTCCATTTAAGCCAACGTAAGAATAGTGCTTGACAATGTTTTCCATAAGTTCATGGTATTCTCTCTTACGTTTTAGGAGACAAATCCATACAGGGAAACAAGGTAAGAGAAATAATTAAAGCATATTTGTTACTCTTTTCTTTAAAAGCGTAGGACTGTGAATGGGGTGAAAGCTTAGTGATGATTTGAAAAATATATGCTAAGAGCTTAGTCACAATTCACTATTTCTGTATGCTAAAAAAAATTTAGCCATTTGGCACTGCTCAAAAAATAACAAATTTGATTTCTGATTTTTTTTTTTTACAGACCCCTATACCACCTCCCAGGTAAGACATGTAAAATCATAAGGGATTTTTTGCTATTCATATAAGCGATGTGTGCCAGCACTTGAAAAGAAGAAATATAAACATCTGACATTGAAAAACTAATATGAGTTGACCCATGAGAAGTTTTATTCATCAATTTAGTCATTTATTCATTCACATTTAACTGTTCTGCATACCCTCACTAGTCTATTTCTTTCCTTCCTTTCTTTTAAAAGACATATGAGAAAGATTTACTAACATTAGACGTAGAATACACTCAAGAGCAGATCACGGGTGCTCAAAGAAATGAGGCATCTTATTTCCTTTTTTATGGAAAAAGGGAAGAAAAGTTCACAAAATAATAAGAGAATGACAATAATTAAACTGTGTATCACTCGTCAAAGTAGTTACTCTGAATACAAAACCTGGACAAAAAAGATTCTCCCTTACAAAAAAGAAACACATAATAGCACAAAACTTTCTTTACAAGGAACTAAGAGAAATTAGTAGTAGAAAACTTACAAATTAGCATATATATAATATTAAAATATTTGAAACAACTGAATAGGTAATATAGGGAGTTATTTGAACTTGTCCCTATGGCCTATTTATCTATCTTCTATTTTGCATATATATATATATATATATATATATATATATACATACATACATATATATATATATATATTTGAGTTTCTCAAGTGAGAGAGACCATGTGATATTTAAACCATGTGATATTAAATAAATCATATGTCTGATTCATTTCACTTAACACTATGTTCTCAAGTTACACCCATTTACCTGTGAATTCCTGGGGTTTATCTTTATGGCAGAACAGAACTCCCTTATAGGTAAATACCACACTTTCTTTACCTTCATCTGATAGGCACAAATGCTGTTTCCAAGGTCTATCCCATATACATTGTGCAGCTATAAACATGAGTGTGCATGGGTCATGGTAACATGACCATTTTAACTCCTTTGGTAGATACCTAGTAGGAAGACAAATGGGTCAAATGAATTTCTGTTTCTATTTTTAGTTTTTTAAGAATTTCCATAGTGGTTGTACTAGTTTACATTCCCACCAACAATTCCTTCCTTTCTCTCTCTCTTCTTTTAGCAAAGAAATCGGCCAGATCATTGATGGGTATATACTCATATTGAAATTCCAGAGACTGGGCTGACCCTGTCTATCTCTCTGGATATCAACAATTCAATAATCAGAGAGTCAATGCCTATGTAAGAGCCTTACAGTATATAAGTACGCGTTCATGTAAGCACTCATTTTATATGTAATACATGCATAAGACCAAATAACACCACACTGCACATAGATATGGGGACCACAGCAGCAGGGGCCCTTCCGCTGCTCTCCTGCGGCCAGCGCGTACCTCTGCCATGGCCTCTGTGACTCCCTTACCCCTCACTCCTCTGGTGCTATGCTCCGCCTGCCCTTGAGAGATCTTGAGCCAAGCAGAGGGCCCTTTGCTCTCTGCAGCGGTACGGAGCCGCTCTCGGAATGAATGGGCAAACTGAACTGGTGAAGGAATTCATGAATTGGTCTTGCTCACTTCCAGACATTCCCGTATTTCCTTGGGGACCTTTAAAGTTTCACCTCTTTCTGCCCGTTATAAGCAGAAGGCTGTTGTTTTCTGTTCCCCACACTCCCAGGACTCAAGTGGCCGCCGTACTGAAAAGCGTGTGGCCCCCGTAGAGTAGAGTTTGGCCCTAGGAAACAGCACCAAACCAAGGACCCGGCTGCAGGGCATGCGATTTATTTTTGCTAGAAGAACGAATCCGCTAACACTCAAGACTGCCTGACGTGGCTCCGGCTGCTCAGAAAGCCAGTGAGCACTGGAAAACTGGGCTTCCAACCCGGACTGGGATGGGGAGGGCTGCAGGAGGTGCATTCAGGGACTGAGGGGCCAGTCACTAACCTGCTCCAACCCTGCCGGGACTCTTCACACAGGCCTCCCCCCACCCTCCCGAAGAAGTACCAGCCCCTGCCGCCCACGCCTCCAGAGAACTACACATCTACCCTACAGCTGCACGTCTTCCCAGAAGCCCAGAGGGGCCCCAGGTGAGACCTGTGGCCTTGCTACTGAGCGGTGCCCCAGAAGATCACGGGGGGGGGGGGGGATTTGGTGAGGGGGGCAGAGTCACCTCCTGCAGAGGAGGCTTCCCCCGGGAGGGTTGGGGGAGCTCCACTGGAGCAAGGAAGGCCAACCACTCCTGGAGGAAAAATGGTCTTAGAAATCTGTGATTTAATGCTTCCCAGAAAATACAGCTTTGCAACAAAGTGAGCTATGAAAGAATTGCTCCTTTGAGGCCTGAGTCAGTTATTGAAGAAACCGTTCCCTGCCAGAAGGAAATCAGGACATTGTAAAAGCCAGAAAGGGGTTCATACTACTCCGGGACCAATCCAGGGGACAGCTGGCCATCACTCAGGCCAGATCTGAAACTCTTCTATCAAAAATGTTATTTTCTTTTTGACAAATAAATATTGCAAAAGCAGTCATCGGCCACTAAGGGCCTAGTGGGAACTGGATTCCCGCTCCCACTATAGCAGCTTGGCAGCTGCTGCTGACACAAAAGGTGACTGAAACAAGTGAGTAGTTTGCCCCCAAGATAGTTCAAACTACCACAGTTGCCTTTTCTGGAAGTCAGCACAGAGCGTGGCGTCTCATCCCTGCAGGGGACAAATGGAGCCTTCCGGCAGGTGGGGTATAACTGTGATTGAGTTGGGACATGTTTCTCAGGGTGCAGAAATTCAGGAACTTGGGCCCATTTTGAGCCGAATGGGAGAACTGTACATGCCTGGTTCTGACGGGAGGGGGTCCTAAGTAGCCTCTCATGCCTTCTAATTCCCCCGCCTGTGTGGCAAATGTCTCTCATCTGTTCATCCTTCGCAGTCCCCAGCAACAGCACGTCTTCCGGAAATCACTGCCCTTGTCCGCTCTCACATGGAACATGCACTCCTTCTGTCCCCCTCTCACAGAGCACAGAGCACATCCCCAGGAAAGAGTACAAGTCCTCAAGGCTGGACTCAGCCTGTCCTGATGGAAGTTTAGGCTTTATTTCACTGGGAACACAGGTGACTTTGCTCTTCCTGCTCCCCGGAGGACAGGTAGCAATGTCTGGAGGGAATTTGGATAGGGATGACTTGGGGAAAGGCTGCTCCTGGCTTGTAGTGAGCTGCCTGGGTACCCCCCAGAGCCAGGGTAACAGACCTGCAAGCTTTCTTTGTGGAAGGGAAGAAACTTCCTCAGTAAGCTCTGCAGAGTCCTGTACCAATGTTTCCCGAGGCCAGGGTTTTCCTGGTCACTAAAGGAAAGATGAGAACACTACCTACTGCCTACCTACCTCACTGGCTGCTGTGAAAATGAAATGAGATGATTCCCCTAATGTGCTTAGCGGCACAGATTTATAACTAGTATTTCTTGCACACTTAGGGCCTTGAGCTCTTTTCTATTTGAGCTTTTCTTAGTCCCACACAACATACTCAGATTTCTGATTTGACTCTTACACCCCAAAGGGCTTACATGGTATCTGTGTTTCCTAGCACAGTGCCTGATGTATATAGTCGTAGGTGTCCGTTACACGTATGTGTTTCCATCTGCAGCTTCCAAAGGCACCTACACACAGGAGGCACCATGGTAGGTGCTCTGCCCAGATTTCCACTTTCAAAGAGGAAGGGACTGAGAGGAAGTCACATTGGGAAGTGATGCCATCAGGCTTGGGAATACAAAGTGTTCTTTCCAGAAAACTCTTGATCAAAGCATTTAATGTGTTAAAAACTGGTCAACCTGCAAAGGAGTAAGGAGATAGAAAACAGGACTGTAAGATGCCATAGGTGATGAGGTAGTTTAGCATGGAGAACAGTGTGTCTACTTTCTACTTCTTCATGCCTGAAACGGACAGGATCCTGGGGCCCAGCAGAACATGGCTGACTCCCCCCTGAACCACTTCCAGCTGTGTCACTTCAGAAGCTCCTGCAGGACTCCAAATTCTTCTGCATCTGTTGGAATGGCGCTCTGTTTTTACAGCTCCCCCTCGTGGGTGCCCTTGCAGCTGGGCTAGGAACCTAGAGGGATGAGGTTCTAGGAATGCACTTCCCACAAACACCACCACACCTTCTCTGTGCGCAGGTATCCAGTCTCTACTGTAAAAGTTCCCCCAAGCCACTAGGAGTCCCTCTGCTGCTAGATCCCACTAGCCCACTAGGTGGCCGGCTTAGTGCTGTTGGTCTCTTTTTTTTTTTTTTTTTTTTTTAATTTTATTTAAGGAGAAAAGAAAAAAAAAGCAGGGAAAGGGTACAAGTTATACAGATTTACAGAAAAAAAATGAACAGTAGGAAATCACTAGTTAATGGATTACATATTGTCATCTTAGAAATAATTGTTCAAGTCACAAAATTAAAGCTTGTAAAGTGGACATTCCATCAATGATACTGCAAACAGTTCTGTTCATTGATCCAATAAAACTCTGTGATATCATTTTCTATCTTATACGCTTAAATATACATGCAGTTATATAGTTTGGAGCACTTTCTTTTCCTCTCTTTTGTACCATGACTGTTACACATTTTGGGTTTCATTGCTCCCACGGTTCTTATTACTTTTTTGGAAGAGAGTAAAACCAAATGTGCCATAACAGAACAGAATCGGTCAAGTCAAAAGGGTGGACATAATAGATAATGTAAAAACATAATACAAGGTGATCAACAATGGTTACCATAATGCCTCCCGCTATCTCTAATAGAATTGCCTATATCGTTAGTTATAATACAATTGAACAAAACAGTAAAGAATAAAACCGACAAGACCAAAACATTGGAGACATTGTAGGTCTTCAAAAGTAGATAAAAGTCAAAAGAATGGGCGTCATAATGAATCTCATTATCTTCACAGCTGATGCCTAAACTTTCGAACCTGATACTATCCAGCAAAACAGAATAGGGGAACATCAGTTAAAAACCAGATGGTGAGAGTAATACAGGGCTTTAAATCAAGGTAATGAAAAGTCAAAGTGGGTTACTATAATATATCCTGCTATTGTTTTTCCTTTAATTAAAAGGATAAAGATAAAAAAGTAAATAATGGAGTGGAGATTGAGACAAAAGAGGGCATAACAACGAAACAGCGCAGATCAAAACATAACCATTTAAGCAGAATAGTGTTTCACCACCAGATAACCCTGACCTAAAAGTAGTTACCATATTGTCTCTTTCTTTGAAATCCTTTAGTACAACTTCGTATACTGTAGCATTAAGTATATCAAAACAACAATGTAAAACCATTCAAGAGAATGACAGCATTACAGAGTATTTAGAATCGACTAACAGAAAATGAACAATGGTTTCTGTGTAATCTCCTTGTCTTTAAAAGGTTTTTGCTTATACTATCACACATAATAAAATCCAATAAGATACAGCCTATTTAGACCATTGGAGACAGGACAAAAGCTAGATGAGACTTCAAAACAAGATGATACTAAATCAGTATTACCTATTAAGATGTCATTTTCTCCAAAATAGCTGTTCCTATCATCCAATCTTCTCTGCCTCATTTCTGTTGAGCTCTTTTTCTGTCAGTAACTGTCAGTTTGTCTTCTTCATTTTGTTCTCTGCTCCATTCGTTGTGGCCTCCCTGCCACTATTTCTAGGTTCTTTGTATTTTTCTTTTTTTAGAATATCCTGCAATACTTTCTGTAGAGTTGAATTGGTGGTTGCAAATTCCCCCAGTTCCTCTTTATCTTGGAAGCACCTTGTTTTTCCATCAATTTCCAGGGACAGTTGTGCAGGATATCTCAATCTTGGCTGGAGATTATTATCTTTCAAAGCTTGAATTATTTCCCCCCACGCTCTTCGTGATTTGATGGTTTGTGCCGAGAAATCTGCTGTAATTCTGATGGGTGTTCCCTTGTAAGTGGTCTGTTTCTTGTCTCTTACAGCTTTTAATATTCTGTTCTTGTATTGAATTTCTGGAATTTTGATTGTTGGTCTCTTTGGACTGGGGTTTTATATCTCAGCGTCCCTGGAGTTCTAGTTCACAATCTGTAAACCATTTTGGGGTGTGTTGGGAATTGGGCTGCTCCTTTACACTGCAAAGTGTCAACACCTTTCATCTTAGGAACTCCCTGCCAGAGCTCTGTGAAATGTGGTTTATCTAAGGCTTTGCAGACAATGTGCCCAGCCCAGCTGAAGGCCTACAGGAACTCAGTAAATATCATTTCCCTACCTTTGGGCCGCTAAGATCACTTGGGTGAGGTAGGTAATGCATCAAGATAAGGTAACTCAGAGAGGTTAGGTAACTTAGTCAAAGTCACAAGGCTGGCATGTGACTGTCAGGGTTTGTAAAACCCTCCAGGAGACACTGGGAGTAGAAGAATGGGCAGGCTTTGCTTCAGGAAGAGAGTTGTGCTTTCAAAGGCATTGTTAGCAGGGAGCACTTGAGTGGTCAGACCACGATGACCGGGTCACTTGTAAATAGCCATGCAGGTGGTGAAAATAGAGCCTCAGCAATCTGAGCTTCTGCAGCAGCCACGGAACGCACACACAGGTGCGCCCTGCTAGCCACTGCTTTGCAGAGCATAGTGTATGAGTCTCACCCCAAGCAGGTGCTGTGGTTTCCATCTGGCAATCAAGGACATCAGTGGCTGCAGCAGCTAGAGCCCTGGACAATGGCCAGCTCCCCCTGGACAGCGGCTGTGGCCCACCCGTTGTCTTTCAGACTCATTTGTCTCCACGGGCCCCCAATTCTTGTCCTTAATTAAAGCTGCATATTGGCTTCATTAAATAATTGGGGAGTCAAAGCAATTCAGTTAAGGAAAATGTCATTTTAGATAACTCATCAACACCCAGAAATAGAAGAAAGCTTGAAAGTGTGGAGAATGCTAGTCCTATGGGCTCAACCATCTACACACTGTCATGACTGCTACAATTTTGGTGTTCTTGAGGTTTGTTTAGCCTCCCCCAATTGTTTCTCACTTAAGTAAATTTATTTATAAATAGCTGCAACATTGGAAGCTTTAGGCCATAGCTTTTAATCTGGGGACATTTCTCACTGCAAATACACCAAGATTAGATTGATCTTTAGGAGGCACTGGTTGCCATGAAGAGACCCTATCTTTGACCTCATGTGAAAGGAAATTTAAAAAGGAATAATATCGCAGCTGATTTAATACAGTGGCCAAATGTCATCATCCTGAATAATGAGTGGAGAACACATTCCGTGTTCTGGCTGCACAGCATCCTGGCATAAAGCCTGCTGTCTGCACTGATGCATTTATTCCCACAGTGCTCTGTGACGAAGGCAGTGTTACGATCCTCCCTTTACTGAGGGAAACACAGAAATACAATTCACTGTGCCACAGTAGCTCCTTTACGTTTCAACAAATGCAATGTCACAAGGATTGGGGTTCAGTCAAAATGTAATTTAAATAAAGTACCTCACACTGAAGACACCCCAAACCCTTTTACTAACTTTGGACTTCCCTGTGTAACCTGCAGTGCTGCTGCCCCATCCATGCAAGGCATTTCAGCTGCAAAAATGCATACTCTAATGACTGGGAAGCAAAAGAAACCTTTGTAGATCTGAAAAAGCATGGTCCCTTCAAAGAGACACAGCATAGGCACAAACTCACCTTTGTGCACAGGAATACAGAGTCCAAGGTGTGAGCTTCATTTTAATGACAGGTTGCATGACTCTGAGATCAGAAGAATGTGGGTAGAGGGTTGAGAAGTTCACTGTACAAGCTCTTGCAACATCAGGGGAATCTATAGTTATCTGGGAATAAAAAGCGTCATCTGGAAGGAAGCTGCAGGTTGAGGTGTTCTGCCTGTGAGAAGCGCTGTTTCAGCCCAGACAGTTTCCCTGGGTAGTTTTTATAGGCACACCCAACAGCTCACTTCAATACTTTCTGACTTTGTCCATTTTATAGATAGAAAAACTCAACTTCAAGACAACATTTAAGGTACTGAGTGTGACAAAGTCCAGAGATGACAAAGCAGGGATTTAACCCAAACTCACTTAAAACTTAGCCAAAAACTAAAAGATATTCAAAGAAGTCCACATTTATAGTAAGTGGTAATCACCTTAAGTTTCTACCCAGAACCTGCGTGGAAAGAAAATGGGATTAATGGACATGCCTCCAGCAGATAAAATATGAACAGAGCTCAGAGTTCCTGGATGCTTACAACAGGCAACATAGGGAAGGACCTGCAGTCACACCAGAGTGCCTCACCAGGTCTGTGTGGAAGGAACTCCACCCACATTTGTCCTAAAATCTAGTTTATTCACATGACAAATTCTGAAGCCTAGATAGGCTCTTTAAGGCACTAATGCCAACCTAGAGAGTACTACATTGCTATATAAAAATTCAGTGCTTTCATCTGACCAAAAAGATAATCACTCTGCTTGTCCTGCTACAAGCGTGAACTAATTCAGCTGAGCTAGGTTAAGGAATCTTATCTAGTGTCCTTACAGACTCAGCTAGATCAACTTGAATGCTTGAAATGCCTTTATAAATTGAAAGGATTTGATTTTTACAGACTGCTATTGGTGACCAGGCAAGTTTAAATCCTAGCAAGCAAGACTTTCTTCAACAGTTGTTTTCAGTCTAATGGAATAAATTTATAGATACAAGAAAACTCAAGTTCTCTTCCACAGTTCAAATGCTTTACAAATAGAATTGAACATGTCCTCAGTATTATAGTTTGAAAGTGCGACACTGAAGCCTGCATCTTAAATTGAAGTCATGCAACCAATCCATTAGTAACTGCAGTACGCCAGTCTCTTAAACATTGACCCTGAGATTTAACCAAAATGACTGACATTATAGGTGTTCTCTCTACTCCAGTCACTCTTTCTTCACCGTCTCACTTGTCCAACTAAAAGGAAAGAGAGAATGCAGAGGTCCTCTCGCAGCAGGCTCAGGGGCCCCATGGGAGATTTTCTCAGTATTTTTTTCTCTTACACATCTCTTCCCTAAATCCTCCTAAAAGAAGAGAGGGGTGCTATTTGGGACATCTCTTGTGGATTTAACTGTGTGTTATCAACCCCATCATCCCACAGTTGTAACTGCAATGAAGGCGCTGTTCACTCACCTTCTGCTCTGTTTTGCCAGCTCCTGGAGCTCCATGGCTGCATAAGTCACACATATCATGTGCTGGGTAGAGTAGACGGCCCTCCCAGGCCTCCTCCCTGGGCTAGGGGTTCCTCTATCTCTACTTTTTGATGAATATAAGGTCTAGCAGGCCAAACCAAGAGTTTTTTTCCCAGGGAGTTTCTTGGACATGAGAACTTAGGCTTCTGGAGACATTCTGGAGGAGGCAGTGCTTCCCATCCTTTGCAGTGTGAGCTCTGCAGCAGGCAGCCACTGCTCATGGTCCTCCACTATGGGCTTCAGCTGTCTGTTGGCCAGACACGGCCATCCACTTCTTGATTCATGTGACAGAAGAGAGTGAAAAACAGCCATCCCCCAACCATTTTACTATGGGGGAGGGGATTTGTCAGTCTATTGCTCCCAAGGCTTGCAAGACATCCCCAAGCCCCAAATGGACCGATTCTCAGTCCTCTACGGCCTTTTAAGATGCCAAGAAAGTGGCTACAGGTAGCCATGGGGAGACCAGGATCATTTATCAGCCATTTTCTCACCTTCAGGTACTAGTTCCACAGCTGCCATGAGACCACTCACCTCAAGGTGCATCTTGTATAATTTTTATACAGTACATTACCTCATATTTACATTCTTACGTAGTACATAACCAGTGCATACATGTTCACTTGTGTCAAGTCAAGCTAACACAACCGTATCCCACTGTGTGCCTGCTCTAGATAACCAGGGTCATGTCCTCAGGTGTCTTTAGATGCCCCTGAGCTTTGAAGCGGTCTGAGTGCTTCCCCACAAGCTTTTTCCTGCAGGCTGAGTTGAAGTTTTGGAAATCACGGAACCTCAAGACAGTCACCTATTGCTTGGATATCTGAAACGAGGACATAGTGATAGCATTGCATGCTTGCAGGGTCATCTTGCCTGGTACAGACTCTGAAACCTCTGGGTCCACACCTGTCAGCTGAGCTTAGCCTTCAGCTATGGAGTCTTAACCTCACAGCTTCCTCCTCTAGCTTGGCCACCATCTAACAGTGGTGTCCACTGCATAGCCATCATTTTCAATTCTATCTCTAGGAACTCTCCAAGATGAATATGCTTGTTGCCATTTTGAAGATGAGAAAAATGAGGTTCATAGTAGCTAATTGGTTTCTCCACCGAATGGCTGACAGACTTATCCAGTGCCCATATTATCAAACTCCAAATCTTTCTCTTCCATTCAGTTTCATGCCCCCTATCTTGATCTCTTTTCTTTCTCAATATTATTTTCTCTTACACATGCCTTCCTGGGACCCCACTGCACATGCCAGCTCCATATTTAAAACTCTTTACCTTTTCTCAGAACAAGTCAATAATAGGTCTGACTATGTTAATGAAACTGGACACAGAAAGTCAAGTGTCAGGAGGCATAAATGATGTTCCCTAAATCCTCCTAAAAGAAGCCAGGATACTCATGCCCTTCCTATCACTACCCTTTACATTGGCTTATGAGTTATTTTCCCTAGAAAATTATGAGGGAAAAAACCCACCGCTTTTGTTTTATAGAGCAGTGATAAATATCACACTGAACTATGGACTGCTAATATAGCAATGAAAATGCAGTCAAAGGTTTATAAGGGCTCAAAGTGATTTTATCTTGGTCATTACAACTTGCATTTTTATTTAACACCATATCTCTTTGTTTCTTACAGACAAATAAGCTTAAAGGACATAAGTGAGGTGAGTAGCAATTCTTCCCCTGGGAAACAAAAAGAGCACTTATGTGCATTAAATGGCCACACTGAGCAAAATCCTACTTGCTTTGAGTTCTCCATCACACCTAATTCCCACAGTAGCTACACTCCAAATGTATTTCCATCCCTCTTTAAAGGTGACAAAACTAAAGCAAAACAAATGACAGTGCAGGCTGTAAGCCAGGGCCCTATTCTGCTGCATGCTCACTGCTCGCTCATTGGTACAATGAGAAGCACGCCCACTTCCACAAGGAAGAGGTCCACAGAGGGCTCCCGTCCTCCAGCATCGCAGAAATGAAGTGCTGGAAACCACACTGCACCTTGACATTTGTCCTTCAAGGCAAACTGCAAGGTAGTAGAGGATAAGGTCCAGTGGCACATGAATCTGGGTTTTGAATCTAGCGCTGCCACCTCCTGGCTTTTGTGACTTTGTGCAAGTTCCCCAGCCATCAGGTTTCTGCTCACTGAACCGTAAAATAGAAATGATACATGTTCTTGTAAAATTTGTGATGACATCAAAAATCTCAATAGATACACAAATGGCCAATAAAGGGTTAACAAATAGCATGAAAGGCAAGTGAGGTGCAGCTGTCCTAGAGTTTTCTAGGGGTGTTATGCCCTTAAATTCACAAAGAGGAAGTTTCTGAGGAAGAGGGAGACTAATGGAAGATTTCTGTCCAACATGTGTGGCCTCACCCCACTCTGCTGGGCTGCTAACACACTGAGTTCTTGTCTTCTTATTTGACCTATACTCTTTACCGTAGAGGCTGATTTCCTTCCTTCCTTCCTTCCTTCCTTCCTTCCTTCCTTCCTCTCCTTCTCTGATAGTCTTATGAGGATGCTAATTTCAAAAGACACATCTTTAGTTTGTCACTTAAAACATTTATTCTCTGTAACCCACAAAATGATTAATCATGTCAAGAAGGATAACATGGATGAAGCAAACAGCCCTAGTTCTACAGAGGACGTTCCAGGCTCATGGTTGTTGGGGTTCCTGAATGCCACCAGGAAGGAACAAGCTGAGCAGGCTGCTCTGCTGCCAGGGAGGCCCACACATCCTGGTACTGTACCCAAGACCCCGCCCCTGTCTCCCTTAGGTTAGACCAATGTGTCTCCAGTTGAGATTGGCTGCCCCTCAAATGTATAATGCACTGATCAGCCTGAGGGGACACTGGGTCTTCCAGTCACCAACAAGCAAGCGGAAAAGGGGAAAGTTCACCTTAAGCAGCTGGGAGCACGCAGATCGTTTGTTTTCTCTGCAGCTTTGCTTGGTTTCTGCTAGCAATTGGCATCATCTAAGGAAAAATAGTTAGGAGCAAAACACTTTCCTTCTTATCTCTTGCCAAGATACTTCCCCAAAAGCCCAAGTGGAACAGCAAACACCACACATTCTGAGCACCTGAAGGGCTTGCTTAGTTACCTTGGAGAGTACTCTATTGCTGGAGAACACTACTTGCCCCAAGTCAAACACAACTGGCACTTCACAGTTTGCAAAGTAAGGACTCATAGTCTCTTGTGACCCACACAAAGCCCTAAGAGAAAAACGAAGCCTGAGAGAGGCAGCACACTGCCAGAGCTCCTGTGGTTGGCAGGACACCAGGCCAGCCCCTGAAATCCCACCATCCAACGCTGTGCCCCACACCCATGACTCCCACCCTCAAGGCAGCTGGGCTAAATCATAAGAAAGACAAGAAGGGATGAAAGAAAAGAAGTGAAGGAGCAAAAGAAAGAAAAGGAAGAGTGAGAGGGAGGAAGAATGGAAGGACAGAGATAACAAAGGAGACGTTACTGTCTCATTTGATTCTACTTATTTTCTAACAGCAAAAAAAGCTAGAGGAGCAAAGCTAGAGAGCTCTCACTCCTCTTTTTACTGCATTGCTTTTAAATTCAGAAGTCTCAACCAAAAAGCTGGCTGGGTCTCAATGAAATAAACAATGGCTTTTCCCAAGCAGGTTTTCTCCACCAACAGGATTTATGGTTCTGCTCCCCCATGCCTTTCACTGGCCCAGGAACTGCCCTGTGTGATTGAGTGCGGGGAGCAGGCAGATTCTGAGTCCTGGGGAAGACTCAGTGTGGGGACTTCCAAGCCACTCATTAGAATAAATCCATTACCCTCTCTACTGAGCCCGTAGATTTACCTCTTCTTGCTGTCCATAATAAAATGCATGTCCTCTTCCCTGAACCCCGAGGGATGCCAAGGTCATTAAAACACAATGTCCCGTCTTTTAGCTGACTTCAGACAAGACATCAGCTACTGCTCTGAGAAAGTCACTGCTACAGATTTCTGAACCAAAGCAGGACCTCGGGTCAGCCTGGTGGAGATAACTGTAAATGTGGGCAAATGGCGCCACCTCTTTGCAGCTCACCCATAAACCAAGGGCTTTTAATGCTTTTCAGATTTTTCAGTTCCGTTTGAAATTTAGCTGAAAGGTGTAATGAACCTTCCTCACCCCATAAAAAGATGTATGCATATGCTTTTATTCTAGAACCTTCGTAAACCTCACTTGACAATCCAATGACCTTTTCCTTTCCTCAAGTTAACAAGTTCTTATCTAAGTGGTACCTAACATCTTCTCCAGCTGATGTCATGGCTGAAAGGGAATTCATAAGATTACTTGTGAATAAATAAGCTTTCAGCAAATATTGTTCCTCCCAGAAAGCTTTTTGAAGAGTGGCAGGTGGTCAAAGATGAAAGCCATTCAATAAAAGTTCATGACAAAGTATGGTCTGTAATTTGCCATTTTTAAGGAAGGAAGAGACAGGAACTATTTGGGGAGATAAATACCTGTTTTTAAAAATGTAACTATTATCTTGCTCATTTCCTTAAAATTTCAGAACAAGTATAAAGAAAAATTAATCATAGCCTCACCTTTTAGACCAGAACTTCTATTAAAATTTACTGTATTTCTTTAAACTTATTTTTCTTCATTCACACACACATGTACACTTAAAACATACCAACATGTAAACATATCATGGGTCTTGTTTTTATGCTGAATTTTTTATGTGACATTGAGGCATACCTTTAGCATAATCTTATTCTGTTCTCTTCATAAACACCCATAATACTGTCAGAATATTCCAGTAAGCAACTATAGCATAGAAATTAACAATTCATATTGATCTGAGTGTGTAAACTGCTTCAGAAGGTTGACATTATAAGCAGTGACCTGCTGAACATCCTGGTACCTATAACCTGCTGCAGATTTCAGTTTGGTTCTTAGAAAACAGTCTCATCAAAGCAATTGCTGCAATAAGAATGAGAATATCTCTAAAGGCACCTGGTAACTTTGGCTAAAGTGCTTTCCAAAAGAGTCAAATCAGGTTATAATGCCATTGTTTGACTATATGTTTGTCTGTTGCATCACAGTTACAGGCAGCTGAGTTAGCTAGAAATATTATAGGCAGTGAGACAGGCCTAGGTTCTCCACAGAGCCAGCACAGAGGACCAGACACCTTGCAACTGTGGGGGAGACAGACACCTCCTACTGTGGGCCAGGCCTTAAGACAAAAATCAAAGGAATGCATCCACATCCTAAGGACTGATATTCCAAAGAGTGTCCTATCACCCTGAGGAAGCCAGGAGTCACCATTCCAACCCCCTAGGGAAGAGTCACTGCTCTCTAGGCATGCCTGCTTTCTGCATGACTCACTTCCCCATTTGTCCCTAATTTCATCAGTTTTATAGTAACAGTTAATCTTATTGCTTAACCATAGTTCTTTCCCACCTCATGCCCACCTGTCTTGTAGGATCCCAGTTTTCCCCACCTTGAACCCATCTCCCTCCATGATTTTACTCTAGAAAAGTCACTAGAAAAGACAGAATCTTGGCACTCCGCTCAGGACCCCTTCTCTCTCTCTCAGACAGAAGCTTTCTTTCTATCAATAAATATATTCTGTTCTTAACCTCCATTGTTCCTAAAATTCATTCTTCAATTTTAGAGAACATGAACTCACACCTGACATAGTAGGTTGGGAGCTTAATTCCGCTCTATCAATACAAAGATTATAAAAGTTTAACTTTACATAGTCTTTGGGGAAACCAGGTAGAATTTTAAAAATTTTTCCCAAACTCTACTAACCAAATGCTCCAAAAATACTCATAGTATTCTATTAAATCCTCTATCACCAGAAGTCATACATTACTTTTTTATTATTATTATTCAATACAGGTCCTGCAAGCAGAAAAAGGTGAGTTATTCACAAAGATTTTCTTACTCCGATGCCATTAGCATAGACTGTTTCTAGATCTACAGAACTAGTCATTATTTAAAAGGATTGTTTTGAAGTCTGATCTATATGGGTGTGTGTGGGTGTGTGTGTGAGTGTGTGTGCATGTGTGTACAATGACGTGGTCCAGACGGAAGCAGGGCCAAGGTATTCAAAAGCTCTCCAGTTTAACAGGGTAATTTAAATCAGAGGTGGATCAGTCTTATTCCTTAAGCCAGCATCACCCCTTGCCACTCTGAAAAGAAATTGCTGGCCCCTGCTCTTGAGAAGATTGGAGTCTCTCATCCACAACATCACCCATACTTGTTACACACACACACACACACACACACACACACACACACACACACACCATTACTCACACACAGATGTGTGCACTGCTGGCCCTACTGCTGTAGAGGCATAGAATCCAGCACTCACAGCGACCCAGGGTGGCACCTTTATGCTCACCTTTGCAATACCGGTTCCATTCCTTTAAAAGGATGAAGTGTACCCAAAGGCAAAGGACCTGCCTATGGCCCAAAGAGTCACAAATAAGCAGCCAGTTCCACAGCAACATGGGGTCAGGAATTCAAAGACTTGCTACCAACTCACTGTGTGATTTTAGTCCAGTTGCATTTCCTCTCTTGGTCTCAGTGTAGCCCTTCTCTGTGTATGGAAGAAGTTAAGCTGAAGAGGGTTCTGCCTGGGTTTGTGGAGTTCTAAGGGAGGACTGGAGGTTCACTGGCAATTTTAAATAGTTTTGAAACAGTGAAATCTTCTCACCACAGTAACTAAAATGTTCAGGGGCCTCTGCTTCAGGCTCAAGGTTATCAGTGCAGCAGTGTGCCATTGGTCAGCCCAGGAGGGCGAATGTTCTGATTGGCTGTTGAAGACATGAAATGATTTTATGGGATGTGGGATTAATAGACCGGTCACTGAATCCAATCACATTTCCACTAATCTCAGTCCTTCTATCAAAGGCGTCCAGCTTGTGACCAACCTTGGACACAAGCCTGAGTAACAACCGAAATTAAGCCCCCGAGGTCAGCGTCAGCTGTATGCCTGCTTGGCTTTACTACTTGCATCAGCACGCGGGGCAGAGAGTGTTTATAGGATTTTATGTCATAGTATTGTTATGGGCCCTCGTCATTCTGGGTGACTGGCTAGAATCTAGCTGTGAACAAAAGGAAATAAAAAGCAGCAACACTGGCAGTGCCTGTAATTACTAAATAACTCCAACCTGTACACTTGGCAGAACTTTTCAAAAATTTGATGATCCAGGGGAAAACATTGAGAAAATGTATCCCCATTGCCACCCTCTGGGAACTTCTGGTCTACATCAGCATTCTGGATGCACACCTGTCCCATCACAGGACGGGCTTGAGGATGGAGGTGGCAGGTGGCAGGGAGTCTCTAGCCCTGACAGAAGTCTCTTAGATTAATTCTCTCCTTGTCAGGATCCTGGCTCAGAGATCTTCGCCCAAAGGCCTTCTTTACCTATACATATGACCCCACTGCATCCCAAAATGTACTCTGATTCCTTACACTTTCTTCCTGTTGACCTATTTACATGAGGATGAGGCCAGAAGTCTTACTCACTGGTGTAAAATATCCCCTAAAAGACCTTCCAATGCAATATCCTGTATTTCAGAGACATAAGCAAGCAATGCAATCTTTATAGCTGCAGAGAAAAGACACCCCCAGAAGTTGTGAGAGTTATAGAATATATGAGCTATGGTTTCCACTGACCAACTACAGCCTCTAAGTAACAATCCATAGATTGTTATTTAGGTGAAATTATAGTACTGGTTGGACTTTTAATCATCCTCAGTCATTCTTAATATTCTACTTGACCAAATTATGTCTTGCCTTTAGTTTCTCATCACCAGAAAAAGCCTGAATCATCTCGCCCACTGGAAAAAGAAAATGCTCAGAAGACTCCACCTCCCATTACCAGGTAAGGAGCCAGGAATTTTCTAGGTCCTAGCTCAGGGATCAGGCTGTGCTGTCTTGAACAATGACTGCCAAGACTTGAGGACAGAGAGTATCTCTGGCCTTTATTTCTGAACCTCTGACACCTGGGAATCCCAGCAGTTATTGAACGCTATAATATTGTTCTCCCTGCAATTTACAAGTGATTGATCTAATGTTAGAGAAATATAAGGCATTTTAAGAACTGAATCCTAACCGGATAGGATTTACTGGAATAGATGCTAATCAGTCTTGGAGGAGAAGGTGGCTGTTTCTTACTGTTCTCAGTTGATGCCCATATCAAAGTGTAAGTCACTTTTGAACAACACTTCATAGATGATCAGGTACAAAAAAACGCCATTCTATGAGTAGATAATTGTCTGATCAGGTTATTGTGATAGCTGCCAACCACAGAGCACAGGCTCTGTGAGATGATTCTCTGACTGAGGTCCTATAAATCAGCAGAGGCTTCCCCTACAGAATCTAGGGCCTCAGGTGAGTTCCAGGAGACCCTCGTGGTCTCACTCTGATGGCTGTGACCTCAGCCCTGCCAGTTCCCCTCAAAACCCGCTCTACAGCCTCATGCTGCCCCCAGCCAGCTACCATGTTCCCCTCACTGAAGAGCCTTGCACACACCACTCCCCTGCCTGTAGCTCTTCCTCCATTCTTGCTCTTTGCCAATCTCTTGCTGCTTGGAAAACTTTTCATCTACCACATGCCAGCCTAAAAACACATTCTCACCAGGAGATAATTTTTTCCGTTTCCCAGCTGGGAAAAATGAGGCCCAGTGACACTGACTCCAACTCCAAGCCTCAAGTACTTTCCAGTAGCCCATGTTGCCTATGATGCTTTGGTCCTAAAAATGCTATCCATGAGCCATGACTCTCCCTGAGACCTGATGTCACCACTAGTGAACAGTGTGACTCCCATGGAAGCTCAGCCAGATCCAGGTAGCCAGAGTGCAATCAATGCCAGCTCCACCACTGTTCCTAGGTCCCAGGAAGTGGCAGCACAGTGAGTTCCCTTGCTGCCTTCTCCTCCTCCATTTGCTTCTATGCCCTAATTTGCACCTTCACGAAGTTGCTATCAACCTTCAGAGGGTGGGTATTAGGACTATTGCTTCGTAATAATCTTAGGCTGTTCAAATCCCAATCTGATGCTTGGCTGAGCCTGTTGACACAGGCCAGAATGACAGCACTCTAGAAAGCTAATGCAAGAGGGTTACAAATTAGAGCCCTTCCTGGAAAACCTAGCAATGTGCTGAGACCATGTTATCCAGAAAAAAAGGAACAGAGATGCAAAGGCCCTGGGCTCAATCTCCTATAGTGAAAACACAATTCTTGCTGTAATTTTTACAAGGTAAATGGTCATCATCTTATAGTGAAGAGATAACAAGCCCTTCAGATTTGTAAGTACAGTCATTGTTTGAAGGGATTTGGGGTCATTTCATTTGCCTAATTTATTGAATAAAATCAATTGATTTTAATTCCTCACTTACCATGCTGCTTCCTTTAAGTCCCCTCTTCAGACTCATTTCCCACTCCGAATGCTGGTGCTCCTTGGAGGTCCCGAGGTCCTCTTCTCTCGTTCCCCTCAGTGTCCAGCACCACCTCCATATTCATAATGCCTGTTTCCATTTTCTCCTCAAACTACCGTTTTTGGCTCCAGATTGCTATTTCCATTTAAACAGTGGGCAGAGGTCCTTAGGGAGATCACAGGCATTGCAAACTGGTCGTCTTGAAAACTGCCCTCACATTTACGTTCTTTGCAAAACTGACACCACTGTCCTCCCGCAAACCTTCCACTTCAGTCAGTGGAAGCACTTCCCATACAATCCATCTCCAGCTTCCCAAGTTCCAAACAAGACTTGTGTCTCCATTTTTCCCTCACTTCCCCACCTTGTAAAGTAGACCAGCACCATCACTTTTGCCCTGAGCACTACAACTGACCTAATGACACTGAGACTGTCCAAACTCTGCCTTCCATGCACACAGAACTACTTCTAGACTGTGGCCAATCAAATCACATTTTCTTGCCTCTGATCCATGGCACATGGTGCTCCGCTTGCCCGAAATACACTCTTCTTCTCACCACTCTTCAGGGCTCAACTCAGTTAGCATCTCTCCCAGAGGCCTTTGCTGTGAATCAGAGCAATTCCATGTTTTAGCAACCTTTCTTTACCACAGGGGAGCTGTTTCTGTGTGCACATTTACTGCGGCATTCTCTCAGTGTATTACAGTGATGACACAATTTGTCTTCCCTGCATGAAACACACTCCACCAGGGCAGAGACCAGGCTTTATTTATTTAATATTTCCTGAACCTACCATGCAGCCAGTAAGGTCTCAGCATGCATTTGCTAGATGAAAGGGTCATCATTTCAACCTTAGTTTTAGTTTGAGGATTTCTTGTTTCTGCACTTATAAACTATGTACCAGAGATCTAAAATATCTTTTTTTTTTGTCTTTTTCATTTTTATCAGTACCAGGGATCGAACTCACAACTGCCTGCTTGCAAGGCAGGTGCTTATGCCGCTGAGCTAAATCCCCAGCCCCCAAAAATCTAAAGTATCTTGAGGATATTCTTCATCATTTGCTATTTTCCCCCCAAAAAAACTTAAAAATTAGAAGACAGAAACTTTACTGCTCATAAATTTGTCACAGATTTTTAACAACTAGCTTCTAGTAATAGGATGGTGTTTTTATAGTTGAGAGTTTAGAGATCAGATATCCGAACAGTGTTGGCAAGAGTGTGGCAGTCATCTGCATTTTTGTCTGCGAAGACCTCAGCTTTCTCAGAGGCTTTTATTTAAGCCAGATATACAAGCAGTTGATTTCACTGGTGCTAGGAAAAGGGACAGTTTCCTTTTATTAACCCAGAGGCTTTCGCCGCCTGATAGCACAGTCCCTGGAATGGAAAGTGTCCTGCATAATTAGATTTAACTCTGTTAGCACCTGGAGTTTATGTTGACAATGTGGTCTGAAGTACAAAATGAACCAGAAAATTAGAGCTAGGTGGGAAGTAAAGCTATCACTGAACACTCTTGGTATCCTGTTTAGAGATGCATATTGCTGTTTTGATTGGCTTGTGTCTCTATAATCCTGTTCCTTTAGGGGATTCCTTACAGCACTCCACACAGCTTTCTCATCAGCGCACATTTTAAGAAGTAATAAAATTTGGAAACTCTCTGTCTACCTATAGCTGATTCTTACCCACTAAACAAATTCAATAGAACATAAGTCCAAGTAAACACCAGTTTCTACAATTGTAACTGTAAAGCAAGTCTTTAAACTCTTGGCTTTGAAAGCTAAAGAATTATGAAACATGTTTACTGACATGATATAGGGAACACTTAGGCTGATCAATTTATTCTGTATCTAATATTTGCTAGTATTAAGAATGGAGAACATCCAAGCTCTCGTAGCTTAGAAAACCACAATTCTTCTAGCATGTTCCGTAAAATGGAGTAGTATGAAGTGCTTTATGAATTTAACGTCAGAGCCTGACCATGACCCTGCCCCTGGCTGGACCTGTACCTGGCATGGGCAGTTCTAATGCTTTACAATTCTACCACTTCCTTTAGCTCTTCCCTCATGCTGAGAAGCCACAACATGCAAGACAGAGGTAAGGCCACTTTAAGTAAGAATTATGGAATGAATAGGTAAGTAGTTTCATGCCGTGGTATTCCTGCATTGTGGCTTATCTTTGGTGTGCCTGGGAATCACTGAGACGATGTGGAGAGACGTGACCAGCTCATAATTGTTGGCCAATAGCATTTCATTGGGTTAACTGGACATAATTTTAATTTGTAACTAAATCTAGTCACAGAGTTTATTTCCATTTATGTTATGACTACTGCTGCCGATGTCTTCCCACGTCGACGACAGGATCATCACTTCTCTGTCTCAGACAGAATTTGCTGGAGTCCTAAGTGCGCTCGGTGTCTCTTCTGTTGCCTCACATGTACTTTCCAAAGCAGACGTGTCAAATGGTCACCCACAGTTTATGGGTCCCCTTTGCTCTCCTTCCTCTCTAACAGCTGTTTATGAAAATCCATTAATGTTCCCCAATCCACTGGGTGAGATCTAGATTTATCTCAGGAAAAAAAATCTGTGAAACAAACAAAAATTTACAACTGATCTCTCTTGCCAATTACTTGTAAAGATAGAACCCAGGATACTGTGTTCACGTAGCTGTCTCAGTGTTGGGGTTTGGACATGAAATGTCCCCCAGTGGCTCACCCATTGAAGGTTTGGTCTGCTCTGCCACACTGTTCAGAAAGCAGCCATTTGGGTGGAGACTGGATTGTAAGGACATTAACTTTACTAATGCATTAAATAATTCCCGGATTCATAATTTGATGGCATGAGTGGGAGGTGATAGAAAGTCCAGGAGGTGCACACGAATTGGAGGAAGTAGGTGGCAGGGGCAAGTCCTGGAAAGGTACCTCTCATCTCAGCCACTTCGCCTCTTTTCTCTGTCTTCTGGCCACCAGCCGGGGTAGCTTTCTCCTAATAGCTTACACTCCACCCTCAAGACAATCAGCTTGGCCTCAGGCCCAGCAAAAATGGTCTGAAACCCCCAGAATCATGAGCCAAAACAAACCTTTCATCCTTTCAAGTTGATTTTCTCAGGTGTTTTGTCACAGTGATGCAAATTAGACTAACACTAAGGCAGCATATAAATAGTGTCATATGACTATTACTGGTGGGTTTTGATATTATTAGCATTACTTTGACCAAACTAGCTCCATGAGGCTATATTTTACTCTATATTGTATGTTTAGGTCTAGCCCCGCAGCCCCTCTTTTGAGCCAGAAAGGAGAATTAAGTCTGAAGGAAGCAGACACCATGGCGTATGGTATGTAGGATGAGGACCTCTACTCTTAGTCCCAGTTCTGCCTCTCTCCCTACTGGAGCAAGTTCATTCTCTGTGCTTTACAGCCCTTCATCCACAAATTCAAATAATAGCTCACAAAATAATAGCCAGGTATTGCACGCACACCCTTGCATGCACAGAGAGACTTGCTTGACACGCAGTAGGCAAGGGATACATTTTATTTTTTTACATTTTAGTACTGGGCTCTTACACTGAACTATATACCCAGTCCTTTTAAATTTCTTTTATTTTTTTAGATAGGATTTCCCTAAGTTACCAAGCTGTCCAGCGTGCTAGGATTATAAGCATGTGCCACCATGCCCTTATTTTCTGAAGTCTCTGTCTTCCTCCATGCCTAATTGACCTTAGTAGATTTCCAAGTTTTCTCATTCCACATCTGTCATATGGCATCTGGAACTTAGAATTTTGTAGCCTAAATCCTAGGTGATAAGCCCACTTCCCCTGATGCATAGAGTATAAATAGGAGTTTCCCAGAGATGACTCCTAGGAAAATGAACAAAGAGAACTGTGATTAACCCAGGGACCTCCCTCCCTAGGAGCAGTAGTAAAACTCAGCTCTGGGTTATAAACAGGAAATTTGGAGAACCCAAGTAGTAAATCCAGGTACTTACCAGGTCCACAAAGGCGATTACTTCAGTGGTGGCGGGTAGGGCAGGGCCACTGAAAATACACTGCAGAAAGAGGGAAGCAAATAACTTAAAAAAGAATCCAGAGTCTTAACATAAACAATTAAAGTCATGCACAAATTTCAAGCAAAGAGCAATGAAGGAAGAACGGGACTGCAGGTGACGAGAACGGTGTTCCCACACGAGGCCAGCCAACATCCTACAGCTGCATGAAGATTTTTGCACTGGGCTCTTTTAGACTGTCCTCCACTCGTCTCAGAGGAAGCAAGTTTCCTCCCAGAAACCCAGAATGCACAGGGCAAACATCTTGGCCTATCATTTCCTCTTTCAGTCAAGACATTTGCAGTTTATAACCAAAATGAGTCTGGACTCAAGTGTATTCCCACACTTACAGAGACAGCCTCACCCCATTAACCAGCTCCTATGCACCTGCAATGTCCCCTTCACCTTTCTACTGGCTAAAAAGTCTTCTCCAGATCCCCATACCGGCAATATTAAGTATGTAGAAAATTGTTCTCATTCTTTACAATCATAGACTTCTCAGTCTGCTAGAGACTCTAAAAGCTTTTTGGTTTTAACTTGAATGCCTCAAAGGTGGGTATTCACATAGAGCTCTGAAATCTACATCCTTACAAATATAGATATTATTATCCTTATCATAACAATGAGTAAACAATTTTGGAAAACTTGGCTAAATATGGTTGTACCCACATGATGTAATCCCAAATCTCTGGAGAGCTGAGACAGGAGGATCACAAGTTCAAAGTCAGTCTTGAAATAAGGAGATTCCATTTCAGAACTACAAAGGAAACCAAAAACAAGCATAGTCATTTTGAGTATTTCAGTCATTGTGTGATAAACACATTTGGCTCAGGTCTCTGTGAAATGAATTCAAAGTTAAACTATGAAGAGTCCAAGCAAATGAATCTCAAAACAAACAAAAAGATTGGCGTATCGAAGGAAGGTTGAGAAATATCCCTTCATACTCTCCAACAGTAACAACATTGCTCTTCAATTTGGCTCATGTCTTTGGAGGATTCCATCCATGGTTGGCTGGCTTCAAAGAAGAAATAGCATCATGGATGGATATGATAGAGAAGGTTTGCTCACCTCATGGCAAGGAGAGAGAGGGAAGCAGAGACAGAGGAGTAGAGCAAGAGAGGGAGACAGACCCTCCAAAGGCAAGTCCTCGCTGACTCACCTCTTCCAGCGGAGGCCCACCTTGTCACAGCTCACCGATAAGTATACATATCCATGATCCAATCCCTCTCCAAAAGCCCCGCCTGTGTACCCATGAGATCTTCAGGGTACATTCAAGATCTAAAGCTTAAGATCAGCACACACACACAGTAGCACATATAAAATGACCAGCGTGGACTGGGGGTCAGGGCTGCACTGAGTACTAACTACATAAGAATTTTAAAGTATTAGTAATTACAACCTGTGCCTTTTGTTACTCGCTTTCCCGTTCCCACATGATATTGATCACCTACCCACAGTGTTCTTCCATTTAATTGTCAATGTCTTCACAGCTGTACCTTCTTTTCCAAGGAGAATTGTACTTCACAGTTATAAAACTCAAATGCATGTTTAATGTATGAAGAACTTTCCAGAGTTTAACTGCTCCCATTACTTTATAATGAAATGGATTAATTGCTTGAGTGGAACACAGGCTTAGAATTTCATTCATTCAGTCAACAATGACTCAGCCAGGCCTTTGTAAGACTATCGTATGACAGTCGCTTTGGTTATTTTGTTTTGTTTAACTCATTCTCTAAACAGACTACAAATGCATAAATGTTTCCCAATGGTCTTTTCAAAATAGAGCTTTTTAAATATTCAAGCAAGGCACAGAGGATTGAGAAATAATAGATCAGCTGCCACAATATCATGAAAAATTCATAATCACTGAACATTGGAATGAATGAAGCATGAACTAAGTGATAGGAAAATGCTGATAAAGATTGTTTTTCTCTCTCTAGGATGTTCTCATTGCTTCCACCCATCCTGGAAAAATAACTATGGCCTCTGTCTACCAGCCCACTGTGATTTAAAGTGAAGCTTTAACATCTATTGTATATTAACATATCCCCACTAGCATTCTCTTGCTAGGGTTACCTGGCTTGTGGTCCTCTATCCTCTTGTAATTTCTCTGTGCCACTAGGCTTTACATACATGCAATTAGCACAACTCTGAAACTTTTAAACCAACCCACAGCTGAATTTTAAATGCTAAGTTTGTGCCTTTGATATTTATTGTAATACTAACATTCTGATATATTTTACATTACTCTGTTCCTGCCACTTACCTACTCTCCATTAACTTTTTAATTTTTTTCCTACAATATACTGGATTCATCTCCACATTCCTCTTTATTTTAACCCTTTTTGGAATAATTTCATAATTATTCTTCCATTTGTTATCTTTAACATTTTAAGTAAAGGTATTTTTGAATTTTAAAAATTTGAAGTTCATATTTTCTTTTTAAATGATACAGAAATTTAAATATGGATTCTCCCCACTTGCAAGTTAAACTTTATTACTTATAGACTATAGAAGTTAGAAGAAGGGACATTTTAAAACTTTGTTACTATTTTCAAGCTCATAAATTGGTAAGTGGAATTTAACACTAAAATAAATACAATTAAGCTTTCTGTGATTGGTTTTGTGCCACAATTATTTTGACACAAACTACTTTTATTACGTCAACTCTAAAAACCATGATCTCTGGTACCATTAAAATCAAAATTTCAAGGGCTCAGGAGTACAGTTTGCTCTTCTCAGAATTCTTGGAAAGAAATTTGGCTTTTCGATGTCAAGAAGTAGAATACAGATAAACATTGAATACTATGGAAACTGGCATGAACATTTTTGCTCTTTCATTTAATATTTCATCTAAAAATTGTATTGGGTCCAAAGTTCTTATTAAGCTGCTCACCAGAATTATAACTTTGGTTGTACTTTTCAAACAGCTTATAATTGTGTCCCAACCCTGACCACCTCTTTTCCATTTTGTGTCATTTTTGTCTAGTACTTTACTTACATACGATTTTTAATCTCTTAAGTTTTTATTCTTTAGCATTATTCCTACACGAAACTACTAACATACTTTTAAATATCTTTGTTTGCCATTTCCACAGATACTTTTCTCCATCCTTATGATCCAAATTTCATTGAATTTATCTTTTATTAATTTTTATTGGAAGTACATGCAATTTATATGAATAATTAGTTGATTTACTTATTTATTTGTGTGGAACTGGGGATTGAACCCAGGGAGCACTGAGCTAAATCCCCAGCCATGCCTCTCTTTGTTTTGGGATATTTATGTGTGTGTGACTTTATTTAGAGAGACAGGACTTGCTATATTACCAAGGCAGGCCTCAAACTCAAGATCCTTCCCTTTTGGCCTTCTGAGTAGCTGGGATTACAGACATTTGTTACGATGCCTGGCTAGAAATATTTTACTTTGATTGGCATGCATATAGAAATGACATGCAAAAATTTGATAAGATGTAGTGTCTTAAAACTTCAGTGCCAAGTGAAATTGAAACCCTATCAATGAGCTCTTGGTGTTTATTACTTTAAGGTGCACTGGCCTGTTTCATGTTTGAATTCATCTCTCCTCAGGCGTGATGTTGTGGCATCATGCAAGAATCCCTTGACAATAGGGCTCACAGATGGACCCATCTCCCGGTGTTAACAGATATGTCAGGTGGATTCCCAGTGTGGGAGTAAATATCTGAAATCACTTACAAGAAAGGAAAGGTTTTCTTTCAGCTCACATCCTAGTAGTTTAGTTCATGGTCATGTAGCCCTGTCCTTGAGGCCTGTAGGAGACAGATCCGCAGAGCAGCAGGGCGGCCAAGAACCAGAGAGAGATGATGCTGCTGGAGTCCTAAAAGACTTTAAGGGCACATCCTTTCCTAAGCTGACTTCCTAAAATTTCTCCCACCTCCCAGCACTGCCATTTAGCTGGGCTCAAGTCGGCAGCATATGAGCCACTGGGAGACAAAACCATCATGATATGCTTTTATATAATATTTTTTAAATTACATTTGCAAATAATACCACCAATTTCATCCAAAAAGTTGTATTACTGGAATATCGTTATGTCTCAAAGGCAGCAGCAGGCTTTCCCAAATTCTACTTCGCACTTGAAAAGTCTGCATGTACGACTGGCCACAGACACCGCCACTCATTTCCAGTGATGTGCCCAGCTGACTGTCTTCATTTCAGATGAAATATCCTCCAAACATCCACGTCTGCATAGGCACAGTCACGGTGCCTTCTGGGTTTTAAAAAGAGTGGGAGGGAGGCAGGCGGAAAGAGTGACACAGTCATGACTAAGTGTGCATCCTCTTCCAGATCATAAAGGTGGTGCACAGGCCTCCTGCCTGAGGAGATGCCCATCTCCAGCCGGCTGTGGCCCTGGTGAGAGCTCAGTGCCCTCTACAAACACTAGCCTGAGAAAACCTCTGCCCCCGAGATCTGCTGCAAAGGTGAGGCAGACGCTTCCCTGCAAGCCCTCTACGTGCACCTATCCCCAGTAATGTTTCACTGAGCAGTGTCTAATGAGGTTTACTTGGGGCTAAATTTTCCCCCTCTGGTCATTGCTATTGAGTTTTGAAATGAATAAGGATTCAATATTAGGATACTTGGAACCCAGAAAAGGAACTGCAGGCCCATGGTACATCTCTCTGATGATCCTTCCTGTTCCCCATAATGATGGATTTTATGATCAAAATAATTTAAAATCAATTGTCATCAATATAAAATAAGGTAATAAGGCATATGGAGAAAACCAGCTCTAGTGCTATTCAGATTTCCGCTGTAGCATGTACGGCTCCAGGAGAGTGGTGTGAAGACTATAGTCTGCACCAATCTCTCCCTCCTGCTGTTTTCATGATGGCTAAGCAGAGTCCGCTTCCACTCAGCATACCTCCTACCTAGGTGAGACCTGCCAGGCACAGGTTCAGGTGACAGATGCAGGGCTTGTCCTCCAGCCCGAGGGTCGGGGAGACAGGTACTTCTAAACTGATGAAGCACAATTTCTGGTTACCCACTATGCAGTCTCTCTCACTCCCATAGACTTCAGAATCCCCAGCAGCAGCTCCTTGGTCTGCATTCATCTTCTCCAAGCATCAGTGGGTATCTCCAGGTTCAAGGACAAAACAGTATGAGAAACCTATGTAAATGCCAATGAGTAATGGGTACTGATGGAACAAAAGTAAACTCTGAGTTAATGCATCCATAATCACTGTCTCCCTTTGACCCTAAAATACTTTCCATCCTGTACTGTAGGACGCTCAGCACAATGAATGGTACATTGGAGAATACAGTCGCCAGGTAGTTGAAGAGGCGTTAATGCAGGAGAACAAGGTAATGATTTCCACAGGGGCCGTGGGCGTGGCTTCTGTAGTTGTTTTTCTGCTCACGAGTCACATGATCTAAGAAGCACCATGCTTGGACATAGCACTGTCTGCATCATCCTGAACTTTCTCAGTCCTAGGGAGGTTGTGATTAAAAAGAGATTTAAGGGCTCAGGATGGATCTCAGTGGCAGAGTGCTTGCTGAGCACATGGAAAGCTCTAGGTTCGATTCTCAATTCTGCCAAAAAAGGAGGTGATATTTAGAAATGGAAAATTTCAGAGCTAAAGACTTGGTTTTGTCATCTCTCAGCCATGCAGCTTTCTGTAGTTCATAAATAACTTTATCTGCAGATTTCTTTATGCAGTGTGGCAGCTGGAACATGAAGGTCACGATAGATGGTGCCTTCTTCTTTCTTCTGTCTTTTTGTAAGAAATCTCCGGGAGGCGCAAGTGGATCTTTGTCTTACTTCTTATAAGAGAAAGGAGCAGGAATCTTGAAAGCTCTGACAGTCAGGGTATGACCCGCTATGCTGCAGTAACACCCTCAGGATCTCAGTCTCTTGGGATAACAAAATGTCAGTGTTTGTCTGCATTCCAGATCCAAGGCACTTTTTTTTTTTTTTTTTTTTTTTTGTTAATCTAGGCCACCTGAGGGATTATTTGTATGTTTCTAACTTCACGCACCGGTTCTTCACACACCCTCTCAGAAGTCACACACTTTGCTTCTGCTCATTTATCACCGTCCCAATTCACATAACCACACGTACCTCCAAAGCAGGTGGGGAAGTAGGAACTTGTGATGGGACTGAAGGAGAGAAGAGCTTGAATACTGATAATCCGGTCAGGTCACTATCACAACCATCATCCAAACAAATCATTATTAAGTGACTACTATGTGCTGAGAAATATCCTAGGCTTCTTAAAAGTGATAGGAAGTTTCTCCAGACTAGGTCAACATCAAAATTTCTCCACAGTTAACCAACAGTCAGAAAACACAAAAATGAATAATTTAATTACTGAATAGTTAGCAGGCTATTACATCAAATAAATGGGTTCTCAGGGTTGAAATGATAAAAGTAAATCATACGTAAGTAATAGAATTCTATGGTACACAGAATTGTGATCTCCCCCACCCAGAGGTGATCATATCCTAATTCCTAGAGACTGTGAATATGTCTCCTTCAGTTACTTGTGGATGCATTTAAGTGGAGGATATTGAGAGAGCTGCTGTCTGGGTAGTTCTGACGTGATCACAAAGGTCCTTTTAAAAGGAAGGGGAAGGGTCAGAGTGAGAAAAGAGATTGGATACTGGGGGTGGAGGTCAGACTCATGGGAGCCATGGGTCAGGAATTCTGGTGGTATCTGGCAATGGAAAAGTGATGGAAAAGCAGATTTTGCCTATTAAAAGTTCTAGCTTTAAAAGTAAGATCCATGTTGAATTTCTGACCCTCCAGAACTGAAAGAATAAGTTGATTGTTTTAAGCAATTAATTTCATGGTAATCTGTTACTTCAGCGGTAGGAAACTAACATAGTTGTCAGCAAAATATCTTAAACATATTAAGAATAAATGGCATTACTGCATTTCCTGGATGAGGAGACAGATCTCAGCCACCTGCTCTATTACAAAGTAGATAAAGCAGCAGAACCATGTTCAGAATTTGCCTCTTTGCAAAATTTGTCTCTGGTAGCCATCACCGCGCTGTAGAGCCAGATGGGGAGCTATGGGTGGCTGGGTGATGCTGCACCCCAAGTCTCCCATCCCGCTGTCCGCAGACCTGCTGGGGTGGAGAGGCAGGCGTGCAGGTGCTGGACTGCAGCTTGGGCTCCGTTTTTGCTGCCCCTGCCCCAGGTGCCCTTGCACCTGAAGGTCTGTCTCCCATCACCAGAGCTGCACTGGGACAAGCTCCACACAGGAACCCATACATGGACCACGCTAGCTGAGACCACACACGTCACCTGGAGTCCCTTGGGGCACACCCAGCTGTCCAGTGAATGTTTCCTTCTCTCCCCTGGTGCCATTTCTTCCCAAGAAGCACTGGGGAAAACACTCTGCTGAATGACTTCATATTTTCCCTTCCATGGTTTCATTTTGTGTCTTTCCCATTTTGTCAAAACATGTTTCCCACTGATGGGAAATATCTTCATTTAAATTGTAGGGTTGCTCAGCTTTATTTTGACAAATTCATTGCAGACTTGAAAATGCTAAAATCAATGCTTGGCTGTGTGTCTGCCTTCCCTCTCTCTCTGATCTTTGGCACTGATCCTTGCTCTGGCTGACTGTTTCAGGGAGAATCACATTCCAGAAAAGTTCTCAATCACGCTTTATATCATTGTTGGCAGCTGGGTTTAATAAGTAAGAAGTAAGAATTTGGGATGAATTTAAATATTCTACATACTCACTATGAGGCTTACAGGGCTTCATTTAGTTCTTAAGCCTTAATTCCCTTACCTGTAAAATGGGGATAAAATATTCCACTAGGGGTTTATGCAAAGATCAAATGAAACTATTTGTGAACTGCTTAGCACTTGAGGGTAATTCTCATAAAGCTTAGCTGCTCATACGGTCATAACATCTAAAGAATATAATGGTATTAGTTATAATACCATTTGGTCTATTTATGATTTTATATAGCATTATTACCATAGTAATATGAATATCTATATCCATAAAATCAACAATTATAATTATATAGAAATAGTATATGTGACACTATAAATATCAATTATAAATCATATAATTTATAAATACATTACATGTAACCCAATAAATATTAACTGTAGATAGTATAATTACTAGCTAGGTGATGCATTTCCAAAATCCCAGCACTAGAGAGGCTGAAGCCAGAGGATTATGAGTTCAAGTCCTATCTGGATATATAATGAGCCCTTTCTTCAAGGAAATAATATACATATATAGGAATTATGTATAACGCATGCCTACATATATAGCTATTATATATAATCTATGTGGAGGATGATATAACTTACTATGAGTCATTGTTTAGCATCTGCTAGACCATTTATGGCCTCCTGTACAGTGACCCACACAATTGCAGTTACAGATTTCTTTGTATTTTTCATCACGGCGGCAACACAATGTGACCCTAAAGTTCAGCCCTGTGGTGCCAGGTCCCATAGGACCGGCCCACTCTCTGCTTTTCACCCCAGGCCTCCTCCCCAGTGACCCGAGTCCACTCTCAGCCTCCCTCAGACCTGCTGCCCTGCTGATTTTCTTTTGCAAACCTTTGCTCCACAGGCTCACCTTCTGCAGTGCTGAAGCTCCCCGCTTTCCTCAACATGCTGACACCCCAGACTTGTGTGCTCTCTCCTCCTTCCCCCGCCCTTGCCTCTACCTTTCCTGGGATACCCTCTTCCTTCCTGGCAAGGTACCCTCTCACTGTGGATCAGTCCTATGAAGGACCTGATTTTCAGGAGAGCCTGGCCTGCACTGCTGTTTCCCCACACAGAGACCCTGTTTATTGGCTCTGTTCACAGCCTGCTGGGGCTCCTCTCATCTCTCCAACCCTGGCCCCCAGCAGAACAGAAAATGTGTGAGCATGGACTAATCCCAAGGAGATTGTGGGAGGGTCAGACGGACAGCTGGCCTTGAGGATGCCAAAGCCAACAGCCCAGCACAGAGGTGGTTTGGGGAAATGGTGACTGGGTGGGAACCAGGGGCCAGAGACCAGTCAAGCACAGGATGAGCTGGCACATTGACCCTGAACACTGCTAAGGCTGTCACTTGGGTCAGCAGAGGGTAAGCAATGATTTGAAAGAAGGGAGCACCATGATCACATGGTACACTGCTCAGAGAGTGATAGGCACCTCCCTCATATCCACAATCAATGAAAACTTACTGAATTAAATTAAATCAATAACAGATCTGCCCAAAACAGATGCAGGCATCTTGTGGTCTCCCTTAGAGGATGACTAGTTCTCCTTTTGCTTCAGGATGGAACTTTCTTGGTCCGAGACTGTTCCAGCAAATCCATGACAGAACCGTACGTCCTGGTGGTGTTCTATGGAAACAAAGTGTACAATGTGAAGATCCGCTTCCTGGAGAGGAACCGAAAGTTTGCCCTGGGGACAGGGCGCAGAGGAAATCAGGTGGGTCTGACCTCACTGCTCCCCTTTCTGGGTCACAAACAACAAATAAAGATGGCGTTTAGGGGACACTGGAGTCACATCTCCATGTCACAGCAGCCATAGGCCAGGAGGAAAGATGCTGCCCTGGAAGACAGAGATGCAGCCTGATCCTTCTGCCAGCAGCCTGTATATATAGGGCTGTGTTTCCACCCCCAGGCCAGTGCAGTCCTGACCCCTCAGGCTCCCATCCCCCTCTAGCTACCACTGAAAACTCTTGCTGCAAAAGTGTCTGCATTCCACCTCCCAGGAGGCCTCCTTGGAAGCTGATGCTAATGGTGCCCCCTGTGTCTGCCCCATGCTGGGCTCCCACCGCAGGCATTTCTGAAGCCTGGGCATGGATTGTACCCTTAGGTAAAGCTGTACCCTTAGGTGCTATCATGAGTGTGCCTGTCCTGGGTACAGGTCTGCTGATGGTGGAGGGGGAAAGAATGAGTCAGTTACGCCATTTTACTAATAACCAAAAGTGAACTGGTGAGAAAGGGGAAGTGAGAAAGGTCTGCGATAGCTTGTGTTTTAATCCTCCATGACCGTCAGTCGTACCTTAACTGTAGGGAGACTGAGACTGGAAATTTCAATAAATCACCAAATACATGCAAGTAGTGACTGGGAAGGGAAAGTAAAGGCTGTTCTTCAGCCTCTGGATCAAAAGAGAAGACAAGAAAGGCAGACAGGAAGGCAAGAAGGGTAAGGAGAAAGGAGAAAGGGAGGAAGGGAGAAAGGAAAGAGATGAAGGGGGAGGAAGTTAGCTCTAAGCCTCCGTTCACTAAGGCTATGAGCTCAGACAGATTGTATGACTGCTTCCTTCGACTGAGAATGCTAAATCACAATTTAGCACCTGCAGACCACAATCTTCCCGGTCAGTGGGTGTCACTAGTCAAATTATTTCTCACTCTCCCCCCAAATTCACCAATGGAAGCCGAAGTCTTAAAACCCAACACTCACGATGTAACTGGATCTGGAGACAGAACTGATAGAACTGTGGGGGACGGGCAGCGGCTGAAAAGATAAGAAGTATGAAATATAAACAACCTTGATTTTGAGAATGCGGGGAGAAACACCCCTGATCCCCCGGGGCGCAGCATCTCCACCCTGGGTCAGTGATCTCTCCATGGAACACGTGGAGTGAGGCACATAAGTAGCCTCGGTTTGGGGTGGAACCTAAGGGGGCATTAAGGGTGCATAGGTAGCCCATTGGTCTTTGTTTGGCACCATAGGTAAATTCCTAGGGGAGGGGGTGATAGGAGCTCTTTGGCTTTACCGGCTACAGAGTCCTGTCTGGGCCAAAACCCTTTCATATCCCATCTCATGATTATTATTATGAAAAGGGGTGAAGATTTCTCTCTTTAACTACTTACTGCTGGCAGGGGCACTGTACTGGAGTCTAGGGGAGTTGACGGAATGACGGCTGATGCCCAGGTAGACCCTGGTGCCAGGTGTTTTAGCCAGGACAACTTCACTGGTGAATGCACGTATGTTAGACTGGAAAAACAAAGAGACATGATGTTATGAGGAGACATGGCACTGTCATATTTAAGGACCCAGGTAAGGTAGAGGGAAAGGTGCCTTTGATTTAGACATGTCATTATATCAGGACGACATTGAGGCAGGATCATTGTCACAGTGTGGTAGAATTCTGAAAATTAAATGTCGGGTTAGGAGGAGTGAAGTTATGAGAGGTGCTTACTACCTCTCAGGAGGTGACCAGGGTTAGGTGACACAATGGAGTTGAGTCTTCATCCAACACGAAGGCTTCCTATACAAGAGGAGGAGGCTGGCACAGAGGACATGGAAAGACCAGAGAAGAAGATGGCCATAGGCAAGTCGAAGAGGACTCAGGAGGAACCAACCTGCCCACACCTGGGCCTTAGACCTCTGGGCTCCTTCAGTGGGAAGAAATGTCTGTTATTTAATCCACCAGTTATAACAGCCCTCTCAAACTAGCACAGTGTAAACCAGAACTTTCACAGATATCTCTTGTTCTCCAGTACATATTGACATACAGACTTCGGCCAACGTTGGACAGGAATGTGTGTGAAAACCATACCTGTGGGCCACCAATCCCGTGTCTGGCACAGAGCCCTTTTCCAGGGGCTTAAGTAGGAGGAGGGGACACTGGCAAGACCAAAGTGGGGTCAGCTTGCTGCCTTTGCTGCAGGCTGGGGCATTCTAGTGATAAGCGCCAGAGTGCGTACACAGAACCCTGCATACAGCTGCCAGACAGCTCTAACCAAAAGGTGTCCATCCAAACTAATGGCACAGGGGCCAGCTCTTCCCTCTGTGTGAGGATGGGCCAGTCAATGATGTAAAATACTTACCCAGCCTGTGCATGTGAATCCCACACTGCATGGCAGTTACTGTGTTTTCATCATTGCCAGCAAGTCCTAATAATAACTAGGTAGAATCCCACTCAGCTAGACACCTGCAGCTATTGGACCTGCATGGTCCAGTTCCCTGTGTCTCCCTCCACCTACACCATCTTTCATGTCTAAGAAAAGCCAGCTGCAATTTTTTTTTCGTCTTTTTTGTTTTTTTCTTGTACTGGGGAGCGAACTCAGGACCTCGAGCTTGCAAGGCAAGCACTTATGCTGCTGAGCTAAATCTGGGTGTGAGCAACCCTTAGAAAGCTGCATTGAAGGCCAAGCATGTGTTCTCTCTGTCCCTGAAAATGCTGCAAAGGACACATCATTGAGCACTTTGACTGGTGAGGATGCTGACCCTGTGACAAGGTCACACCGCTTCCTCCCCAACCCGTTCTTTGGTTTGCTAATAAAGGAGAGCAAGCTGAGAGACACTGTAATTACATCCTAATAGCAGTTAATCAGCCTGTCAGCCATTCTCCCACTGCCCTGGGAAAAATAGGAAGCTGTCAGCTAAGGCGGTCTAAGCCAGCCCTCAGCTTCCAGATGAGCTGCTCCGTTATTATCAGCAAGGACCCCTCAGGGAACCCACCGTCTATTTTAAGAAACCTTTATTTGCATTCACTCATAATTCTCTCTTCTTTGCATGCCCCAAACCTGAGTTCCCGGTCCCATGGATCTGAGCAGGCACTGTTCTGTGAGTCACCAGGCAGGAACTAATGGATCTACTGAACCCAGAGTTATCCTGTGAGGCGGGTGCTGCTCACATCCTGTATAACAAAGGGCGAAACTGAGGCCAAGGAGCGGTGAGGAATGGTCTAAGGTCGAAGCTAATAAGTGGCAATGCTGGGACTGAGTACTCTTTGCGGGAATATAGGCTTCTTTATACAGCCTCAAACATCAGGTCGAAATGCAGACAAGCCTCCCCTTGCCTGAAAACAACCCAGAACACTGCACGTAGAAGAAAAGGAATATTTAACTCAGGGCTTACTGCCTGCCGGCTCTGGGGGAGAAACTGAAATTTGCAAGCGGTTCTTCTTACCTTTCTGCAGAAGGAGCTGTGCGCGTGCATAGCAGTAGAGGCTCTGGGCTGTGCTGGGTCCTCAGGCTTCACAGCCTGAACCTCTGCCTGGCAGAGAAAGATCTCACATCGTAGAACCTGATGCAGTGATGCTCTGCTCAAGGCAGGCCAGCGAGCAGTTCCTCCGTGAAAGAAATAGCATCCTCACCCTTCGCAGTAGGAAATGCATAATGAGAGAGGGGGATTTCAGGGGTAATTTTGGGTTCCTGGGTTGTCAGCTGTCTTGCAAACTTCTGAAGTTGACCGCAGCACCGACTAGTGGCAGCTATTTGATGTGCACTGAGGTGATACAGATGCTCAGCAGGGGCATAGAGGCAGGTGTTTAATCCCAATGCAACTGATTCCGGGAACCTCTTTCCTCCGGGCCATGTGCCTCAGGCACAAGGAGAACCTTGGGAGCTACAGAAGAAGCCAGCTTCAAACATCAGGCTTGGCCCCAGGAAAGGCTGGGAGCGCCCACATCCCTTGTCAGCACCCAGGGCGAGCAAACTCACTGCAGGTTCACAAGCAAAGACCTGGGAAGTGCTACTTGGCTGCACACTAGGAGTCTTTCTGTCTGCCTGCTGGCTAGACATCCCTGCCTCGCTTCAGACTTAGGGAGTACCCACTGCATTAGTCTTCTGACACTGCTGTCATAAATTATCACCAACTGGGTGGCTTGAAACAAGGAGAAATTTGTTCTCCTACAATTCTAGAGGCCAGAAATCCAAAATCCAGGCTCAGCAGGGGGATGCTCCCTCTGGGGGCCCTGGAGAAGAAGCTGCTATCAGCTGCCTTGGCTGTGGCCACAGGGCTGCAGTCTGTCCGAGGTCACACTGCGATCCTCTCTCTGATTAAAATCTCCCACTACTCCTGTCTTCTAAGGATACACACGATTGCTCCTAAGACCCACAGGACGACCTAGGCTAAGCTCCTCCTCTCCAATCCTTCACTTAACACAATAATTTACCAAATAAAATTACAGTTACTCTTTAACAAATAAAGCAGTATTCTTAGATTCTGGGATTAGGATGTGGGCATGTCAGTGAGGGACACAATTCAGCCCACTGTGTTCAATGGCAAAGCATCGATTTTATGCCTGTACTATGCTAAATGCCTGCTCCACTCAGGGAACACATGGGGGGTACTTAAACCTCTGTGCCTGTCTATGCAGGCACCCCAGCAACAGTGACCATGGCAGAATACCTGCACCAGGAAACTGCTGCCAACCTCCAGCCCTGCACTCGAGTTTAGAGGAGTGAGAATCAACAATTGCTTTGCTCTGCAAATGTGTATGATAACTTTCCAGAAGTTAGAAGAGACATTCACATGCTAACTTAAACTTCAAAGGCTACAAGACAGATGAAAAATGAACCTTGAGTTTATTTCTCACTCCCTGTCTGCTTCTGTGCGCTCTCTCCTCTCTCTCTCTCTCTCTCTCTCTCTGTGTCTCTCTCTGTCTCTCTGTCTCTCTCTCTCTCTCTCTCTCTCTCTCTCTCTCTCTCTCTCTCTCTCTCTCTCTTTTTGTACATCTACGTGTGTGCCTGACCATATCTATTGACTTTTCTGGCAAAGGAAAAAGTATCACTGCCTACAGTATGTATAGAAGATAAACACAAAGAGTTTAAACAGACTTTAAGGTCTAAAGGATTAGGGTTAGGATGACATTTGCTGTCCTCTTAAAACATAATTTAATATGAAAATGAGTTTAATTATAATCTTTTTTTAAAACCCTCTTTAAGGCAATATTTCTGTTGTGAACACATCCCTCACAGCCAATTATAAGTGACAACATGATTAATGGCACTTGCCTGACTTCCTGCTACTTGTCAAAATTATAATTTCAAATAAAATACCATCCATGTAGTAAATGATTAAAACAATTAATACTGAATTCATTATTCAAGGGCAATCCTAATGGAAACAAAATAACAATAAGAAGTGAGCATTTTTCTTCTGAAGACTGACACACCAAAAAAGGAGATTTCCTTTTAGCATTGACTGTTAACCAATTTTGTGGAAGAGTTCTGCATGAAAAGTGTCTTTCCATTAATCAGTTTTTGTTTCAGGTATAAAGAAAGAGAACGTAAATTTGTCCTTGTTTGGTAATTGCGCAAACCCCTTTTCTCCTAAAAGCTAGCAGTAAGTCTATAGAGTCCTCTGATATTGCAGCTCTAGCAGAGTTTTTGGTAAATCTAGAAGGAAAAAAGGATGCTAGCAGAGGACTCCCTGTATGCTGGTACATATGTTATACTCTGTTCTAAATGTTGTCTATGTGTCAGCCTCATTGATTTGCACAGTGAACCCTGTAAGCAGGCCCACTGCTACCATCTCCTCCGCAGATAGAGATACTGGGACACAGAGAGTGTGAGAAATTCACTCCAGGTCTCATGGCTGAGAGGTAGGAGCCAGATTTTGAACTCTGGCATTCAGAGTGGCGAGTGATTCATTTGTGACTACCTGCTATGATAGAACAAGTACTTTCTCCTCTGGAAAATTAAGAAACCATCTTACCTTAGCATCAGATAAGAGGAACCCTTACATAGTGCCCCCCTGTTAGGGGTGGTATCATGATCTGAATATGGGTGTCCCCCAAATTCCTATGGTGAAAGCATAACCTTCCAAGGTAATTATTAGGATGTTAGGCTCTGGGAAGGTGGAACACTCATGAATGGGCTTGGGCCCTTATTAAAGAGGCCTTGGAGAGAACCTCATCCTTCCCACCAGGTGAGATCCATGAACTGGAAAGTGGGCCATGCAAAACCCAGAATCTGCACTGATCTTGAGCTTCTTGGCCTTGAGAACTTCGAGAAACAAGTTTCTGGCTTTCATCAGTCATTAGTTTGTGATGTTTTGTTACAGCATCCTGAAAAGACTAAGACAGATCAACACATAGGTTATCTGGTGGGAAACTCTTCCGCCGTTTCAGTTTGAGGTTGGCAGGGGTACCTCACTTCCAGACAGCATCTGCGCCCCTTAGGTGTGAAAAAACAAAGCCCAACTCCCAGGCACTTCAGGGGAGGGCAGGTACTGTAGGTAGTCCCTGTAACCAGGAAGGTCAGGACTGGAGCTGACAGGGGGACTGGCGCATGGCAGGATCCTTCTCTCCACATTTCCTGTTTCTGCCCCTGTGTGGTGCCTCCTTGCTCTGGACACAATCTGCCTTCCAGGAAGGAGAAGGTGACCTCAGCAGCTGCTGGCTTCTAGTATTTCAGCATAGTGTCCCCCTAATCAAAGAGAATGCCCCCTCTCCCCAGCCACATGCAGTCCGTGGGGAAGACTGGGTGGTTTGGTGAGGGGCTCAAGCCTGTGTCACTCACTTTCATAGCACATGCTCCTAAATAAAATGATCTATTTGCATAAGAAATAATTTTCTTCCTATCCCCAGAGGAAATTAATCTCCATGAAGTCAGGGATCTGGGCAATCTCATTCCCAGCTGGATAGCCCCAGGGCCTTCCAATATTTCTGCACCTGCCATGTCCTAGGCAGAGGGAGAAACAGACAAAACTAACTCAGAATCAAGTCTGTCACCATGGATCCCTCCCTCAGGCAGTGCCACCCTCTGACCTACTCTGTTAAGGTCAGAGGTCACAGCCATGGACACTGTGCTGTAATGGGAAAAGCAGCGACTTGTCCAGTGAAGAGAGAGGCTCCATCGCTGGCCCTGGCCCCTGGCTATGTGACTAAGCCAGTCAATCTGCTTCTTTCAGCTGCAGTTCCCAATAATCCTAACGTCCCAGCACCTCACAAGCTTGTGAAGGACGATCAAGGTTGTCTTAAGGCGTGGGTAGCAGGTCGAGAGAGTGTTTCCTAATTATGATACCTTCCAAGATTTTCTTTCACCCAAGAATTACCCTCTGTGCTTGGGTTGTCCCAACACCCATCCTTGCCCATGCTTTGCTTTTAATATCGTTTAACCATCCTTTTCTGCTTATTTGAGATCACCTATAGCAGGAAGTCCCATTCTATAACCTGGACAAAGAACTTCCTCATTCCCCTACACCTGAAATAATCTTACGTTTTACTAAATCACCATATCTCTCCATCTGTATCTCTGGAAGCACGCCCTCTGCATTTGCATCATTAGTTCACAAGAAACCCCAGAAAGAAAGCCAAGCAGGCCAAGGATGCACAGCTCTCTGGGTGTCACAGTCCCTTCAGTGGGGCATGTTAAAACAGAGGGCAAGCAGGCAGAAGTTCTCCATTGGCACTTCCAGCCAAGTTGCTCAATTCAAGCCTTCTTTATCTCCATTTGGGTTGGTTGCAGTTAGGAGCACGGCTCTGGAGGTAGCAGAGTCCCACAAGGCTTAGGATAGGAAGATGGTCCCATGTGAGTGGCTCAGGATAGAAAGATGGTGGGGGACCATGACCTGTGTGGTCCGATGCTGGGGAAGACTCCAACAGTAGGAAACATAAGAGCTGCCATTAGGCTCACTGTCGATCTCCACAAGCTTGCTTATTCTTCCCTGTTGTCTTCTCATTCTCTCATTCATCCTTGCAGAGTTTCTCTGTTATAGACATATAAAGAAACATGACTCTCTGACATGAATTTCCAATTCGAACATGGGGAAGTGAGTTCATCTCTTCCTCGAGTGAAACAGGGCATGCAAAAACAGACCAAAAATATGTTTGAAAGCATTGATATTCCTTTCTGTGTTTCAGAAGTTTGATTCTGTGGAAGACATCATTGAACACTACAAGCATTGTCCTATTCTCCTTATTGATGGGAAAGACAAGAGCGGAGGCCACAGGGAGGAGTGCTACCTTACCCAGCCGCTGCCGCTCTCCAGACACCTCTCACCTCGGTAGCCTGGCTCCTTTGTCTTCAGCTCAGTGGAGTCAACATCTGTGTCTCATTGCATTTATTTCGAAAGATTATGTCTGAGTCCTCAAGCGATGACCCTGTAGACCTTGTTTAAAAGAAAACACTCCACAATGCACAATGGAAAAATCAATCATGATTTTGAAAATTGAGACCACAGAAAAGATATTTACAACATGCAAAAATAAAATCCAGGCTTTCAAAAGTATTTTTTAAATAAAAAGCTCCAAACGTGGTCATTATGCTGAAGTTACAGATGAGCAGCAAAGCCTACAAGAAGTTGTCACTTAAATGTCTATGGCTGGTGAGATTCCCAACCCTGTGTTCCGCGTGGCCCATTAACAGCCTCCCGGGACTCCTGCACTTCGGGTGTTCAGATAATTCCTTATGCTAGAGATGTTGCCACGTGCTGGCTCTGTCTTACTTGTGATCCTAGAAATTCAATTATAGGGAAGGAATATGGAAAGTGAAACGAGAGAACTCATGACTATCAACTTAACAACAGAAAGCAGAAGTACTTACTCTATGGTACACATATTCTGCTCACAGTAACTTTAAGTCAAGTGGAAGTTATCAAACTCACAGAAAGGAACTCCAAGGATTATATCCCATTCCAACCTTAAGGCAATCAGTGTTGATTCTCGAAGTAAGCTTTTGGATGTTAGAGTAGTGAGTACCATGAGTGAGTACCTTATTTTGTTTTGTAATACAGATGAGAAAGACAAGGCTCAATGCAGTTTTTGACCTACTCAGTATTAGAAGCGAGCCCAGACTCTTGCCTGGCTCCATGTAAGTGCAACTTCACAGCCATGTTCTGTGCCCTGTGGAATTTTGCAGCTAAGTTGAAAAGGTAGATTTGAAAAGAGCAAGAGAAACAATTTGAAAACACAGATTTATTTACCTTAAAATAAACAAGTTCACAGAATGGATTAGGTTTGGGAAAAAATAATTAATGGTGTCCCATGATTTCAAGTGATGCTAAGGCTTAAAATTCATGGAGTATTCATGAAATTGGGTCTTCAATACAGAAACAAAATAAAACTAAATGTAAGAGACTCCAACACAGTGCTCACAGTTATCTCTGAATTGCAGACAGTGAGCTCTCTGGGAGGAGCTCTTAGCATCTGCCAGTCAAGCACCTGTTCAGATGCTCTTAGGAGTCAGTGGAAAATCAGGTGTCTAGGTTAGATGAGGATAATTTGATAAAGAGGCTGCTCTCCTACAGCTGGGCAGTGAGGAGGATACACAGAGGTGGGCATGACCCTTCAGGTTGCCATTTGTGAGTAGAGAGAGGGAAGGAGAGCAGGGGTGTAAGAAAAGCTTAGGGCTAAGAAACAGCTCTGGGAGGATCTGGACCCACCCTTGGTGAATTCCAAGATTATCTCTCTACAGAGGAGAGTCTCACAGTGAACAAAAGGCCAGAGCTCAGTGGCCCTTCATGCCAAGTTATTGTCTAGGACTAATGCAGAAGAAAACTAGTCCTTCAAGTGTGTGGCCGACCCACCATCTGTCACCCAGGGCAGCATCCGCTGATTGGCTGACCAGCGAGTTCTTTTAAGAGAGACCCAAATGTCCCCTCCACAGCTGCCACAGCGACATTCATTCCTGAGTTCCTGCCTTCAGCATTGATTGCAGTAAGGATGTTTTGCTTGTACTAGCTTAATAAAGAGCAGGAGACATAAATTTTAACTCTATTCAACTCAGACAAGTTCTCTAAAGCAGACAGGATAGATGCTCCCAGCATAATTTATAATGGCAGAAACTGTGTCACACTGGCCAGTGTCTTACAATGATATGGTTGTGACAAGAGCCAAAGTTCTCATATATAATTCTTCTGTTTTCTGTCTGTCTGCTTTATTGAGTCTGATATGGAAAATTCAGTGCTGGCCTTTGCAGACACGAATTCCAAACTGTTTTAAACTTTCTTTGAGTATTATCTCTTGGAGTTGTGGAGCTTTAGTTTTGTGTGATTTTGGCATCTCTGCCTGCCAGGTATTTTTTTTTTTCTTTTTTCTTTTGTCTTTTTCATTTTTATCGGTACCAGGGATCGAACGCACAACTGCCTGCTTGCAAGGCAGGTGCTTATGCCGCTGAGCTAAATCCCCAGCCCCCAGGTATTTTCATTTGAGCTAAATACTACCCAGCCTGAATCTACGTCTCGGTCATCCTTGATGGAGGGTTAGTACAGCACTTGTCTGCATGCTGCCTACGTTTTTGCTGCTAAGTGCTATCATGAGTGTTGGAAATGCAAGAGTGAATAATAGAGAAAGACAGAAGACAATAAGGGTACAGATAAAAGAGGCAATCCAAACTGTTTTCCCATCACCCTGTTACATGTCCCTTTAGCATACTACTGAGTGCTTATGGGGTGAAGCCAACGTTAAAATATTTAATGACTCTCCTTTGAGATTGATCAAATCTCAACATTTGGATGAGAACATGTTGAATCAGAATACTTAACATTTTTCTCCTCTTGGGGTGTGAGTGGTTGATTAATATATAATAGCTGTAATCAATTAAATCTAATTACTAGGAAAAAATCAAATTTCCTCTACTGTCAAATATAGTCCATTACTAGGTATATATGCACATTTTATAAGATATGCTATATTTCATATGATTAATATGTTTTGTATTTATTGTTCAATCTTTATAGTATTTGTTCTAGCAAAGCACATTTGCTTTTGTGGAACATTTGTGACTTATAGCTGTGATAAATGAAATCAAGTATGTAATTAAATGTTATAATATTCTATGAAACTGAATATTGAAGGAGAACAGTTAATGCATAGTTTAATTTTCTTTATTTTGTTCCCTGTTAGCTTTAAAGCCTTCTGAAATCACACTTAGGCTAAGTGTAAGTGCAGACAATCCAGGACAGTCCTCTGATGTGCGACCCCCATGCCAGCTAGATGCTGAAAACAAAGACACAAAAGAGATGATTCCAGACTCAGTGCTCAGAGCCAGGCAGGCAGGATTCATATGTAATAACCATCCCAACAGGCAGAAGGCAGTGTCTCGTGCTTTAGATTTGTATTTCCCTGATCGTTAGTGACATTACCCTACTTTTACTTATACGTGGTCCACTATTGGTGGTTGAGGAGATTGGCAAGGACACAAATCAATTAGAAACTTTTACCTTGTTGAGGGGAATGTCAAATAGTATTTCCACCATGGAAAACAGTAGTTTCCTTAAAAACTTAAAAATAGATCTACCACCATATTCAGCAATCCCACTCACTTCTGGATACATATCCAAAAAATTGAAATTACAATGTTGAAGAACAATCTGTTTTGCAACATAGTTCATAATAGGCAATGTATGAAACAACTGAAATATTCATCAGCAGGTGAATAAATAAAATATATTATATACATACAGTGCAACATGGTTTGGCCTTAATAAAGAAGGAAGCGTTTTATATGCAACAACACAAATGAATCTGGAAGGTGTTATACGAAGTGAAATAAGCCAAAAACAGAAAGACATTTAAATACTGCATAATCTCATTATTTATATGTGGAATCTAAGATAATTAAACCCAGAAGCAGAGAATAAAATGGTGATTCTTAGGGACTGGAGAAAAAGGAGACCAGTTGTTCGATGAACAGGAAGTCTGGGTTATACAAGATAAGTAAACCTTAGAGACCTGCTGGGAAACATCATGCCTACAGTCAACGGTAACCTACTGTATACTAAGAATTTATTAACAAACTAGATCGCTTATTACACATTCTTCCCACAACAAGGTAGGGAGGTGGGGTACCGGAGGCAACTTTTGAAGGCAATGGATGTTTATCACCTTGAATGTGGCAATGTTTTCACAAGTGCATGGTTATTTCCAAACTCATAAAAGTGAATATTTAATATAGTCTTTTTCTACATTAGTTGCTCAATAAGGCTCAATAAAGGGTATTTAAAAAAAAAAAAAAAGAAGACACATGTTGACCAAAATTATGCAAGGCAGAGTAATATGTTTGGTAGTTCTCTCCCTTGTACCACCATGGCATTGGCAGGCAGGAACAGATGCGTGGGGAGGTGGTGGCCTGGGCCACTTTCCCAGGGGATGCCCTGGGACTCAATGGGCAAGTCCAGGCTGGGTCTTAAAGTGGGATCCTAAATCAGAGTGTAAAAAGTAGACCTTAGAGGACTCCTATCCCGATGGATTATTGTAGGCCATGGGGAATCAAGCAGTGATTTCAAGCAAGTGAAAAAGTACAGTGACATCTATGGGGAATAGAGAGGTAATGTAAGTGGTTCTAGAAAAACTGACTTGCCTTCCAGAAAATAATACAATTATATCTGTGTCTCAAATCATATACAGAAATATGTTCTTCGTGAATCAAAAAACTAAAAGAAAAACAGCAAATTTTAAGTTGAGCCTTGTAGTTTTGTCTAATAACTTCCATGGCTTTGGCATAGGGAAGGAGTTCTTAAACAAAATGAAAACATAAATCATACAGACTGGTGAATTCATTGTACCAGAATTTTAAATATTTGCAAAAGCTGGACAAAGTCAGAAAGCAATTAAATGATCAATATATACTAGCAAAGAATGCAATTGAGTCATGCACCCAGACAAAACAGAATATTCATAGCCCTATAAGGCAACACATCCAGCTCTTCCTGTTTGTGTCATAACAAAGCCAGACAGTGATGGAATTGTCAAGGTTAACTTCCATTATAAATATCTGGAAAGAGTAAAAAATAGGGATCACTATTTACCTGTAAAGGATGGTAAAGGAACTAAAGTACTAAGAGGAATAGTCCCTATAAACATATAATCAACACACTGCTTCCCTAGGAACCAGAGATTTACATAACCAAGCCTTGTGGCAGCAATGATAAAACAGGCCTCCAGGAAACACTGGAAGTTAGTCCTGCAGACTGTAGCTGAAAAAGTCTGAAGTCAGAGCTGTGTGGGAGAACAGAGTTTCAGTGAAAGCATCACCCCAGCCTCTTGCAGATACTTAGATCCCAGAAAGAATGACAGGACTGTAGCTATACATCAACATAGCAGGACAAATCCGATACAAATAATGGCATTTGCTGGTCCCCAGCAGAAGGCCCCGGGGTGTCTTCATCAGAGCACCAGGAAGCCCCACACACCCACACACAAATTCCGGTCCACACTTCTGCACATCATTTTTATGAGCAGCCTGGGAGGAAAGCTCCTAATGTGAAAATATCAAGCAAAAGATACCACCCAGAAGGAAATAGGACTCGAAGGGGAGATACAAAACACAGGATATTAAAGAAAACTGCGAAGAAAAGCATACTTAATATCACCAGAGCGGCAAATCATTGAATTCATGAGTTATCCATGAAATACTATTTAAATAAAAATACTTGTAAGCAAATAAAGACCATTTTAAAAGGAAAAATAGATAAAAGCACAATGATCGCTGGAATTTTATCATCCAACTAGAATCTGATAACATAAGAAAGAAAAATGAATATGAGCATTAAAAAAACACTGCTATTAACAAGTCATACCTAATTTTCACATACAGCTTACAAAAAAATATTTAAAATACATACTTTTAATTCTGGTACACATAGATCATTCACCATAAGGATCATATTCCGGGACAGAAAACAAGCTACAATAAATTTTAAAAGACTGAAAAAAAATAGTTTTCAGACTATAGTCTCTGAACCAAAAAAGAAATAAAAATTAAATCAGAAACCAATAAAAAGATTCATATAGATTAAGCAATATATTTCTAAGTTACTCATCAAGAAGAAAACAAAAGGGAAATTTCAAGCTATCTCAAAATAAGTGACAATTGAGTGCTATACACCAAAATTTGACATTGGTTGCAATTTTTAAATATAAAGTTTAAATGTAAGCATTTGTAGCTTAGCAGCTTTAAATGTTGATGGTAGAAAATGCAACCCTAAAATTTAAGGTTTTTTTCCTCAAGAAAAAATAAAGCATAGACTCTGCTCAAAGGAAATAAGGACAAAAAATAAACACTAGAATCAAAGAAATAAAATGTAAATAATAAAGAAAACCAACAAAGTCAAGAGAAATCAGAAAGGAGGAAGAGATAAAGG